TGAAGGACTCGGTTCGCCACGGTGGTAGCGGTCGTGGGTCAATCGTCTCCAATTCATCTAGACTCACTGGGTTCATGGTCTTTAGGGCTTCCGCCAGTGGAAAACGAGCGTACGACCCGATGTTGTCCCTACGTTTCTGAGCTCGCCGTAGTGTGTCCCAAATGGGGTGATCTCGCGGTAGAGTGTGGAGGCTTGCGATGGTATTCTGCGCTCGGTGGCGGAGGCGCAGGTGCGTTGGCAGAACGTGTGCTTCTACTTCCAGGGTTGTAGTAGCTACCGTCCTGAAAGCCGATAAGATGCGGATCAACGTGGTCCTCTGGACTGTGTTCAGGTGTCGCAAGTGAGTCTTGTCTCGCAAAGGGTCGTACCAGACCGTCGACGCGTAGTCCACGACCGGCGTGACACAGGCTTGGTAGAGCTGTCGCATCTGTTCTGGGCGTAAATGCCGCAGCCCGCCTAAAGCAATACTGACCTTGATTGCTCGTTTGATCGCTTGTTGGACGTGTTCTTTCCAGCGAAGCTCCTGGTCGAAAATCACGCCCAGCAGCTTGGCCGTGGGCGACGCTTCAACTGTCTTCCCGTTAATAGCCACCTGTCCCTGGAGCTGTTCGCTTCGTTTCCTGGTGATATGAATGAGCTCGGTTTTCTCTGCTGCGAAGCAGGACCCGGTTCGACGGGCCCATGCTTCAATGCGGGGGATGTCTTCAGATTGGATCTTGGCTAGGTTGTCTTCAGCTGACCGACCTACTCGCCAGCGGAAGTAGTCGTCGATGAAGGCGGATGCGCCGCCGTGGAAGGTGACGGGTTGGTCGACTAGGTCGGAGTTGAAGAATGTAAACAGAATAGGCGAGAGGGGTGAGCCCTGTGCTAGTCCTGCATTCGCTAGCGGCGTGACCTCGGTGCGGAAGTCATCAAATCCTATGCTAGCGTGGCGGTCGCTCATGAAGCTCGCGATCCATTTTCTAGCCACGGTTGGGATTCTCCTTGCCCGGAGACAGGCGTCTAGGCTCGTCTTGTTGACTCCGTTGAAGGCGCCTTTTAGGTCAAATGCCACCAGCGTCACTACTTTGTGTTTGTACCACGCCCGGTCAATCGCGTTGGAGAGGACCAAAAGGGCCTGTTCAGTGGTTCTGCCTGGTCGCCCGCCGAACTGGGTGTCCGGTAGTAGACCGTGTTTTTCGGCGAGATATGACAGTCGTCGCGCCATCACCGCCTCCAGAAGTTTACCTAGTGTGTTAAGGAGTGAGATCGGGCGATAGGCTCCGGGGACCGAGTAATCTGGTTTCTTGGGTTTCTGTAGCACCACAATCTTTGCGCTCCGCCATCGCTTCGGGTGGTATCCTAGGCTAATGGACGCGGTGAAAATTCCCGTGATGTAGTGCTTGAGGTATCCCCACAGCTGTTTCCACACGAGCGTCGGTACGCCGTCTTCGCCAGGTGCGGTAGATCCCTTCGTAGATTTCAGAGATCGCTGGATCTCTCGCTCGGTGATAGGTTGCCACGGGAGCTCTAGAGGTGCTCGGGCGAGCGGAACTTCGTCGGGTTCGTCCATTTTCGGGAAGAAAGAATCTAGGAAAGCCTGTGCCTTTTCCTTGTTTTCGGTGAGCTCGTTGGTGCCAACGTGTAAGGCCGGGATGCACCCCCAGGCCTCTCGCGGTTTCATATAGGTAGCTGCTTTCCAGAGCTTCCCTTCCCCAGCTTCATCTAGGAATTGTTTCCAGTGTGACGCTTTGACTTTCTCGATAGTTCGAGTCCAAATTCGTCGATTCTGTTGCATCTCTTGGAAGAGGGTCATGGAGTGGGTGTCGTGTCGCCCGTGTTCCGCACAGCTCTCTTGCCACTTCCGGCGCAGGTAGTTAACCTCGATCTGCTGTTTTTTAAGGTCCGGGGTAAACTAGCGTTTAGAGTATGGTGTTGGTCGTAGGTCGGGGGTGTATCTATCCACCGCCGTGGCAGTTGCTTCTGTGAGCCTTTCAACTGCCTCATCTAGCGCCGGTCTCGTTTTCACTTCCTTCCACGGGCCTATCTGTCGAACCACGTCTTCGGCGATCTTGGCCCAGTCCGCGCGGTCGTAGGCTTTCTTCGCCTTAGCGGCGGGCTGGCGCCGAGGTCTCAGGTTCCATTCCGAGTACGTTGCGCGGTGGTCTGACCCGTAGTTCTCGTGGTAGAGATGGCACTTGATGAGCTGTTCTGGCCGGTTCGTGACCGTCTGATCTATAGTGGTGCTCTTCCCTGGATCGTTAAGGGGCCAGAATGTTGCTGTCCCTCGTGGCAGACAGCCGTGTAGGCCATGCGTTTGGAAGAAGTTGATCAATTCGCTCGCATCTTCAATAAATTGCGGTTGAATGTGGTTGGTGCCCCACGCCCGGTGGTGGCGGTTGAAATCACCGGAGAGGATGACGGTCGTTATCCTTTGATCCTCCTGGTTATTGGATATGATTGTGTTCTGGATTGCCGTGAGTGCTAGTTCCGCCGACGCCTCGTTGGGCGTGAAAAGCGGGACGCATGAGAGGTAAACCGAAAAGATAAGAAATTGAGATTCGGCCGTCCAGATTTTGATAGCTGTGACGTCCGGGTGGTCGCAGGCGATCTGTCGATGGGAAGAGGTTGAGGCTTTCCGGTTGACATAGATCAGACTGCGAAACCGACCTGCATCGGTCTCGGTGGTCGGTCGGTACAGCCGCCAGGCGCTGTGATTGACGTGTGTTTGATAGGTGGTGATAGACGGTTCTTGGATCAGGAGTACATCCAGATCCTGGCTCTGGTGATCGTTGATGAGCGCTTCCATCCTAGGCCCCGATTTCATGATGTTGAACTGTAGTATGCGTAGGTTTGTCCCTAACATTGGGAGCTAAAGGTTGCCGGCGTTAGGCACTGGCGGTCACTGGTTGGGTGATCACCACCGCAGTTGAGGCATCGGGCTCTCACCCCCGGGGGGCACCGTTCCCGTTCGTGTTGGCCAGCGCAATGTCCACATCGAGGCGTTTCCTTGCACGACTATGCGAAGTGTCCAAATCGTTGGCACCGGAAGCATCTCTTTCTTTTTAGTTCGCAGCGTTCCACACTGCCGATGAATCTCTGGCCAACGATAAAGCCATTTTCTAGTATAAAATCGGTCCCTTCCGCGGTGTCGAACCAGATGCCGAGGGATGCGAACTTTCCTAGCGCCTTATCTTTCTTCTTAAGCCACGCGATCTCCTCAATCCGGAATCCTCGCCCGGTAAGGTCATTCTCTTCCGTGATTTTCTCGATCGCCTGGGCGTTTGCGTTTTCTAGGTCAAAGTCCTCTGTCGGAGTCCGGTGTACCACGACGCCGAACTGTGGCTTGACCAGTTTCGTGTTATTTCCTAACTCGTTCAGCCATTCGCTATTTTTGCGGGCCGCTTCCGCCGACGCTGGGTCCTTGAACCGGATCACATATCCGGTTTTCGTGGTGCCAACCCCAGCCACTTGGGCGTCTTGTGTGGGCGGTGTGCTCAACAGCGCCGTACGGATGTGGGTGTTCGCGGTCTCCGTTGGGAGATATCGCCCAAAGGTGTTTTGTTCGCTGTTATCATTGTCTCTCGGGTCCACATAGGAGCGCTGGGTGCTGATTCGGATGCAGTTTTGATCCTTCTCCGGGCGTTGGTGGTTTTGTTGAGGAGGTGGGTGGCTCGCTGCTACTGTAGCCCACGATTTTGCTGCGAGTGATGATGATGGTAGCGCATCAATTTGCGCCCGTAAGGCTCGTACTTCCTCATGAAGTTTCTCGTTCTGGGTATGGAGGACGTGCTGGTCGTGCTTCACTTCTAACAATTCGTTCTTAGTGGATTGGATGAGCTCGGTTTGGTAGGCGATCGTTTCTTTTAAGCTGTCGATCAGTCGCCAGATTTCTCGAGTCGTGACGCGGCCATTGGTGTCTCCGGCGCTCGCGGTCTCGACGTTCGAGCGTGCTGCGGTGGTGTGGCCATCGCTAGGCCGGGTCTGTCTTCTGGTCCGAGGCGCGGTGGTCGGATTAAGGTTGTCTAAAGCACCGGTCGTTGTCGTTCCTGGCGTGGTTGTGCGAGGGGGCTCGGGCCCTCCCGCATGTGGGTCTGCCATCCCTTCCGTTCGGTACACAAACAATTTCTCCGGTACAGGATCGATATTCTCCGAAAGCTAGGTACCCAACGGATCCAACGGATCGACAATTACAGGATCTCGAGCGTGTCCGATCCCGTGAAATACAGGATCCCTGTGTTACAGGATGGATCGAAATTAGTTTCACCACTTGCACACGGGGATTTTATCTCCAACCCTCTTTTGAAATACGCTATACCTATTACAGTTACTCTTCCCCTGAACCCCTGTCTTGGCAGTAATTCAATACAGTATTACCTTCAAATATGTTGAGGACGACTGTCTCCACAAAATTACCTCGGGTAGGGTCGAGAAAAGAGGAAGGTCATCGGTCACCAAACGAATGCTCAACGAGCGAGATGCTCAACTGGATGCCGAAGAAAACGTGTCTGGGCAAGAATCGATATGGCGGGGTGTTTACAATCTAATGCGTTGCCCATCCTCCTCATGCCATCTCGGCCCACATTGCTGGCAAGACCCCCACGGGAAAAAGCACTATCAATTGAGGAGCCATCGACTAAAGCGTTTGATCGCCTTTGCGGAAAAGGGCGGCACCTTGCATTCCCATGAAGACGTCCCGGATAATTTCCGTGAAGAACTATATATGGAAGAGCGGCACAGGCTGGAGCCAACAATCTCAGAAGAACAAGATGGTGGGCACCCCTGGAAGCTGTCAGCCTATCAATATAAACTTGAATGGGATGCAATCTTCCCTGCAACAAGACACGTCCAACCCAATCACAGCCTCAGCAATGGTTCTGCCACCCAATGACCAAGTCATGGAAGACCTCAATCTTACTGGGCTAAGAGATGAAGCTGTCAAAGATTATGGCGCATGGCATGAATCAAATGTTGGTGACGAAAATCTGAAAGCACAGTTTCGGCAAGCATGCAATGTGGCGTTAGCCAATGGTCTTGATCTTAGACAAGGCTTCTAACATCGAAGGAGTAAAGGTTCGTCTGCGACCGACACGCGTTTGCGGTGCTTTGACGTTTCCGAACCAGCGAAGGTTATTGCTGATGTTAATAATTGAACGTTTACTGCATTCAGCGGCGTTAGCCATTTCTGAGGTTGTCAGTGATTTGCTCGATATCATATCTTGAATCATTTTAAGCTTTGCCCGAGGGAGCCTTGGAGCCATGTTGCGGAGAGATGGGAGAAGGGAGGATCTGGATGGTGGTAAAGAGAGATCTGGCGAGGAAGCCATGACAAGCTGCAGGAGGGAACGGGGAGCAGATTCATCTGCCCCCTTGGCGTTCCCAGTGAGCAGATGAAATAATTTTAAGACGAAGGTCTGGGGCATGCTGGATAATAGGAAATGCACGTGACTTGCCGATTTCAGGTTCCTGGGACCTAGATGGCCCCTCTCAAAGCTCCTCTCAAAGCTACGGGCCTCAGAAAAAGGTGGTTAAACAGTTAGCACATCATCCCTCAACTGTTTTAATCACCAACTGTAATCTGGTGGTTCTCGAACTGTTCATTTAAATTGTTGAGAGGTCTCTTCAAGCGAGAAGTTCAAACGTTTTTTCTGGAAAATCTTGACTGCATATGGTAACGGGGCTCTCTTCGATCTGAGTCTTTGGGTCGGATCGACCCGTTCCTGGGAACCCCCACTACCCGCCCCCACATGAAAGTATGGTCATCGATACGAAACCATTCGGGAAGCAGTGTGAGCGAGGAAAAGGCTACAATGATCTTTCTGGCCTAGCGCGCTAGTCACATGGTTACAAGGCTGAGGATACGCCCCTCTTCCAGCTCGTAAGAGTCCAACTGAAATTGTTGTCATAAACCACCACATTGGAACGTTTGAAAACAGCTACTCCTTAGCATCCATCTATTCATCAAGTATTCACTTTGATCTCCCTCTTCTGGAGCAGATCGTCCAAGACCTTTGATGTTGCGAGAAGAGAGGGTCCTTCGTTGACATATTGAGTACTTCTGGCGCGTCTAAACAACCTGCCTGGTCGAGTACGTCTCATACAATATGGCTGAGAACCCATTATCTCAGCCAGAGCAATCAGTACCAGCACAAAGCAATGCTGGTGCCGAAATGCCTCCATGCCGAAAGCGACTCCGACACGATGCCTATACCATCGGTTGGGTATGTGCTCTTCCAAAGGAACAGACCGCAGCCAGGGCCATGCTAGATGAAGAGCACGAACCTCTTCCGACCCCTCGCAATGATCATAATGCATATAAGCTTGGCTCAGTATGCGGCCACAACGTCGTCATAGCCTGCCTACCTAATATGGGAACCAGGAGATCACCAACAGCTTGGTGACGGCAATTGAGATTCGTCCTTCGCCACTCTGCTACCTCCATCTGCTTCAAGGTGGCGGAGCGGTTGGCGACGTGGCAGCTGATGAAAATGCCTTTGGCTGTCGAGATTGGGACTTTGCCTGTATTGTGACTCGTGTCTGGTACCGCGACCAAGATGGAACCGAAGTTGCTCGAGCTGCCGTGTGTTAGGTATACAACATCGCCATGAACTTGTTGCCCTTGAGTAGCGGCTTTTACGGTGCAGATCTCGGACCTGACCCTAGAGACGCCGCACTGGCGGTCAAGGCTTTTGGACCAAATCGGCCGCGTCTCGCCCGTCTCAAGCACACCTCAGACCCGCGCAATGTGCTGGCATACGCCTGCCCTCTCTCAAAAGCACCGATGGAACCGAGGCTCATTATTCTCGTCACAGGAGATAGCTGCGCCGGTAAAGACTATTGCGCCGACGTCTGGGTCTCCATGTTCCTCAAATGCACCCAGAAAGGCCTCGTGGCGCGCGCAGTCAGCATCAGCGATGCGACTAAGCGAGAATACGCGGCCGCTACCGGTGCCGACCTGAACTGTCTGCGTCAGGACCGTGCCTACAAAGAGCAACACCGATCAGCGTTGACAACATTCTTCCAGCATCAGGTGCCAAATCGACCTCGGTTGCCCGAGGAGCATTTTCTAAATGTGGTATATGGCGCTGCAGATGTAGACGTGCTGCTAATCACCGGGATGAGAGATGAGGCCCCGGTCGCGGCCATGTCGCATTTAGTGCCGGATAGCAGACTGCTTGAGGTTCGTGTCAAAGCTAGCAAAGACACGCGGCGTGCTCGCCGAGGATGCCAAGGCGGTGATGATGTGTCGGAGTAGTCCGTATTGTAAAGTATGGGTCCAATCAATGGTGTTCAACTCTCTGTATTGCTGTACCCCAATTTCTGGCAATTTATACTATCCTGATTACATAAGAAATATTACTGTATACGTGGGATTAATAAATCCTCCGGTAACCCGGTGTATCTGCGCCGACACCTTATCGCATTGTACCTGTTCATGGCACCCGATGTCACTAAACAACACATCTGTGAATGCCATAGGATCCACGAATCGTATATTCACAACTGATTATACGAGCAGTGAAAATGGTGTTGAGTTGATGCCTCAGATAGAATGAGATCTGTAATTACTGCTTATATACACGGTGCCTCGGGCATCCAACAGAAACCATCTGATCCCCTTAGTATTACACTTACTGGAGGGGTTTCCCCTCCGCAACTGCCTCAGGAGTCAGTTGCTCGTCTCCGTCGGTAGCTTGTCATCTCTCACGCAGCCAAGCCTCATTCTATCCCACCCACCTTCGCTCTGTATATGGAAATCATTTCAATATACAAATATATTGCCTCCCACTCCAGGTTACCAGTTTTCCCTTGGCACTGGGGCGGCTACAGCCACAGCAAAGGCCTAAGTATGCTGACATGGCCAATAACGACCAACTTGTCGCTGGATCACATCATCTGATCCGTAACTTGGACAAACAGAACGTTCCTACCAAGGATTTGGATACTGCCTCGGTAACTCCGCTTATCCTATCAGTGAAAGAGCAGACTATATCGTCTCCCACCGGGTCCACCTTATCTGTATTTAAAATGGTTGCCTGTCCTCCATAGACAGCTATGCTCATTCGCTCTTGCCCCGAGCAAAGTCATTTACGCATCTCGCGGGAATATCCCATATGATCTGACAGCTTCGTCTCTCATCTCTCCCTGTGCACCACTACTTGTCTGTTCGCAGTAATTCCTAACTGGACGCCCTCGTGTACGCTCTAATAGAGTCATCATTCTGGGTGCTATCATCCACAGAGAACTCAGGAACCATGAATTCGGGAACACTTCAGTTCCCACTTGATGGTTTTGAATATTCATCTCTACCCTGACCACCTACGGACAAGAATGCAACATACGATAACCCAGTACCCGACACCATCTGGTTTGATGCCTTACTGGATGCCTTACTCGATGCTACCACCATCCCGGCACATCCATCGCCCCTCCACGAATCGTGCGTTTCATCAAGTCGGGTCCCAATATCAGCCTTACCACCTTGGCTTGAGATGGTGTCTGTCGCTCAGAAGACACGTCCTCCAAAATCAAGAACGCGTATGCTGCTTCCCTACCAAGACCGGCGAAAGATATGTTTATATCATGAACTAGACAACCAAACAGTGGGAATTTGGAGATGAGGTATTCGTTCTCTTGGAGTTTGTTGGTAGGAACAATTGGATAGCCTTTTTCGGAGTGGATACAATGTATGAGTTTTCACTAGCTCTGCCCTTCAATGTACCCTGACATAAAACTTTAGCACAGTTTCAAGAATTCTGCGCCAGAAAGCAACAAACGTTGCCCTTGACCAGGGTCTGTTTGCAGAAAAAGAGACCAGGAGCCGTGTTACTGATGTCGAAAGGGCGCTTTCCAACTTGGTAAAGGAATACAAGAAAAGAAAAATTCCAACGAATGACAGGATACTCATGAAAGCTTTTGGCCACGCCTGCAGCCTTACTGAAGGCAGCGATATATTGGACAAGGTCTGGCTAGAGGACTTTAGAAATAGAAACAACATGTCGTTTGCCCTCGACGCGCCTTGCACAGAGAATAACCGAGCACGCCGGATCGAGCAGAATTGCGACAACGCGAAAAGAGAGATCAAAAACACGTAACAATCTACGCCAGTTCACGGGTCCAACGATGAAACTGAATTCCATATAATACTATAGCACTTAGTTTACTGAGAACAGCCTCCCAGCAATCAGAATGATGTATCTATCTGACAGTCAAATTAGATTGGACCCGCGAAAACCCTCATTAAACCAAGGTCGCTGCTGCCCTGCATCGGGCCTCCGTCTATTTTAGAAGGAGGCAAAAGAAGAAGCTTCGGGCAAGGTACGGCGGCCCATGCTCCAGCGCACGACGTCGACTACAGATAATTCCCGACGCAATAAAGTCTTGCGTTTTTCAAAGCAACTGGGCTCGTGATACATTCAAGTGGAGGATCCCCTGTATGCTTGTATTCCATTTCACCATTCTCGAATACCGGTCGGAAGGAAAGGTTTCGGTAAAGCTTTAGTTGCATTTCGTCAAGACGGAGGCCTGGGTGATCTGGGCTGATGAAAATCCAGCAATTGTTCCCAACAAAGTCTTTGCCTCTATGGTGTTCCCATTCTGGCCTAGGCTTCCAGTCGAGATAGAAAATCTTCTTATCAAGGGCCGACTGAGGCGTGCACGATGGTACGTGATTTAGTTCGAATTCTTTGGTACGATGCTTTTTGCGAGCTCTTGTAAGAACTTTCAAAACCCTTCCCATGATATAGGCTTGTTTTTTGAAAGAGATTTTCCCACCGAGGCAGTATAGATATGTCTTTGGAATATCACGTTGCTGTCAGCCAAATGTAGTCTTGCTTTAAAGACCATATATAGAAGGCCAATCCAACCTATTTATATCTTTCGAGGGAGACATATCATGCCGCATTCAGGGCTCGAAGGATAAATGCTCTATCAGAACCAAAAAATGGCTTTTACATCACTTTAATCTACATCACTTTCTTGCGAACTCAGAATACGCAAGACAAGCAGCTATTCTTATGGTCTATCACCTCAGAAAAAGGCGAGAAAAAGCAGACATCCCATGCCTCACGAAAGTTAGTGCAACTTACTATTTTGCGGGCCACATTTAGATCTACAGAGTGTTAAAATCAATACAACATCATTGAAGTGAGAGCTGCAGAATCTTACGCCTTAGAACAATCTATAAATTGACAGATTTTACTGTACTGTAACAACCAGCTATTATTATCGAGCCTCTCGGAATTTATCGAGGAATACGTAAAGTTGTATGGTCTAAGATAGATGCTATACAGTGGGGTTTCTTGTGGATTCTTTGATCCAAGTGTCTAGTGAAATCGAAGAGCCCTAATAATTTTTGGTGATCTTTCCCCCAATCAGAACTTCTATGTTGCAGGTGATGAACGCTGACATTCCTCCTGAGAAAGCGCTTTTTATTTTTAGGAACCCGAGGGTCTCTCCGACGGCTGAAGATTGATACGATGCTGGCATAATTCGCCCTCTAGACTTTGTGACACTACATATCTGTAAAACAGAATTTGCATGTACATGTATTGGAACTCCCACTGAGACTTCACTAAAGCATGCTTCACTGAAGCTATCAATGACGCCGCTATCACCCACATAAGATAATCTAAGGGTCCTGAACTAGGCTAAATATGGAAGATAGGGGAAATGCATTCTCTAGGCTATTAAAATTCCCAATTGGAACGACATAACGTATAATAAATTCAATTTCTAAAAAATGAAACAGCATCAGTCTACTACAGCATTGATAAGTTTTCCTTGACGTTGCTGTCACCCCCCCCCCTTCTATTTTGCACTCAACACATCGAAAATTCAAAAATGAGATAGAATCAGACATCGTGAGCCTGCAATGCAGTAAAAAGCATGGCTTGTACATCCCAAGAGTGATGCCACTTTGCCAACTGCTTTACAGACATTATCAGGCTGCAGAAGAATTGGAAGTAGGTGCGAAGGTAGCCGAGGATTACTTCGAAACCGATGACGAAGAGTTCGGCATCGTCAAAGCGGAGCAAGACTTAGTGGAAGACGACTTGGTGGAGGATGGCTCGGTGGAGGACGACTTGGTGGAGGATTTCAGGTCTGAGGCAGTGCACCGGCTGCCATGCTTGAGCCCCTTGTCCAGCGACCCTCTTTTGTTGACAAAATACGTTAACTACCTTCCGTTTGTCTGTAGCAATACAACAACCTTCTCCTCTCTTCACCTCACAACAGATCCTAATATAGCGAGTGCAGTACCAACAACTGGCGCCCATTGACCTAAGGATTTATCTGTTAATAAATGTATGCCACCTGCGCTTTCATTGGCCATAGTCAGATAAGGCACAACATTTACTTACCAACGCTTTGCATAGGCTCTGTTTGGTACTTCATTTGCGCACTCCAAAAGTTCATCTCGCCTTTGACGATAACTGCAAGCGCTGCTGCAGCAAACACCGGTATCTCGACTAGAGCTAACCAGGCTTTTGTCTTCTGGTTAATTCCAGTCATATGGCTGATCGTAGCCCCGTTGGTTCCCTGAATGGGTTCATCTGGCTTCTGCTTATTTTTTCCATTCGAGAACTTCTCGTCCAAGATTTGGAGCAACGTGGATACCAACGACCGGATGGCAGGGATACAGCATCCTGCCGCAATGAGTGTACTAGCATTGGCTGACAGCTCATGAGGCACTGGAACCACGTAGAGATTGTCGGCTACCTCTAGTCGCAATGGTGAGACAGGCCCATTTTCTGGGGTACAAGCAACGCTACAGTTGGAGCCATAGCTAAACACACCACCTTTTGCGGCCCAGGAAATGCTTGCCGGATCGTCACTTGAGCAAGTAGTGACACTGAGGCGCATAAATTCCACAGTCAAGCTCACTAGCCCAGCCAAGAGAAGGACGTTCCATAGAAAGACGACCCGACGGCCAAGGTCGTTGAAGTAGTCCCTGGATAGCCTGACGGTCACTGGAAAGGTTAGGATGCCAACTGCGCACAGCTGGAATGCCCCATAGACATCCATATCGACAGCGCCTGTAGATTATTAAATTCATTGATCGTTTCGGTGGGTCAGATCAAGCGGGAAACATCAATCCGGAGCGAAAGGTTCGTTGGACTCACCGTCGACATGAAGCGCAGCAAGCACAATCGCGTGGAAAGCCGCGACAGCAGGGAGAAGTAATATAGCGGACACACAAGCTTCCCTAAACCATTGTATTTTGCGAATGGCCACACAGGCTGCAATCAAGACATAGTATCTGGAGTAGTGTCAGTATATCATGGTAACACTGCCAATCTCTTTGTAGGGAAACCTACAGGAGTCGGGTCCCCGGGCCATATTGACCGGAAACCGGCCAGGCGCAAACAACCTCGAGAGATGAGGAACTTGCAGTCGCTGTCATGTTAGGGAGCGATGCAGTAGCACGATGCACAAGAGCGTGCTCTAGTAAGGAGGCAACAAAAGGAATTGCTGGCATTGCATGTTGTCCGCTTTCGGCGACGGTAGATTTAGGCTAAAGCAGCAAAAAAGTCATATATTTAGGTGTTGTTCTCTAATGCTGACAGTGACTTAATGAGACTCGACGTGATATCATGAAAAATGGAGATAGAAAGAAAGCAGGGAGCCGCCCTCGGGCCGTTTTATCCACGAAGCGCTACTGGGAATTGCTAAGGACACAACACCTTTTTACTAGGGACACAACAGATTGCTTATATAATAATATTTAACTTTGTTATGTAATCTCACCACAACTTTGCACCTCGCAGTTGAATTACCAACTTGATCAATTTTTATATGATAAAACGCCTCAAGTTGGCACATGGATTGATTTAACCTATTATACTTTACATGACCTGATTGTATGCCCAATTTCCCCGCATTTTGAGCACTTGGAAGGCGCTTTTTTCTTGACGGTTGTAGTTGAAGTTGGAGTCCCTATTTTAACACCTAATTCATCTGAAGTTCCACCTTTTTTATCTGACCTTTTTACCTTCGGTATAGGTAATCGAGGTTCTAGTAGTGGTAGATACTCTGATTCATCCGGTGCTAGGTTCTGTTTCCAAAACGGATGAATAGCGGATAGTGGAATTGGTTGTTTCTTCTCTAATAGTTGTGCGATTCGGTGTGCGCAAGGAAGGCCCATTATCCTAGTAAATCCATTAGTACAATTCGATAAAGGGGCAAGGTGTGTAGCCCTCTTAGCGATGTTAACTTGATCTTGAATTAGTCTTATTGAATGATGTGAGGTTCGCTTATTGATGTTTGAATATAAAAAGGATTGGGCGAAAAGTAAGGTTTGTAACTGGTCATGTTTAACCTCATATACTAACGTATCAAGTTGCGTACGTATAGCATGCCTAATTCGACCCTAAACAGTTAGTATATCACCTGTTGAAGCTTGGATATACTTCTTTAAAAACGCATGTGAACCTTCTACTCGTGAGGTTGACGAGTTACCTAAGTGAAGGTACTGATTTGTCCAATAGCGAACTACCTTTTCTTTATAGATTAGCCATGTTTCTTTGATATATCGGACGGCATAGGGGGATACTAATTGATATTTCTTAGTAAAATCTAATAGTCTTGCTTCATATTCAACCTCCGTTAGTGAATTAATAAGGCTCTGCCAATGGGTATTAAATTCATCCCATGCTTTATTAGTAGTAAAGCATTCTTTCAATTTAGCGGCAATATTCTTATTAATATGCCATAAGCAAAGTAAGTGCGGGTAATCTATAAAATCATTAGAAAGTGCACCTAATAGAGCAAGATCTCGATCAGTACAAAGAACCGGAGGTTGTATAGGGGAATTAAGCCAAGAAAAGAAAGTCTTTAATGCCCATTTATATGATTCTTCTTGCTCGTTTTGCATAAAGCAAAAGGCAATACTAAACGTCGTATTTGAAGGTGAAACTCCAATAATATGAAGTAACGGCATTCTATAACGATTCGTCTTATATGTGCAGTCTAAAACGAATACCCTATTATATCGATTAGCGTATTGAATTGATTCTGGGTGAGCAAATATAAAAAACTCAATATAACCCTCCTTATCCTGTTTAAATTCATACTTCCACTGGTAAGATACTAATTCCTCTTGGAGATATTGAAGCGGCGATTTATCTTAAAGCTTTTCTCTGCGGAATTGGATATGTAGATTATACACATCTTTTGGTGTTATTAAAACACTAGGATCGCTATTTTTGATCAATCCTATAATCTGCCGTGGAGGAGTGCCTTGCTCAAGAAGGTGCCAAATAGTATCCCGCTGCTCTTGATTAATCGTACGCGCTGCTGGATGGGCAATCATATTATCTTCAAGCTCGTGATTATGATCAGGATTCCTTACTTTTATATGCCATTTTCCATCTGAATTTTTAGCACTTGATTTACTAGCGTATAAGCGAAAAGTGCAGCCGATTCGCTTGGTACTAGTCTTCCGGCGCTTTGCCCCCTCCGGTGCATTAATACGATCGGTATACTGACCACTACGATCGCATCCAAGAGTAATATTCCTTCCCGTATTCGAACTAATCGTGGTGATAGCGTAGCCTTGAGAAACTGCGTAGTTGCATAGAGTTGTAAGCATTCCTTCGCGGGAGTCGTATACTTGATCAAATGGGGTTGCCATAGTGGAAATTAAGTGATAAATTGATCAAATAGTGAGTCCAATAGGGAGTCAAAAAGATTGATAGATATAAGAGGGAAATATCATAACTAACTAGTTAATAAAATAGTTAACTTCAGGCATACTGTTGCTGCAGCAATCGATGGAATTCGCCAGATTATATAATACTTCGTTAGGTAAGCAATCTGTTGTGTCCCTAGTAAAAAGGTGTTGTGTCCTTAGCAATTCCCAGCGCTACTCTGTAGATTATGTAACCATGATCAACAACTTTGGAAAAGCGAACTGGGCATGCACCCGGGCTGCAAGTTGATTGGTCAGCAACAACCTCATCCCGGATTTTTTACTCCGTAGCCTCAGCCTAACTGGGATTGGGTACTCAGAGAGAACGTTTATCGTCAAGCTCCAAACCTCGGAACGACAAGTGCCCCCGTGATGTTGATTTGGGCGGGCGCAGCAACTGGGGCAATGCCAGTTTCCGCTGATTGGTAAGTTGAGGCCCTGTGGTACATATCGCGCAGTGGCTTTGTCTGCAAGGCAATTTCTCGGTATTCCAAGGAGAAATCGGAGCTGTGATGTAGGAGAAGTAGGTGAAGTAAGAAATATTTAATGATTCAACCCGAAGTCACGAGATAAATCAAAAAAGGAAGGTTGGGACTCTGATATTGACCGAACCATGGGTCGGCCAACATTAAAGGGACTTCAACTTCCCAAAAGTGACAGTGCGGGGTAGACCTCGCCACGGCCCACCCATGGGGCAGCATAGGGCGCCCATCAACCGCCCAATTTTCCCAAATAGGATGTGTCAACAAAAGAGGGTCGCGATTTTACTAGTGCGCCCGGAATTTTCAGCACCCCCATCTGCCTGATAATCCTAAGGCTCCCAACGACCTTACTAAGCTCATCCCCTAGTTATTTATTCTGCACTTCCTATAGTATATGACAGAAATCAGGCGTACCAAAACGTATGGTAAAAATGGCAGATATTGAAGACTCTGTTAACTCTAAAATGACAAAACCCGCTATTTCAACAATCTGAGCGGACATAGCTGACTAACTGTAATATGCACTTTTGTATGGTATGTCGAGTACCACTGATCACATGATTTTCGGGGTAAATTACCCTGTCTCCACCACGTAATGCACCTCTGTATTCCGACAGATTTGAATGATAAAAGGCCTACGTAGGTAATCACCTACGCGACCCAGTGTCGCGTCCGACAAAAGCCGTCACATTCAGTACACAAAGCCTTGTACCAAAAAGCAGGCTGAAAACATGTTCCATACGCGGCGTGGGAATGAGAAGTCCCTAAGCATGTGTGCATTTGACGAATCAGAAGTGGAGGCAACCAAGCAAGGCAGACAATTGTACAGGAACAACACACCAAACTATGCGCCAAGCTGACAAACATTGGCAAGGACTAAGTCGCAATTGTTGTACGTGTCACTTTAATGGCATATTTGCTTCTGTCGATAAGAATGGTGTAAAACAGCTTCCGATTTTTTCTAACAAGATCCGCTTAGAAATAGCCAATCAAAAGTGAATTAGATCATGTCTCTGCCGATATTTGCTAGAACAAGAAAGTGCTGCCGAGCGTGAGATGGAGCAGGATTGACAGGACATTCCATGATTGCACCTTAAAGTACTCGCCCTCTATGCAGTCGAACACTTTTGGCACCATATTCTTCTTGAGCTTCTAAGACCAATCGAACTGCCTGAGGATGTTGTTGCAATTGACTCTGAATCAGAAAACGAACAGCCCGGATTTTGCAGCCCTGTTCTACGAGAAAAAATCTATTGCCTCAAACGCATGAGCCTAGCCAAATCAGACTATTTACTTTGTGTCTCAGAACAAGCCATCATGATAATTTCCCAATAGAGTAGCCCTGTGCTTGCTGGAGACAAAAGTGAAGCGATATGATAAAGACATAATATGGCAAGATCGAACAAATTATGCTATCTCCTAGCCACCTGCATAAGAGACAGCCTTTATGTATTGTCGATTTATCACGGTTTCCGGGGCGTAGAAATTGCTGGGACTGATTCGCCAAGTGTGCACTTGTAATGATTGTAATTTTGTCTCACCGCAAGTCTACAAAGCGTTTACGTTTGACTCGGAATGCCACGCAAGTCTGCCAGCTTTACTGATGCTGGCCTACCCGCTAACGCATAAGTTAGTGATAGCCAACACACAATGTTACTGCAGTCGGTGTCTCATATACACAGCGACCACTCTCAATTGTCTGGATATCAATCATTCCATGGTTTACATAACTTGCAAAATTTAATAAACGGTTTATCAAGTGATGTTCTACTGAATGCGGCAGCTGAGGAAAATCACAGAACGCGAAAGGGTCTGAAGCGTCGGAGACTATCCTCCTTTCATCAACGAGCAGACATTTCATCCCGGCCTCCAAGTATGCGAGTATCGTCCTGCTTCGAAGTCTGTGCCATCTCCCCGGATATGAATACAGTCTACGCTGCATACTCAAGCACCGTATGCAGGATAACCCTCGAATAAGTGACAGCGCTGTAGGCCAGGACCAAGTGCATCAAATACAGACTGGGCCGCCAACCATTCACCACGCCCATCCTCTCCAACGGCCGAAGCAGATAAAAGACAGCCCCAAGAGAATTCCAGATGGCGACTCGACCAAAATGTACCGCCAATAGTGGGGGGATTTGAAATGTCCCGGTCAAGGTATAGATGGTTGGTATCAGCGAAAGTAAGCCCAACGAGACACAACTGTACGGGAAACGGTACCGCGCTGCACAGATTCTGGGATCCCAGACCAGGAAGTCCACCAGAGTCCCGACAGCAACGACGGTGAAGGCCGCTAGGTACCCGAGCTGGAGGGAAGGCTGGGCACGGAACAGCAACACCACGGAAGGAATAGTAGTCGTCCAAATCAGGACCAAAACGCTTCCAAGCTCCAGCTTTTCCCACTCTGCCGCATCACTGCCGTGGGATGCGTATAGGATACGATATACCAGGCTGGACAAGCACCAGAGGATGACACCTGCACAATAGGCGAGCACCGACAGTGAGTCAAGAATCCCTCCCGGGGATGAGGGGAAGTGGAAGAGTAAGAAATGAATCATAAAGAGGTAAAAGTAAGAAAGTCCAAAAATGCTGATTATGGCGAGGATTGCACAGTCGTGCAGAGTCTGAGCTTTAGCTTCAACCATTGCACTTGGGTTGTTGATCGGTTGGGCAGAAGGGGTTACCGCTGGATCGGACTGGGACCTGGAAGACGGTGCAGATGGATGGGTTGGTCTCTTGGAAGTGGTCCAATCGGGTGTTCCGTCACACCACACAGTAGGAGGTCGAGATGGCTGACGCTGAAAGGAAACCAACCATCTTAATTCTAGATATTATCATGGGGTAGGCGGGCTATTTAATTGAGAAGCAGGAGTGGAGAAGATGAAGCGGCTGGTTGCGTTCACTTGGTGGAATTGAACTATTGTAGGTGTGTGTCCCCTGTCAGAATCCAATCCATGAATTCTGTCCAAGTACGTACAACTGTCAACCTTGATGGTCAATGAGTGGGTGGATTCATTGATGGCAACATGGCCAACATGGCTGGTGGTTTAGAGAGGGTGTTTAGAGAGGGTGGTTAAATTCAAGTGGTAAACGGTTCCACCACAAATTTGGAGCGGTTGTTCATCAACACCTCGGAGGTCAGGCCGGCTTCGGAAAGATACATGGTTCAAGCTAATATTAGAAATACTTTGTTTGATAATTGACTTCCTGGACTTGGTTAAGGCTTCACTTCCTTAGTTCGGGGTTGGCATCATTTACGTGGCGGTTGGCTCAAGCTTTTTCCTACTGGGATGGGAGTATTTATCCACCTATCAATTTCACACCTATCAATGACCCATTGTTAGAGCCATCACATTGAACTCATCAAAAAATGCATACACTCTGGTCTAAGCATTTTGTTCAATTGGACAATACATATACGAAGCTGCCGCCGGGCGTTAATGAATTGGTTGTTTGTTTGTATACGAAGCTGGTCAAAGCCGCCGCTTTAGCCACCCTCAACATCTAGGGGGTTGATTACCCCAGCGAGCCAGCAACCGAGAGCTTTCGCTGTAGCCATTAATTTTCAATCGCACGAATGAAAGCATTTACTACTGAAGGTGGCTCTAGCGACCCGGAATCTCCAACCAGCCCCAAGAGGGCATTACATGTTGGTTTGTTCTTCCTCGACTGCCTATCGCTGTCCATGACCTGTATCTCTAGCATATAGCGGGGACGGCTCACACTATAACATTATTACGGTCGCACAAAGAATGACTGCCTTTCCACAGCAGCAAAACAGTCAGATAAGCGCTATGGAAGAAATCGCCGATATTGTTCGACAGATCGGCCGGCAGCAAGGAGAAAACGCATACTTCCGAGCTTGCTACGCCCTTTTCAAGCACCTGCAGGACAAGGCCAGGGAAGCATCTGAGGACCTGCTCCGCCTTCACCAATCTGGCACTTTTGGTTCATCCGATGACGAGTTCTACGCCGCCTACCAAGTCGCACAGGAACTTCGAATCTCAGTACATGATCTGGTTGACCAGGCATGCAAAGCCCAGTTGGCCTGTGAGGAGTTCTGTCAGTTGGAGCCCAGATATTCGGCGCGTAAAGCTTTCAAGTTTACAGACACGACACAAACAGCCGAGGCGTCTGAGACCAATACCCAGGAGGGCTGTGATAGCCCCCGGTCGATGCGGTTCATAATACTACCAGTGAACGATATCTGAGGGCACCCCATGCCGTACAGTACGATTGCATAAGGACTTCGACAAACCTGTAAATAGCCCTCATAGTTCCTTTGATATGTATGCAACATTTATTGTGAAACATTGTGAAAGAATGAACGACATTAGAAGCCCATAGAATCCTAGTAGATCGTAGTAGCAGCCCGTCGGCGGCTTTTGAAACAGTAACAGAACATTATCCGCAACGATAGAATAACATCCAAAAAGATTGCAAGCTAGTCAAATCTTGAGAAGTCAGCAAAATAAAACCAAAATCTAGGTCTTGTTGCATGTATGGTTTCTTTTCTGAATTCATGTTTGTGCTGTCTGGTTGAAAAGCCTCTGTTTTCTACCAACAGCTGCAGTTGAGTGCTATGCCACCGTAAATATCAGTGACATAATTGGCCCATCAATTTACTGACCTTGCTTGTTTCATTGACATGATAGAAGCCACACTGGTCTACGTCTCAGTAGATTATTAAAAAATGGTTAGCTAATGGTAAAAGCAATCATTTTCGGTGGGCAGCGATTTCTAGGGGAAAGAGAATAAAGAAGGTAGTCTACCATACATTGGAGAAACTATAAATAAGGGAAGCTCTTCCATCCATCTCAAAGGTATCTGTTCCAGAGAATATTCTCAGCTAGTTTGAGCCATGTCTTCCTCCAAGCCAGAAAGCAAAGGAGTCACAAAAAATCACAATACGAGAAGCCAGTCACCCAAGGATTATAATGAAAACAACATGCAAAAGGCAGCTGAAAGTTCTCCAGCCAAGGCCAGGGCTGCGAATGAACAAGTCTCGTACGTCAAGCCAAAGTCCAGCGGAAAAGCAGATACGCATGCTTCCGATCAAAGCCAGGAGGTCCAGTCACAGTCAAAGCCCCAATACAGTCCACAAGACAGCCATCCAACCACGGATGGCCCGAATGAAGCTGCTCCAGTGAAACCAAATGACGCGGACACGGATATGAAAGACAGTGAGCCTGAAAGGGACCTACATGAACCGCCCAATCCGAGAATGGCCAACAACGGAACGAATCCCGGTGGTCCAGCGCCAGTCGACGTTGACGACGAGGAATATGGCGAGGTCCTGAGTGATCTGAAGACGCTGTCAATTGGTCAGGATCGAGGTGGAGAGCCAGACGCCTGGAGCCGCCTAGGACGATCACTAGTATTGCTGGTTCGATACGGGCCCTACAAAGCGGCAAAATACCAAGTCCAAACCGCAAACGGATACAACACTGCAGGCCTGCAAAAAGTATCGGATCCCGAGACTAGAATTTCCCACATCACATACCGAGGACAAGATGGAGAAAAGCATAGGCGGTACACCAGGAACAACGTTGCCGGTATTGTTGGCGTGGCAATCAAAGAAAGGAAAAAGGGATCCAAAACAGCCCCCGTAGCATATGTCAAAATCTTGTGGCAAGACATCGATGAGGACGATCAATGGTTGTTGAAAAGGAACACCTGCTGGATTACCAACGCAGATCTCATCACCTTGACGGATAAGGTTACGGCAGCACAAAAGATAACCGAAGTCTGGGAGAAGCAGGAACTACGCTACAATAACTGGCAAGGCTTAATTGGAAGAGACAGCCCTGATCGTTCACCTAGTCCTTGTCCGCTGGATACCTTCAAAGCGGAAAAGGATTGGACACTAAAGCGAGAGCGCACAAATGAATCATTTCCAAGTTTCGAACGTAGTCTAGATGCGCGGAGTCCTACTACCCATCTGGACCAAGTTGGACGGAGGCAAGTGAGGCAACTGGCGGCAAACAACAGCGAGCGTTATAATCCAGATCTGATAAAGCAAGAATTGAACAGTGAGGAAAACGAACTGTTTGTCAGTACGAATGGTCAGAACGCCAATGGTCAGAACACCAATGGTCAGATCACCAACGATCAGAACACCAAAGATCAGAACACCAATGACCTGGATAATAACACAAGCAGCGGATCTGGGCAAAGTCGGCCACCAAAATTGAGCAAATTCTATAAGAAATGGTTGAAAAAACGGCAACTTGAGGAAACAGATCTCGATAATCTCGACGATGAGTATATTGGAAGATTCGAAGCCGCCGCCTTTGTTTATGTTGACGAACTGAGGAAGCAAGGCTACATTGTAGAAGATGATATTGGTGCGGATCTCTAGGGTGGAGATAGTGATCAAAAGTTTCGGCAATCGAAATGATCGAGTTATCTCGTGATATGACGAGAATGGCAGCATGATTGTATTTTCCTTTTCCATCGCTGGCGATGTGAGAGGTCCGCTCAGCAGACTTGTTAAATTGTTTTCGTTTTAGGATTTGTATATATGCACTCAGAATGAATATTAACCTTTGGTATTGGATAACACTAGCATGGGGCGGAGAGGAGAGTATACATTTTGAGCAGTCAATTGTTTAAAATTTGAGAGTAATATGTATAGGGTTTAAATAGTAGGGATTTTGAGCAATTTGCTCACTAGGGCTGCGGGCGCTCTCCATTTGCTATCTACAATGAATATGTATCCTTCGGGGCTGAATCAACAAACATTGAATAATCTATGCACATTTTTTGTTGACCAAAACATCTTTGTGTTTAATATGTTATATGTTGCTCGCCTTATATAGACATGACTTTTCATTATGCTCTCCCATAATAATAGAACAACAAAATATGTAAGCATAGAACGAAGTAAAGAACACAAGCCCATAGCTGCATCGCTGTGATAACGAAAATACATGATTTAAGTTGATGGACGGGTGGAAAATCACTGACTGAAATAAGATAAATACCTATACATACTGTATCGCCGTGCTCAAACCCACCGGGCTATTATAATGACGACTACCATTTCGTACAACGCTACAAGTTCTGGGTTTCAGGCAAGGGTGATCAATGACAATATCATGGCTTGGTACACCTCCAGCATCACCAGGGGGGAAACTTCACCACCTAGCCCAATAGTGCTGCATTGCAAATAGTAATGAACGATTTAGGTTGCAAGAGAGACATCGATCTAAGCAAAATATGAAAGCCTGACATACCTTCGCTTAGGAATTAACATGCAGGATTTAAATTAATTCACAGGGCAAAACTATTGAATTGAACCAATCAAATACATAAACATAGAGATTTGATGGAGAATCTACGGAGTGGAGATCCAGATATGGAGAAACAGTACAGTAGATTCACCTGGGAGCAAAGGGACGGAGAGGAAGAGAGAGAGAGAGAGAAGAGAGAGAGAGAAGAGAGAGAGCTATCTAGCTATCTACTACTATCTGGATCTGTCCCATGTGGGGCTGCTGCCTAAGGCAGCATCAGGCACCCCACAAGATTTGCTTAACACATGTTTTCTTTCTCCTTGGACTTACCACAGTCGATGCTACCAAGTGATTTCACTTTAATGGCACTCGATCTGTCAGTGGATTGTTCTGTTCCATTGGTGTTCACCGGAAAGAGCATAAGCACTGGTTCTCGCACAGGACCCTGATTTTCAAGTTCCTCTTCATCTTCTAGTATGACTCTCCTCAACTTGATAAACTTATAATATGCAAGCAATAATGAAAATACAAACAAGAGAAGACTGGTCACCACGGCTGTAACAATGGCCATTACAGACCAGTGACCTGATTGGGAAGTGTAAACGTTGACAAGCGTGGCGAGAAGCCCAGCGGCTGCATTTAATGCGGCAGGCCTATAATTATGTCAACTGCGAGAATCCATGATGACATAACTCTAGGGCTGTGCTTACATGAAGATCTTGTTCACTAGCCACGAATAATTGCTTTCGAGTGTTCGGAAAAGCACGATCAATGCAGCGGCTCCACCGACAAGAAATAAGCAGGCAATGACGAGCAAGGGAGGATTTTGAATAGTGCTTAATACAGCTCGTCCAGCAGTATTCTTTTTCAGCACTTCCTCCACCTGGTTTGATTCTTTCAGCGAAGTAAATGTTCCCTGGATTACCAGATATCCTGCAAGTAAAGCCCAATTTGCTATGCTAACAAAGACATTGTATTTCCAATTCATTTGCGCTTCTTCTTTCAACATTATTGTGTAATTTGTATCATGGCTTTGGCTGGCGGAGGTATCTGCGCGTTGTATATTTTCAATGGATTCAGATTGGGTATTCCCCGTTCGCCTTCTCACAACCTCTGGTATCTCAAACTGCATGGCCCTCGATATGATTCGATGCGTAAAAAGTTGCAATATGTTAAAAAGAGAAAGAGGACATGTAACATATTTATATTGGCTTTTTAATCTTCCTGTTGTGGATTAACTGCTCCGCATTTTCATATTGGCCCTTGCTAAGCCTACGGTTTCTCACAAAAAGGTGGGGGCCAGATCCAATCAACCCATTACTGGAGTAAGAATTCAAAATATTGGAGGTGTCCTTGTAGTTTGGAATTTATCAGTTCACCGAATCATAATACAATCGAATCGAGTGGAGTCTTCGATAGAGGATAAAGAACATCAAGAATAATGTTGCTGGCCTAATCTACATAACCAGAATGTCACATGTAAATGATATGAGATTCGCACTCAATATTAATTATTGGGAATCAATTGTTGGACGTAATTGAAGAGAAATGTGAGGGTCAAAGAGTTTATAGCTGCTATAGTATCAAATATTTGATGACAGGCCATTTCCTAAGTAGGCTTAGATATAAAAGTACATCATATCCGTTGTTTCGCTTACAAGACGTGTTTAAATTTACAATGGCGGCGTGGCTAGACCTGCTCTCAGATGTCACAGGCAGGTCCTTGGTAGACACCGGGCGATTCGAAGAAATTATCCAGGGAATGAGCCATCCCAACTCGCAATACCCTTCATTTATCTACTTTGCTGGCAATGGAAATCGGATCAAGGCCCTTCAAGCTTTGTTTCCTCACAACAATGTCACACGCAAGGGACCTACTGGACTCATTCGTCTTCATCTCAGTACTACGACCGCCCACACTGAACATCCTATCATTTTTGCCGAGAGTAACCCTTTCAGCCAAGCTGGGGTGGGTGACACTTGCTTGATTAGATGGTCTGGAGACAAACATAGAAGATATTCTATTTCCCTTCGGGAGTCTCAGCCTCTAGCAGATCTTCAACAAGACGTGATTAGACAAAAGATCTTGCCGTGGACTCAAGTTCTTTGTCTTTTTGTTAATACCATCTCTGAGATGCAAGATGTACAACAACTGCTAGAAGCACCATTTGGAACCCTGTCCATCGGAACTCAAAAAATACCCAACTTAATGCGTGTGATAATTATCCTGTCAGGGAACGTTCAGCTTAAAATGCATGACACGGATGAGGACTTTGATACTCCCGAGGTATGCATGGGGCGACACAAAGTCACAATACTGGATCTCCGAGACAGATCAGAATTATCTCCCACCGTTGTCTTTGAGCCATTACGGAGCCTTATTCTTGATGAAATCCAAAAAATACGAAAAATACAGAAAGAAAAGTGCCTCTCAATCTCAGCCGTGCATCTCAATGCGCTCTGGGACCGAACTCTTCAACTTCAAATGAAAGGACCGAACCCAACCAACCTTGACTGTCTTTTAGTGGCACGAGGGGCTTATATAAGAAATAAAGCAATGGTGAATTGCTTTGTCGAGTTACAAAAGCAAATTGCAAATTCTGCATGCCATGAGAGTGAGCTCTATGAATTTATCGCTTCGGCTCTGCTACTAGACGCCTATCCGCCTGGGATGCATCGTAAGCAATTTCTATATTTACAAGATTACTCCCACTCCATGAGTCTTTCTAAAGTCTTTCACCAACGGGGCTGACCAATATAGTCTTTCAGCCACAGATGATTTTCGATGCCCTTTATCGGGACCATTGTCGGGAGGCCTGGGATGAGGAAAACTCGGAAGCATGTTGTGTAAACATTTCAGATCAATTTGTCGGGAGCTTCGCTCAACTGGAACCGAAGACGACCTCAGCAGCCATTCGTCGGGAGTCGCTGGTAAGGTTCTATCGTCAGTGGGGAGGCTTGCAGTCGACGACAACTTGCTTTTCTTGCATGTGTCGGCCGCCAGAGCATATGCTACCTTGCAGACATGCAATCTGTGACACTTGCGTTGTACTGTTTGGAACTGCAAGTACTTGTGCAGAATACCATATCGATTTATCCGAATGCCCTATCTGTGATATACCACTCCAACTCACAGTTCGCCAACTTCCTCCAACCAAGCGACCAATTGTGATAAGCCTAGATGGGGGAGGAGTTCGTGGTGTCATTCAGCTAGGGCTCCTACGAGCACTAGAAAGACGCCTTGGAGGTATGTCGATAGCACAGATATCTGATTTGTGTATCGGGACAAGTGTTGGTATGTATATTTCTCTGTCATTGTACAAAAATGCATTCCTTGGCTGAAATTATCTGACATTAAGAGCAGGGGCACTTTCAGCGATGGATATAATCTTCAACGAAGTATCCGCAGAGGAAAGTTGCGCTAAATTTCCCGCTTTTGCTCGGATGATTTTTGGATCATCTCCAAAATGTGCACCAAAATCTACAATACCTCGATGTATTAAATGGGTTAAATGCCTGGTAGGCCTTTTAGCCGACTGCCAGTACGACTCAGACAACCTAGCGAGTATCCTGCAGAGAGTGGTCGACCCCCAACGTCGAATGTTTGATGTCATGGCGACGAGCTCCACCGGTTGTCGAGTGGCCATTATCACAAGCCGTACTTCTGACGGGAAAGCGTGCGTCTTGGCAAACTATCGTGGGATGGGTCAGCGCAATTTTAATGCGGCATATCAATTCTTAACTCCTCGGACGGAGGATGAGAATCCTCTCTTACGGGACGTGTGAGTAGCGTTGAATTATCATCAGTCCAAAGTATTGCCATTTGTATCAACGCGTGAGACTTGCTGACGATCATTATTCACAGAGCTGAGTGCAGCATCGCCGCTCCCTTGTAAGTGCCCCGGTAGGCTTTTGAAGATAACGAGGGCTAATATCAAGCAGCGTCTTTCGAACGAAATCTCTTCCAGGGTTTGGGTTCTTGCAGGATGGTGGAGTTCGTGCCAACAATCCTTTGGCAATTGCACTCAACGAGCTAGCGGTCATCTGGCCCTCAGCCAAAACGCATGATCTACTCTTATCAGTGGGAACAGGGTCATTTTCCTCTACGGCTGAGCCAGTTCATACTGGCCGGAGTTTATTGCGGGATAGTGCTATCCCTCGCATGATTCGAGCAACAATGTCTTCCCCAGCCATGGATGGTGAACAAGGATTTCGTGAGGCACTCAATTTCGTGTCGGATGACAAAAGATCAAAAGTTTTTCGGCTCAACCACGAGCTATCTCAACCGCTTCCTCGGTTGGACGATGTGAGCAGACTAGCGGAGATGTCCGAAATGCATTTTGCCGCTCCGGATGAGCTAGTGAGAGCTATCCTAGCATCTGCCTTTTTCTTCTTTGAACTGGATGAGCTGCCAATCAAAAGACAAGGGGTATACTTCTGTCAAGGGTCGATCTTGTGTTCCCGATCATATGCCAGGGATCTGGTGAAGCAGGTCATGGTCGAATTTCCGGAGGCAAGGTTCCAAACAGCCCGCAGCCATCATCTCGGGGACGTCGGTGAAGATGACGGTTGCCATGTATGTGGATACTATCGCAAAAAAGTGAGTTTTTCTGTCAATAGTCTCGAAGAAATGACATCAATCGGGATTGCCGGCTCTTCGTTCTTTCAAGTAATTGGCGGCTTTCCAAAATCGGCGCAGGAGCTTCTCGAAGATCAACAAGCAAATTCCCATTTTGGTCGTGCCGACCATTTAGTTGCTGCCTGGCCTCCAAAAAGGAATTGCTACTGCCCCCCACAGGTCAAACGCCACGTTCAATTCATAGAACCTGCCTTGGAGCATAAGAAGCGGCGACTATGAATTTCTATCCATTCTATCCCCTCGCTGTGCACTGGCTGGTTCAAGATGTTCATGTGATTAGAAAATCCTAAGGCTATGTCAATGTTGATTATTGTTGTGTACTATCGGTGCGGCTCTTTTGACCTATTAATGAGGTGCGTTGCTTGTGAATCCAAGAGGGGAAGCTGAAAGCCATGCATTAAAAAAATATTCGATCTTCCACCTGTATCCAAGAAAGAAAGAATTATTTCTCGTCTTGATTTCGATAATGTTCAAAAGTAACTGGACAGGGGTAGTTAGGCCGATAATGTCGTCCCCGCCAATGCTTCATCAGGCGTGTACATCGGTACGAGCGGAACGTAGACTGAAAAGACCGGAATCTGGGAGTCGGCCGTCCAGATCTTGATCGCTGCCAAATCTGGGTGATCGCATCTCTTGTCGGCGAGAGAAGTTTGAAACTGTGCGGTTAATGTATATGAAGCTTCGGAAACGAACCCAGTCGCTCTCCACCGGGAAGGTATGCATCGAAATAAACCGTGAACACCCCACTGCAGGTCTTCGATACTACCGTTTGGTTTGAACTACGGAACTGAACATCCTCCATGTCTGGAGGCAGACAGTCTATGTTTCCGTAACTCGAATACTGGATTGTAAAACTGTCTAATCTCTTCATACATAGAAAGAACCCCATAATTATAGGCTTCTCCTTCTCCCCCCTGGAATCTCTCGACTGATTAATTTGTAATAGAAACAGAGTGGTAGAATCAAAAAGGAGCTGAATAAGCGGTGATAGCACTGAGTGCTGGATTCTCCCGTATTCTATTGACTGAATGCAGCCTGAATTGAAATGACTTCCTGTGCTACAACAAACTGGCGCGGTTGTATACAGGAATTGGTGGTGTAGACGGCAAACTGCATCGACAGCGCTAATCTCGATTCCGCGGGACTTCGAAGTTCTTGGCATGCGAGAAAGACATGGTGATTCGTAATACATAAAGCATGCCGAATTAGGGTTAGCGTTGAAAATTCCATGTTAAATACTAAGAATTAACCTGGATTCTCAACAGCTTCTGGTAAAGTAACTCGAAGTCAAATATCGTTTTTATGTTTTACAGTTGAACAGCGCTCCTTAACAACTGTAACCGTTTTGACCGCGACGTTGGCTGTGCATGCACACTTACCTGTTGCCCCACATGAACCGTGGGGCCCTGTTTGTTTGGCCTGTTCAGGCCAAAGGTTGTTTGGTTGAACGTTTTTATAATTTTGAATTTGACAACGGTTGTCCCCAATTTATCGTCTTATTCCACATACTACAATACCGGTGAGGGGACCATGGCTACCTTGTGGTCACTGCGTCTTGATGCCGCTCATGCCGAACATCCCACCAAGCTAGGAACGAAACATATCATGAGATGCGCTTTACAACAGATTGTGCCTTGTGGTCAAGAGAGGTTACTAAATAAGGCACTGAGCCTGGTTATTAAGGACCGGATGGGCTAGCTTGTCTTCTAGCACGATGTGCGATATGTCTTCCGCGGATACCAACGAAATATATTTTCTTTGTTTAAGTGTCTGGGTTTGATTTGACTAGGCGCTCCAAGTCTCGGCAAACCCCTGCTTCTTAAGTCGCTCATTGTCCAGAATGCATTGATGCAGTGAACAGATGTCACCTCTCCTAGTACAATGCTGGAGACGTTACCGTGTGAGATTCTGATGCTGATCGCGGACTGGGTAAGTCCTGGCGTGTTTGGTTTGTTTGATTCACGTCCTCTGACCGCCTGCCAGCTGCCACCCGCCCACCTACGCGCTCTCAGCCGAGTCTCGTCGAGATTATATTCAGTTTTGGTTCCTCATATCTACCGTACCATTGCATTCCACGCAGCAAGTGAGTGGGCGCTGAACGTTTTGGATGTCGACTCCTTCTTTCTCCACCTCGGTTAATCCCGGTCCGTGGGCTATCTTTAGCACGTGAAGAACCTGCAAATCCAGGCTCCATTCCATCTCGTCCGGTTTAATCGATGTGCATATTACAACATCTTTCGCGCGGCGGGGCTGCCGGAGTCTCCGACCATATTAGGAGCTTCGGACGAGGCGACGGCACATCAGCAGTTTTTGGACGACGTGAAGGATCAATTGCAGTTGATATTCACCCACTTGAAGCCGAATAGCCTGAGCACTTTCGAGTCCGTATGCGCTAGTGCCCATTCTCCGGATGTGTGACTGACTAGCAATAGATGGCGGCTTGGGATATGTGTCCCGATGGGAGTTCTCGATCAGGGAGGCTATCTCAGCCGATATCAACAGCGCCTCGCCCGTCTCTCACTCGTCACCGATGGTACCTGTCCTTAGATATGGCACCGTCTGGAAGGGCTATCCGAACTATCGAGTCTAACGGCCTTCGAGTGGGAAGGAATCCAGCATTAGAGCGAGGTTGATTTGCTGCGATAGTGCATCCGTTATAATTGGAGCTATCTCGATCACCTATCTATCGGCTTTGTTTATTCCGCTTCCGCCCGTGCTCTGTGCTGGGAGAGTCTTAGACTATAAGGGCCGGAACTCGGGGTCGGGGATATAAGAGTCGAGAAGCCGATAGCTGTTCCGACCTTGTCCTCTATAGCACTGTCAAGGGTGACCCTTCCCCTAAATCTCTTATCAGAGAATAGTTCGATATTTTGTTCCCTGCGAGCGCTTACCCTCCGGGACTGCCCGAATTAGCTACGTCTCTTGTAGTTGCTGTCGCGGTCATAAAAGCCACTGCAACTGGAGCATTTTAAAACTTCTTTGGATCTCCTGCTGCACGAACCGGGCGACGGGCGTAGCCTATCTGCGGTTGTGCGGTTCCTACGTTCGTTTCGTGGGCTGCAGTATCTGCATCTGCGGTTGTCCAATTTTCCGACGTCGGAGTCCCGCATCCAGGACGCCATAAAACACCACCAAACCACGTTGAAAAGCCTTGTCTACTATGAGCGCCAACTCGCCCCCATCGGCGAGGATGGCTTGTTTGAGGACGATCGGGATGTGTCGCCCGTGTGGATTGCAAATTTGTCAACCATTGTGGACCTAGGCCAGGTGACTGCTTTGGCACTGTGTGTAAGACCATCTGCCGCTATAAGTCTTTGTCAGCCTAGCGAACGTGTGCATACTAATCAAGACAGCGGCGGTGCCTTCGACCCACGGCAAAGCATTCCCAGCTTCGGCTTTTACATTTGCGGTTTAGCGGTCCCGAGCGAATCCATCGAGATATTCAACGAGAGATTATCACCTTCCTCCATGAGACACGCAAACCGTATTCATAGGACCCTCGTTCGCGCAGGGGTCTTATGGACGAGGATATCTCTAGTGATAATAATGACTACGATCGTATTCTCAACGCGTACTACGATAGGTCGCCCCTCGAGTGTATGGATTTTCAGGAGGCAGTGCTCGAGTCGTCCGCAGCAATAGCAGAGGCCGAGGATTTTGTGTCATTTGCCGAATGGGCATTTGGCCCCGGTGGACTGCCGGCTCTACAGGTCCTTGCGTTCGGCGACTTCTCCCACGGTGATCGGTATAGGGGGCAGCAGTTTTTGATGCGTCGCGCCTATCCTGCATGGGATAGTGACGGCAAGGGACTCGCCGGCCTCACGTGCGACGATACGACGCGGCCACCTTTCCGTCCGGCAGATATGGCTGATCCTTCGATTTGGGATGGTGTTTCGGTGGACGGAGCTCGGTTTCTGTCCGCATGTCCAGGAGGCGGATTGATGGAGTCACCGTATGAGCCGTAGGCCTGTTTGTCCGTTCTTGGGTCTTTTCGCTGTTCTTCGCGGCAGACTGCCTCGTGCCGCAAATATTTCAAGTACCGAACTTGGGTAAATAGCTCAGCCAAATATCATTATTATCTCTTACTAGCTTTGATATCTAGAATTCATATCTTTGAAGTCGGACCGTGATTGTCTAGCCTGCCGTCAGCCAAACCACGCATAAACATATTAGGTGCATCTAGACAATTTCCCAAGCAAATCCAACAGAGATGATTTTTGATTGGTAATTTCGCAGTTACCAGGTCGACCTTTTTTTCCATTCACTTATACATTCTTCACGGCTTTGTCTCTAACCCGTACAATTAAGCCGGTCCAGCGAAATGTTTACCGGTGCCTGCGCGCGCCCGCAGTTTCTTGCCGGCCCTCAGTTAGATGAGCACGGCCAGGTGTAACCGGCAGTTCAAACAGCTTTGCCCTCAGTAATACATCCTTCACTTGAGTCTAGTGCAAAATTAGAACAGTTCAATGCGGGTTTGTTTATAGTGATTCTAGTCGCATGGTTAAAGACGGCTTTTTTTGCGATGGCCAATGGCTCTCCCTAAAAAAAAACCAATTTAGCGTGATGCGGTAGATTGGCATATAATATATAAAAAAACTATTTCCTCGACTTAGATTGACTATCTTAAACTCTCTGTCCTCTTCTATCTGAATCTAGAGGAGCTTTGAATCCCTCCAACCCAATGGACACTCCTGCTTCCCACTCTCCTGCGGGACGGGCCAACAAAAGAAAGCGAGAATCACCAGATTCATATGAGAAGCCAGTTGGGACGCCAGGCAGCACCAAACAAGTGACAAACTCTTCGAAACAAATGCTACCGGGCGAGATAAAGGTCAGATTTCACTGAGTCCGTATTTGATCGGATCTAACCAAAAAACAGACAACCTCGATGGGTGCGGCCTGTTCTCTAACCAGTGATTTGACCCAAATCCTGCAAAAGAAACCCGCTTTAGCATCTTCCGCTATTGACCTCCTGGACCTCTATTTGTGCCTGTGGGAGTGTTACATGATCAAGTCCGCCGGCAAAATACGCTTGGAAGAGGAACGTCGCTTCCTACAAGGCTCCAACGAATGGCTGGTGGGGGAGAATGAAAAGCTCCAAGAATGCTGTGATAACCAGGAGCTGCTGCTGTGGGATCGTCGTCAGGCCTTTGACTCTATACATCAGGGTATTCTCGGAACATTGCAGAATAGTGATAGACGCTATTGTCATATAAATGAGTTACAGTGAGTTTTCGCTCAAGCGAAATGAGATCGGCACGCTTGACCTGGCTATGGCTGGTATTGTACTGGTAGGCAACAGAGTGATAAACAGGTCTCGTGGTTCTTGCGTTGAACAGAAAAGGCAGGCAATGAACGGGTCGGAAAGGATAGTTCAACGGGGTGGAGTATGGGTGGGGCGTTCCATAGGTGATAGATACCCTACTACCAATGAATGTACTTTCAACGCAAAAACACAAATCGATCACCGTCTGCGTCTGCGTGAATCAAGAACAACCAATCACTGGTACACAGGGACTTTTGTTGAATATGGCCAAATATCTGGTTTTTGTTTGGTTTTTTTCCTGTGTTTACAAACGCCTTGCCACCCCAGTACTAAAGCTCTGCGCTAAAGACTTGCCTGCCAGTCATTCTGGTCTATACATATAAATCCCTAATGAAACCACAGAGATTTTCTCACTCTCCAAGCCTACCATTTCTTCGCAAACCGCCTTTTGTCGTGCAATCTCTCGTGGTGCGCAGAAAGAATGGGGCAACTTGATCAACTTGGTTGGTTGAAATATCTTCGATGACTAGTGTTGGCGCTGACAAAACCCTTCAGACTTCGATTTGGATCTAGACCTTGAGTCAATCTGGAGAGAATCGCCGAATATACCGACATCACCACCTTGTCTCGCAGCCAATCGCAGCACTCTCAGTTCAATCCAACCTATTAGCATATCACAGTATGCAAAAAATGAGGCCGAGAGGCCTCATGCTATCGAGTGCATTTTCTACCCTAACCATGATAGCGAGTGCGCCTTTCGCTGGACGGGGCCGGATCTGTTGTCCCCAGACACCTGTGCCGATGATATTTTCCTCTACGTGTCAGCATTCTTTCTTTTTGAACGGGTGCACTGGATAGAAATCCGGCTCAGCAAGCTCAGCACGGGACACGAAGAGGTTGTGGAAGAGTATCCGTTCTTTCTTCCGCGGGTTGAATCGATGTTGGGGAACCTACGCAGAGCGCGTGGTCAGATACGTGATATCATCTCGCGGAATGGCTACATGGGAAGTGCTGGGGAAACCCGATTTCAATTGTCTTTACGACCGCAAATAGAGACTGCAACAGGCCCCGGCATGCGGAGCGCGATTCCTCTATCTTGCATCCACCCTTCTATGCCCGTATCATCGTTCGATCCACAATTCTTTGTGCAGGATATTGTAGGAAATTGGGGCATATGAATGCTCTGGCTCTTGGATAGCCTGTTATCATAGCGCGGTCTGTTTTGATCCTTTTAGTTATGGTTTTGTCGAAGACGGAGGGGCGATTCAAAGTTGCTTATTTTTGGATAATAATCTCAACAGAACAAAATGTGGATGAGCATCGCGTTTACTGAATGATATTCACTAACTTTCGTGGTTATTTTTTTCATTTGTGGGCATTCCTGGGTTTCCCACAACCGGTGATATCTAAACGGAGGTGTGTTTATGGCATGTAGTGTTGGAGACTGCGGGAAATCAGCGCGTTGGAGATATTCCGTGCCAGAACCGAGTCGGTGAATTGCGACATTGAAATCTCTGGTACAGTTGGGCTTCCCCTAGGCGATGAGTTGAAGCGGAGCAGAGAGCATCTAAAGCTCGCCAGCTAAAGCACTCGAAATTATTGTTGAATCGGCTACGTTTACGGTAGATCGGGTATTGGGAACTGGCCTTGGCGCCACCACTACGGCGGTGACCGGTGCCATAGCGATCATCGGTGCGAGTCTATTCATAGATCGCATGGTTAACAAAGAAGCAGAGTTCGAATGTACCCATCAGAGGGGCGGGAACTTAGGGCAGTTGAACGGGTTTATTCTACGAGCTACGTAACACAGAAACATTGAGTGAAATGTCTTTTCTTTTGCTGTTGTTTTTCTGCCATTAAGTCAGGCATGTAAAGAGGATGATTATGACCTATGAGCCTGGTTGCATCTGGAAGATCCATTATAAAATAGTTATGGATGTTTAAGTAACCAAACCACCGGTGTGGTGGTCATTTGGATATATTTTAGTACTCCTGCAACGCCACCCAAGCCAGTTTACAAGTAAACAAGGACTCGGTTGCGCTCTGTATTGCTTTGGACCTTGTCCTCATGACAACACAGTTCGCATGGGCCATTTGACTTCTGGGGTCCTCCTCCATGGTAAATTCCTCATTACGGTTACAGGAACGTTTATCATCTATTTTCTAGAAACGCATATAAGAAGTGAGCGAGAATGTAAGCAATGCGCTTTTTAACCAAATGCGTACATCAAGATCGTGATCTCACAATGCATTCTCTCTTCTTAGTATTTTCTTTATTCTTTTCACTGCGAGCTTTCGATCGTATGCTAACCCACGTATTCATTCCAAACTTCATGTTGCTGGGATTCATTGTGGCCGTGCTTGGCCACATTCCCTTCATTATAGCCTCCTCACTCCCAGCTGAATACACTACCACGGCTAGTTCTGATGACAACCATGGGAACAAGCTTGTTTTCTGCCACTTCATGGCATGGTACTCCACTATCCCCCATTGGATCGTAAATCCAGTACTAACTCTCGTTAGGTTGGCATAGTTAGCAACCGCCAGAGTGCTAGCGACTATGACGACGATATGAAGCGCGCCCAATATGCAGGCATCGACGCTTTCGCCTTGAACATCGGCACTGATTCTTACACGGACACGCAGCTGGGGTTTGCGTATCAATCTGCCGCCAACAATGGCATGAAAGTATTCATCTCATTTGACTTCAATTGGTGGCAGACTAGTCAGGGCAATGCAGTCGGTGCAAAGATCGCGCAGTATGCCAATTTTCCTGCCCAGCTCAAGGTTGATGGGAAAGTATTTGTGTCTTCTTTCGCCGGTGATGGTGTCGACATCGCAGCGATCAGAGCAGCTGCCGACAGCGATATATATTTTGCACCCAATTTTCACCCCGGTCGGGGTGATTTCAGCAATATTCAGGCCGCTCTGAACTGGATTGCATGGGGAAACAATGGAAGCAATGGGTCTCCAACTCCTAGCAAGCAGCTCGTTGTTGCCGATAGTGATAATGCTTACAAGACGGCTCTTAACGGGAAGCCCTACATCGCGTGTAAGTGGCTCGAACAAGTTTTCTTTCTTATGCTGATTCAAAATTAGCGGTCTCACCTTGGTTCTCGACACATTTCGGCGGCGACGTCTCTTACACCAAAAACTGGGTGTTTCCCTCTGGACTCCTGTGGTATAACCGATGGAGAGAAATTCTAGCTACCAGCCCTCGCTTCGTAGAGCTTCTCACCTGGAATGACTACGGTGAATCGCACTACATTGGTCCGCTATCATCGCCGCACATAGACGACGGGGCCTCCAAATGGGTCATGGGCATGTAAGCAGAACTCCCCCAAGAAACAAAAGGGGCGACAGCGAATAACGCATAAATAGGCCCCATAATGGCTGGCTCGATATGGCAAAGCCTTTCATAGCCGCCTACAAAGCTGGCTCAAAACTGCCAATCCGTTTCCTCGACGAAGAAAAGCTGGTCTACTGGTACCGAACGACCCCCAAGAATGTCAACTGTGATGCAACCGACACGACAATGCAAGGGTGCTCCAACAGCTGGAGTGGCAACTTCGTCTGTGGACGACCCGATGGCGCGGATAACATGACCGACGAGGTGTTCATCGTAACGATGCTGAAGACTCCTGCTACCGTGCATGTGCAGTCTGGCCGCATGGCTGAAACTTATGATGCCAAGGCCGGAATGTGGTCGCACTCTGTGCCGATGGGTGTGGGTAGACAGAGCTTCAAGGTTGTTCGTGAAGGAAAGACGGTTGATTGTCTGTGTGGGATTAGTCGGAGGGATATTACTGACACGTGTCCCTGTGGCATCTACAATTTCAATGCTTATGTGGGCACTCTGCCGGCGGAAGCCTCTGTTGACCGGCTGCAGCCGGCTGGATTGGCACTGTTGTCGCAGGGATTGCAGATCGCATGTCCGACTACTCTGGGTGCCAGATGAAAGAAGCAATATAAGTATTACTGTACTCTTGCCAGTTTCTAGAGGATATTAATTAGTCAAGCAGTCACTTACAAGACATAGTGGCTCAAGCATCTGACGATCTGCTTTGTCTTCAACAATACGAAACACTATTCCCCTCCACTGGCTGCTTGCCCATCTATTACATTGCCACAGAATTACGGATCTCGGCAGAAAATTTGTCGAATCAAGAATACCCACCGTATGTCTGTAATTAAAATTAAATTAATAATATTCCTATACTATTCTGTATATCGTCTAGTTTCCCATGGCGTTGACTTCAAACAAATATGGACATCGGACTGATTGAGCCGCTGACTGTAATCGATTGGCAATTATCGCAGGTGATTCTACAGGTATCAACATAGCAAATGTCGTCCTGGAGATATACAAGATCCAGTACCATACGTGGTGCACATTACGGTGTTCCCCAATTTAACGTGGCCCGCTCGATTATGGATATGCGCTAGGCCTTGGCGATAGAACTAGAGAAGAGTTATTATGGTAAGATCGATTGCGAGAATGTCTACTGGGCTTTGATTTCCCCCAACGCGTTGGTAATTGAATGACCGGTCGGTCTGCGCAGGGATCATAAACTCCCTCAAAGATATGCGCCGTCTCCGCTTCTTCGGACGTGAGAATCTGAGGGTCAACGGTGAAATATTTTTATTGATGCCTGATCATGAATTGTCTTGAGTCGATTTTTCAAAACTTGCAATTTAATCCCAGTCCGAGCCCAAGATTATTGAACGACCGACCTACTATAGAGAACACAGGTTGTTTATGTTTATGTTTACATCATGTTCAAACGTTCAAGTCCGTTCCTTGACCGTGTATGTTTGGGGCGACAAGGTCATTTCGGCGAGCAATTTTCTCTATACTTCACGGCAACAGACTTGTCGAGGATCAGGTATTTGAATCATTGAAATGCCGAATCAAAATTGCCTCAATGGGATAATACAACGTTGTGCATCTAAAGTCTCTATTATCTCTACGGCCTACTCAACTATTTTCAGTGCCCACGCGCACAATTATGAGCTGGTTTCTTGGTACTAAGTTGTGGGCACATGCCAAGTGTGTCAGAGTTTGATGACCCATGTGTATTTTCGGAAAATACTGATATGCTGAGCAATAGGGCCAAAAGATCCTTTCGTCCATTGAAGTCGCCTCGAAGCAAGGACCGTCCACCAACTCACATGGTGCGCAATAGACCAACAGGAAGAAACGCGGACAACGACCTACCAGAAATCAGGCCGCAGATTGGCTTTCTTCGGTGCCGGCTTTGCCACGGTCGCCGATCATCATTCTATCATATCCAAAACTCAAAAGATCCAGAAGCATTTCCTCCAGAAGGGATCTGCTCGCGAAGGCGAACCAACTGTGCGGCGAACAAGGCCAGGCTCCAAGCTTCTCATGGGATGCTCCCTGTGATATATGAACTGCCAGCGGATGAAATGGTCAACTAGGTGGTGAGTTTGCCAATGAGCTCCGCGAAGTCAACCAGTCAACAACCAAGCTAACATTGCGCCGCTCGTAGGAGTACTCCAATTGAAGGCAGGCGGAGCGTATCCGAACATTAATGCGCGTGAACGAAGCGCACTGAGGGCATTGAGATCAGGGTGGATTGTTTTGCGCACTAAATGAAGCTGCTAGAAGCTGGTAATTCGGTCGTTGTAACGGTGGGGTTTCTGCACCCATGAGCTAATATATTTACAATCTACTTCGCATGGTTGCCCATCTGAACACTTCCGGTTTGCGTATTTACTCCCTCGGACAATGACGATTGTGGCCCGTTTCTGTCCGCGCGAAACCGTCGTACTTGGTCAATTTGCTTATCCTCTCCCGTAATTGTTGGTGGTGGATCCTGGCGGTCCCCAATTGTAGACTGGATGTTGTCGGGCAAATCTTCGTCTCCACCCCGTGCATGAAATGTATCGGGATCGAAAATCATCAGTTGGAGATTTCTTCCCGCGCGGGGTTGAACAGTCTTCGTGACAGCCTCACGTATTGAGCGACTCGCACACACTGCACAAGAACTTGTCAGCACCATATTGGCCATCATTTCCGCTTTCAACCCATAATAGTAGATGAGATCGGAATCGGTGACACTCACCCGCCACGGCCACAGCTCCGCTTTGGTTATTGATAAGCCGCGCAACTTCTTCTACTATATTAATCGAGCCATAAAAGTACTAGAGCCGCTCACCCTTTTGGTAGGAAAGATTTTCTTCGGGGCCTGATTGGGTACGTGAGCAATAGATGCTGAATTGCAAAATCTGGAGCTTGGTCAGATTATGGCGCCTAGGATGAGTTGTGCACGCAGACAACTTACACAAAATCCTTTCCGATCGAGATGGAATAGCTGTTCTATCCATTTGTTCACCCACTTTGGATACTCTGCGTGCAGTATGTCAGCAAAGGCGATCCCTAGGCTCCGAACCACGGGCCATAGTCAGGGACATACCATCTGTGCCAACTCGGCGCTTCCAGAGAACCTCCAGCTTTCGTACCATTACTTCTCGCTTATTACTGGCTTGCACTAGCATTTCAATGTACGACAGTGCTCGAAAAAATCCAATGTCCTCCACCACGAAGAGGATTGTACCGAACCGATAGAAATTGAGAGGGTGTCCGTAGGGTCCTAGTACGATAACCGGCTGCCTGCTCGGTGATTCCAGTGCGTCGTGGTACAGCTTTCGCGTAAACCCAGCTTGAGGCTCAGCTACCATGCGGACTGTTCGTTGAGTCGGTCCGTCTTCCCAAAATGCAACATAGAAAAGAGGAAGCTGAAAATAAGCGCGGAAGCTGGCCCGTGGAATCCAGAGCTGCACGTACTGGCCAGGGCGGATCGGTCGGTTGAGGGGTTGTGTGATGTCAAGCCATAGGAACTGGCTTATAGAGTTCATGATCACCTCATTTCCCGAAGATTTCTAAGGCTTCTGGTTCTATACGGCCATCATGCAGACAACGGCACTGATGGATAACCATAGGCAAATAGCGCCTACCAAGTACCACCGATACAGTGACTGTCGCTCCACGAGGTGGTATGTAAGCGCGCAGACCGCGGTTACTGCAAGAAGGTAGTGGCATTTTATTGCAAACTGTATGTGACGCCGTTGGATCGCCGCGCAAGTCACTGGTATCACGAGAACGAGAGCAGATCCTGCCTATATTGAGTTAGCTGTAGCCACCTATGCAAGTCGTAAATATAGCTCCGCAGGTATTAATACGTACCGCTATTGGAACAATGTACCGTGGATTTGCAAGGGTCGTCGTTCTGGCGACGCTGACGAGTAGCGAACAGTGCAGCAGAGAATGGAGCACATATATGCGACCTACCCAGCGATGGAACCACGCGAGCATGTGACGGTCCATATGTAGCAGATCTGCCGGAAAACCAAAACTTACACCGGTGCATAAGGGGATGAGGTTGATGACTGCCAAAGAGCCAGCTCTTTTCTGTGCTTCCCTCTAGGAATGGGTTCGCAACCGAAGGCCAACAATATTTGCTGCAAGCATGACAGCCAACACTAGTGCTTGCCGGTACTGGGAGATGTCCAGCCAGCTCATGCCCTTTGGCAGGTGGACGTAGGCAAACTGCCGCTAGGAGCCTAACATTTTCAATTGGAAGGGGCGACAAAAGCCCATATGACGTCTCCCCCGCGCCCAGCGCCACACACCTCGTCCAAGCCAATAGATAAACCATATTGATAGGACAGCTGCAGCGCTGATGGCATACAAGTTAGGGAGAGAGGTGCTAGCAAACCATCGATACAAGTCTGACCCAATCGGGGGCATTCTGTTTGGTTGTCAACAACTCAGAGGGATAGACGATTACCTATATAGAGGCGGCTAAGCCTTGCTTTTCATATTGTCAATTTCCTGAGGGCAGAAAGAGCTTTCTCTCGTGGTTTTAGGTAATAAGCTCCATCCTTTGTAGTCTGTTTGTTGCGGGCTCATTTAGAGTAATGCTCTGCCTGTCTTTCACATAACCCCGTGTCAGAACGATCGCCGCAACAAAATGATCGTCCGCATATCCTAATACACATCGCTAGCCTGTTCACCCAGCAAAATGCTGGAATGATCCGGAGTGAATCTCGATTAATTTTTAAAGAATGAGACATAAATGACAGCCAGAGACTATTCTTATTTGATAAAAGTTATTAGATGTAGGCAAACCTCACATGTCTTGTGAATAGCTGATCTTGGCTTGGATAACAGCTGTCCCGTCTTTTCCGCTCTATCTCATCTTCAATGAGCTTCTTCACAGCATGACTGTTGCGGGATCTAGCAAGGAGAGCTGGAACTTTCAGGTTTGAAACACGTTTCGAGTCCTGGAGCAGCCTTTTGACTATTTTTACGTCTCCTCCTTTGACTGCCAACCCCAGCGCGGTATCGCCCCAACGATTGGTCAAATTGAGGTTGATATCAGGATGCTGAAGCAAGATGTCCGGAATATTTAAGCTTTGATTACGGACAGCCACGCAAAGTGCACTCTCCTCATCAATGCTGTTCAGCTGGTTGATCTTCAATCGACCACCTTGTTCCACCAATACTTTCACCGCATTAACATCGCCTCTTTCGGTGCCCATTACTCGCTGCAAGATGCAAGGCTGTTCTTCTTTGGCCGTCCACTGCATTAACGTCTCCTCCGCGGCGGAGCAGCTTTCGCAACACGCCAGAGTCTCCTTTGCTTGCGGCACCATGAATCGTTTCTGAATTGCTACTGCAGATCTTGCTCTTTGATTCGGGGCGCAAAGTATCAAAATGTTCCAGGAGCACATCTAGCATGGGTGCCCTGCTGAAGGCTGCCATCCATGGCGAAACACCGTCCCGATCCAACGTGTGGGGATCAGCGCCTTTTGAGAGCAGCAAGCGCACCAATTTTTCGTTTTTTTGAAAGATGGCAAGCCAGAGCGCAGTTTGTCCGTCATAACCAAAAGATCGATTTCGATATCAGGGCGTTGGAGGAGCTTCTTCACGATAGAATATGACCCTTTTTCCACGCTGTACCACAGGGTACTTCTTCCAGCCGCATTCCTGAGGTTGATGATTGTTTTTGAATTTTTTAGAAAAGGTTTCACCGTCGACTTAGTGTAGAGTAATAATGGTTCAGTAGATGGGGTGTAGTCGTGGCTTTATAGATTGCCCCGTCATGGATATTTCATTCCCGAACTCGAAACACAGAGCACTGTCCTACAGATTCCAAGCAGTCATTTGCCAGCCCTTTGCTCCTGGGACCCAGTTATGAGTTTCCAGGGCCCAGGGGCTCCCGGGATTACCTGTGGCGTTCCTAGGAGCATCCATCCGGTTTCTAGGAGCTAGTATCAGGCTCCCGGGGACTCGGTAGTTCCTGGGAGAGACAACGTCATCTGAGGATGTCTTATTGAATTTAAGCCATTCTCTTTAGGAAATGCAAGATAGCTGGCTTCATGACGTTGGAACCTACAGCACAGAGCTAATCTAGTAAGCACCCGGGCATAAAGTCAGCTGAAGTCTCCGTTGTTCTTGCACATTAACCACAAGACAGTCATGCAGATTCCGACTATAGTACATGCACTGCTGGCCACGGCCTTGCTACTCTCTAGCTTGGTCCTTCTCGTGTTGTCTCGTCGACTAGATTAGAAAAACTCCTTTTTACTAGAGCCTCGACCGGCGAAGATTATTCTACTAGTAATGCATATAGGCCTAAGCTGGAGCAGAGAGTGTGAGACTGGGAGAGAAGTGATATTACGGATAACCAGTTTATTTCCCTCTTGACTTGTGGTACGTGCTATCACGTTTCTCGGTTTTACGTTAACCATCAAACGTCAGGTCAGTATCTCTGAATAAGAATTTTCCTAGTGTGTTAGATAACTAACTCTAGGGAGATAGGGTCAAGGGATTTATTGGTAGGCAATCATAAGCTTTCTATCGTCGCACACTGAAATTGCAACATTGTGTTGATACAAAATTCCGAAACGACTTTGATTTAGGTAATACATCGCCTCTCTCTGTTTATATTTTATTTCTTGCGGGCTCAGGCAAAGTAATACACCACCTACCTTCCACACAATCCCGGGTCAGAACGGTCGCCGCAAAAAAATGATCGTTCGTATGTCCTAATACACAGAATTGAGCATTTCTAGCTCCAATGGATGTAGTACCCTGTTCACCCAGCCATCAGTTATGGCGTCATTGATTACCTCCAGAAACCTCTTCTTTCTTCCTGTTCAGAGCCTCGCTGGTAAACCCGAATACCGATCGGTAACCGGGCAAACTTTGTGACCTCAACAGTAAATCTTTAACTCTGCCTTCCTTCAGGTTGTTCGGGGTGCTGCTGTCTCTCTTTTGCCAGTTGGTACTCGAATTCCCTATTCTTGAGCTCTAGGTTCCAAGCTTTTTGTTGATTTATCTTGATATGTTCAATAAAACACTGGTTCTGCTTCTCCAAGCCGTCTTTGTCCACTGCGTGGGCCCGTAACATGTTGTCGCAGTTTTGTAGCATAACAGTTGCCTCGTAGTGTTTTTGTTGCATTTTTGACATTTCAGCATATATGCTCGTAATGATTCCCTCGAGCCTTTGATTTGGATGTTGCGTGCCTGATTTAAGTTAATTCGGAATTGTCATGGTATTTCAATCCCAGACTGACCTTGATAAGGGGGATGGGTTCGGGCGGTCCGACGCCACACGTCTTCTCTGTGGAGGCATTTTGATCGGTTTTGGCTTTTCGGACGATTTACCACTTCTTGTAGGAGAAATAAGATAATTGTCAGAGACAGATTTTCAAAGGCCAATGGCCTCTATTTAAAATTTTTTTTGAGGGCTTATGCATTGCTGACGTTCCCGCGGTGTAAACGTCGGCCTCATCGGTATAAAATCGTCTACTTTGGATGTCAAGCCACAAGCTTCTGGAATCGTGTTGCTTGCTCCTGGGCTGTGAGGGTCTCACGTATACGTGAATGAGGACAGCGTCTTCCAGATGAATAATCAATATCAAGGAAATCTATAGTCGACTCTAGATACAAGACGTAGCGCGAGGAAGCTTCCGCGTCGAGGGGATCCCATAAGCACCATGTAGGTCCCGCAGATCATATCTCAATTTAGCTTGTAAGCTTCATGTATAACCCTGAAAATACGATGCATAACTCCCAGGAATGGGTGAGTGCTTCCTGGGAACACTATAACATATCCCGGGATCCTTGGGGCTCCTAGGAACCAGTCGCAGGATCCCAGGAGTAAGTATCACGATCCTAGAAGCCGGTGACTCGACATCCACTTTTAAATAAATCCGTATCAGTGATATGCCCTCAAAAAATATTCAAATAGAAGCCACTGCCTCAAATAAATGCGTCTCCCAAGCTCCTCAGCCAACTACTGGGGGTGACAGACTTCTCTCTGAATTATTACTCTTAGCCATCCTTTTATTACCATCTGTATAGGTAGTCGTTACCTATACGTTTACGAAATCTGCCAAGATGCCGCTTTTGGGACTTCCACTAGAATTACTTTTGTGGATTGGCACGTCCATCGACAAGAAGGACCTTCGAAGTCTGCGTCTCACATCTCGAGAATCCAACGTCGTCTTCACAAAAAGCCTCTTTGATTGCATAGACTTCCAAGACACCCCGCCAATTCATTGGGCAATCGAGCATAGAAACTTAGGCACCATCCAGCACTCTCTGGGTTGGGAAAAGGCAGATATCAACAAACCGTTTTCTGGCCTTACACCGCTCATGTTGACTACAAAATTGCGATACGCAGATGCTGTTGATTTGCTCTTAAGCCATCATTCAGTGAAAGTCATACAGCGTAATATTTTGGGAGGAAGTGCCTTCTCGATCGCTGTTCTGCATGGAAGCGTGAAAATTGTCGAACGACTCCTCAATGTACAGAACATTGATCTCAATAACCAATCCCTGGACGGAAATGCGCCCATTTCAATTGCACTGACCTGTCACCAAATCTACATCTTCCAACTTCTCTTGTCTGATGAGCGGACAAATTTCAACATCTGCGACCATCATGGCCAAACACCACTGCACCTAGCGACAGAAATTGGCGACTATGGAGCAATCCAAATGCTTGTACGAAATCCGCGAGTTGATGTCAACTGTTTCAACCACCGACAGGAAACTCCGTTACTTCTGGCTGTCTAAGGACACGGTCGTTTTCTCCCCATCAACAAAAGACTACTCATCATTGAAGCCTTGCTTTTGAGTCCATGCATCAACCTTTATTATCAAGATAAGGACGGACGCACCGCAATCTGGTATACAGTGAACAATTCCGACATAAAACTGGCTGAGCTCCTCTTGCAGCAAACAAAACTGGACGTCAATTGCGCCGACAAGCTGGGTCAGACACCTTTGGCAAAGGCTGCTGCAAAAGGCTCCTTAGACTTGATCAAAGTCCTCTTCCGACAGCCGGGGCTTCATAAAAGCCCTCAATCTGCGGATGCATTTCCGCCGCTCTGGTCAGCATGTCGCGCAGGACGATTTTCAATGTTGAAATTCCTTTTGCAAAGTTCAGCCGACCTTAACCAAAAAAGTCCATCGGGGACGTCGCCACTTCAGGTCGCAATAATCATGGAGCACGTCGACATTGTCCATCTCCTTCTCAGCTACGAAGAATCTTTGTTGATCAATGACCAAGGCCCTTGCTCCTTTACTGCGCTCCTGTTTGCGTCAGCTCACGGTAGGTTTGAAATTGCCAAAATGTTATTGGAGCATCCCAACATAAATGTAAATGCGGTGGACGACCAGGGGAGAACATCTTTCTGGTGGGGTGCGGCTGGTGGGCATTTTGAGGTTGTACAGTTGTTGGCCCATCGGTGTGGTGTGTAAAAGCGACTGAAAGATTCAAATGGCCAAACGGCGCATGCCATCGCCAAGGAACGCAAGCATGGGCATGTCAAGGTTTATTTGCGAAGCTTCTAGGGTTCAGCTAGTTTATAGAATGAGATTTCAATTGATGTGTTCACGGCGATCGGGTTGTCTGAGTGCGATACGGTATTGTAACAGCAGTCTTTTCACCGCGGCCTGTTGTCTACTGCTCATCTTCTCTAGTGATAGATACCAGGGACAGAGCTGACGAGCGCATTTATAGTCCGGGGAATTAGCAGTGCGACGGGCGTGTGCTAATTCTAATTCAACTAGAAGGACTAATCTCCATCTAACGACATATAATATTAGCTAGCTTACGTTGACAGGAAGTACATAATCAAGTGATTGAATTAATCAGACGCACAGCGTTAGCGGGGTACGACTAGGCCTGGCACTGCACCTCGGGTAACCCTACCGACCCTGCACCTGCACCTCCATTTGGGCGGGTCAGGTTCCAAGATTCTGAGCCTCAGGTGCGGTAGCTCGAGGGTCGCACCTCATGAAGGTAACCCTGAGGTGGCCCTGAGGTGCGAAAACCATGACTAATAGGCCAAAAATGTGACTCGGGGTCAATTGCATAAATTATGTAGAATTGGGCTGTATTCTCTTGTAATTGTAAGCTAAAACTTTATTACTGTGTAGCCTTACAAGAGGGTTGAGTGCATATCATAGGTCATAGGCTCACCTTTGAACAGGGCCTTCAATTCTCATATTTACAGTGATAATGTCTATAAACCAGTATCTTCTCAAGAGTCAAGAGTCAAACCGTTAAGTTATATACCCATCCAGTAATCTCGACTTCTTCCGTATCCTACCTGATACACGATGCTGCGTATCAGGGAGCTCAGGCGATAGGGAGACCCTGTCCTTATCTAAATCCGCAAATCCATCGGCATCAGAGTCCTCCTCATCGCTAAAGGAGACCGCAGGGCGCTTCCCAGCGGCGACTGCTGAGAGTGGCGGTATATCATGAGGCACCTCGACATCTTCCTCATTATCGCTGATAGCGTCAAAGGAGTGCGTCTGGACGTCAAGTGCTTCGGCCGAAGCTGCCATCTCATAGTCCATAAGATACTCATGCAGAATTAGCCGCTGCTCCTCCTTAAGGTCAAATCTTGTTGTACACATATACAACATGATATCGCGAATAGTCTCTGAGTTCAATGAACCCCGGCGGTAGTGACATATATCCCGGGTAGAGTTGAAAAGACGTTCAACCCCAGCACCAGTCGCTGGAATTGACATAATATCACGGGCAATGCTTGCAAGAATAGGAAACTCTCTTTGATGACCCTTCCAGAAGAGTCTGGCTGAACCATCGATAGTATCTAAGAATATCAGTATCATAATCGTATAGACTTAGTCCTAACTTACCACTCTGGAGATATTTGGTAAGTTCGTCGTATTGCGGACCGGTTGATCCCTTTGAAAGATCACGCCTACATGCCCTCTCAAGTTCTGATTCAGCTGTCATTAACTTACTATCAGACGGAACCATATCTGATGGTGTATGCTGGCGATATCTCTCGAAAAGTGAGTGGAGATTCTCGCGGTATTCCTTTCCATAGTCCTTTCCAGTCTCAGGATCTGGGTCCCAATCACTTGTTGAAAAGAACTGCATCTTATTCGACGGCGCTAGGATTGTCCCAATTGCATAGAGATTACCCTCGATATCATCTGTCATACCATAGTATTTGATCAGTCTCTCCTTTGCGGCCTCGAGGGAAGAGAGCATTATTTGATTCCAGTGAACCTTCTTCCGCCGAAGCTGAGACATTGACCTTTCAAGATGCTCAAAGAGCTTGTTATAGATCCTAAAGACAAGGTGGATACTCGACTCCTTAGTACGACACACCAATGGGGTGAACGTGAAAAAGGGCTGGAGGATACAAAGTAGATAGTCAATCTGTCGCCACCCTTCTAGACTTGTATTGGATATGTTGGAATCCAGGAGGAGAGAAGAATGTCAGCGCGAAATTGCAGACCCAGTTGAAGAATGTCGCCCGAGAGACTGATTTGCTGCGGATATACAGAGGGATAATCTCGGGAGGATAGGCCCTATGAAAAAGGTTAGCTTTTGATAATGGAAAAGAGATTACTTCCGCGTAGTCAAACATACCATCCTAGAGGTCTTGTGAGAGATAAAATGTTAGCTACCAATCTCTGAATTCAAAAGGGACAAGGTACTCACCCCCGACTAGGCGCATAGACAGCAATAAACAGGTACGAACAGGCGATGGTTGCCTTTGACGCTCTTCCATCAGTCACCCTCCACGTAACCGTGGGAGAGCCCTTAAGACCTCCGGGAACGGCCTCGCCGAATGATTTCATGAGGGCTCCTTGGATGAACTGAAGAAGAGACATGCCAAGAGCACCTGCAATGAATAGGCGGCGGCGTGGGAGACGATCCATGAAGAGTAGTGCAGAGAGTGTCATGACCACATTGATGATGTATTGGATTGTCGCGGACAGGAGGGCATTGTTGCCCGACAGACCAGCCATCTGTACGTACCAAGTCAGTTCTATATGCCAATCCGAATGGTTTCGCCTGTTAAGTCTTACCTGGAAAATATACACGATGTAGTACATCATGGCGTTTGTTCCGCTCAGCTGAGACCAAATATGTGTGAAAATGCCGCAGTGCACGCGAACGATATTTCGGGAATTAAACAGTTCGGACCAGGCGGTGCTCTGGTATTGCCGCTCGAGCCTTGACATTCGGTTAGTAACAGTAAACAGATCGAGCAAGAGGTCTAGGAATCTTACTCAAGTTTTTCGCGAATTTCGGTGGCTTGCGCAACGACGAGCGGATCAAGGGTATTACCCTTCCCGTGTAGTCGTGCAAGAACATCCACAGCTTCCTCCCACCGGTCTTGAGTGGCTAGCCAGCGAGGGGATCTAGGCATCATGGGCAAACAGACCATGAGGATGATACCTGGAATCATTTGGAGACCCCAAGGAAGACGTAATGACGCATAGCTGCTCATGAAAGATGCGCCGTATGATATAAAATACATAATGAGGATCTGAGACCAGCGTTAGCTAGGCACAATCGGAAAGGTAGGAGAACTGATAACATACGCCCAAGTAATCATCCACTGTTGCAAGCTGAGGAGCCTACCACGCTGCTGTGGAAGACTGATTTCGGCAATCAAAATCGGACTAGAGATTGTGTTAGCGGAAGTGGCAGGGTTTTCGTAGGGCATATCTTACCCTTGACTGGTAAGTATTCCAACTGCGAAGCCATTTATAATTCGCGAGACAATCAGCATGGCGACATTTTGCACTGCGCTCATCAAAGTCGAGCCAATCAACCACAAGATACACGCAATAAACATCGAGTCACGACGACCATATCGGTCACTTGTCCACGAGGAAAAGAGTGAACCAAGCAGCGAACCACCAGTCATACTGGCTGTGATACCACCCTGAGCAACCGAGTTTGGTTTGTTGAAGTAGTCTTGTAGTTGTCGGTGCCAATGATAGCAGACATGCTGGAGACATCGAAACCCTGGATTAGACCACCGATGGTGGCCAGCCCACTGATGAGGTAGACATTGTTCAACTGGGGTATTTTGCCCATCTTGCACACGCTTGATAGACAGTTTGACAGAGAAAAAAGAGTCATAGAACACAGCAGGAAATACTTCATGCCTGGGACCCCGGATTTATGTCGCTCCACTTCGTTGACATGAGCTCGATAGCTTCGTTCGTACCCCATTGTGATTGGCTCTTGTGCCGATATCCGCCATGTTTTGGCGACAGCCGAAGAATTCTAGTCAAACGTCAAATGGATATCGAATGGTGAAATTGTGGCGTTCGGAGCTAAGAAGTATACGAATTGTTTTGGATTCTCATTATTAAGGAAGCTGGCCAGTTGGTTCAATGTCCTCGGCAATATCTTCGATGATCTCTTCTGACCGCGGCATAAAGTGCAAATAAAGTGACAAAGCACTCAAGGATGTTTTCGAATTACGCTAAACATAGACTATCCAAAATCTGTTCAAACACCGAATCGCGGAATTGTTGACGAGAATCGCGAGGATCACGAATCGAGTAAAAATTTGTCAAGCCTAAGCTTAATCGGGTTTTGCCGCAGTCCCCCGCCATCGGGGATATCCACGCGAGATCCGCTCGCTTCTCTCTTTTCCCCTTTCTTCTATAGTCGTTCGGCACCTACATCGGGAGTCGGCAGTCATGTTATCGTGGAGTGGAGATCGAGAAGCTTCAAGCACGAGGAGATCTCGATCAGGTTGGCCCCACATGTCATTCCATGCCAAGCAATTCAGTAAGTATATGCAAGGGCTGACATTTCCAGGCTGTTTTCTGTGTCGCGCACGCAAGGTAAAATGTGATGAGCGCTGGCCAATATGCTCAAATTGCGAGCGTCTCGAATTGAACTGTCCTGGTAATCCAAGTCAGGCTGGGTTTTCTGCGAGAGTGCAGAAGAGCGGTAAGCACAACGCAGCATTAACTCAAGCGGGCACAACACGACATCGAGTGTCTAAATCATGTCATGCTTGTCGCCATGCAAAAGCTCGGTGTTCGGGAGGAGAAAAATGTACCCGGTGCTATCGAAGAGACATCGAGTGCACGTATAGCGCAGGTCGCATGCAACAGACCCAAAGCAAATCGACTTCTGAATCACACTCGGGTGTTCCTACCCCATCTTCAAGCTCTGTCATTACACCTGATATGCCTAAATCAATGCAATTCCCTTTTCAAACGCCTGCTGAAAGCACTCCTAGCTCTATCTCATGGTATATTCTCTCATTCTGCTCATTTACCGTGACACTGAATGGGCCAGGCTTGATTCCCCAAAACTACCCGACAAAGAGCGAATCCTTATTCTAGTTGAAGAATATTTTGCTCATGTTCACCCTTTACGTTGCTTTGGCTTTGTGCATAAGCCTTCGTTCATGCAGCGGTTGGACGAAGACCTAGAGTCCTGTTGCAATCATGAATCCCTTCTTCATATTATCTGTGCGCTGGGAGCAAAGTAAGTCTCAAAATCTGTCTCCCCAATCTGTGTATTGAATGTGCGTCTTACAAACAACAGGTTCCTGGCCCTCGACCAGCCCTCCCAATTTCCCCCGCAATCAGTACTCACAGCTGGTAATCAGTGGGCAAAAATTGCCAAAGCGCGAATATTCGCGGACTTGGATGATCTTTCCCTCGAGAAGTTGATGGTAAGCCCGTGCGATGATCCTATATGCAATAACTAGCTCTGTTGGCTAATCTTCGCTCACTAAGACTGCAATTCTTTTGTATGATCATGATCTTCGAATTGGAAGCTATGCAAGTGCGTTCATCCTTAGTAGCATCACTGCAAGAATTTCACAAGCATTACAGCTTAATCTTGAAAGCTCTGCCGACGTCCTTTGTACTTAGCTGAACTCGATATGTCCAATTGCCAATGAATCTAAACGGCGTCTGATGTGGAGCTGTTATGTTATGGACAGTTGGGTGGGTAGTGGTGTCAACCAGCTCACTCTGCTTGAAGACAAAGACCTCAAGATTCAGCTTCCTTGTCACAGCCATAATTTCTCCCTGGGAACTCCATGCATCACCGAAGTCCTAGATGAAGGAAAGGCTCTTGGCTTTATTTCGAGAGAACAAAATCAGTTCCAGCCGGCTCAGAATATGGGCATAGAGGCTTATTTTATTCGCCTTGTGAGCATTCGAAAACGGGTTCTCAGGTAGGGATATGTTGGTTCTAGTTCGATCATACATATTTTGCTTACCTTGAACCATTTACCAGATACGTCAAACAGCTTGATACCTCCAAGCCCCCTTGGGAACCCGATTCTGAATTTAAACAGTTATCGACCGAATGTGAAAGCTGGCGGCAATATCTTCCGCACAGTCTCAAGTAGCACTCAAGTTCAATTTGGGCCCGCAAGGAATCGTCACAGCTAGGTGCATTGACACTGCTTTGGTGTACCTATCACCAAACGTTGGTTGATCTCTATCGCATTGGCATGCCCACCCTTTTCCGTATAAGACGACATGTCGACTTTCCATCAGACAAGAAAGAGTTCTTGGATTATTGTCGCAGGGTCTGCTTCGACAGCGCTCGGGGAGTCTCTAAGATAATTGTCGAAGCATTGAGACATGGGATCAAAGCGCTGGCTGATACTTGGCTTTGCATCATTGCACACGACAGCACCAAAGTCATGCTATATTATTTAAAACACATTGGGGATTCATCCGCTTCTTTGAGCGCCTCCGACTCAAATGAAACGAAGATTCTAGTGAACAAAAATCTGGAAACACTCATGCAGATGAGATCTCTCGTTGCAACAGCCGAGCATTGCGTATGTCTCTCGTTCCTCCGTACATACACGCTGTCGGAAAACACTACTAACCATTTGCGTCTAGTATCTTTCTGTTGTTAAGATGATGATTTCAGCAGGTCTTCACCCTCGATTTGCACATCATTCTACAAATGAACGAGAGTCAGAAGAAAGCGAGGAAATGTGAGATTTCCAACTCGAATATTCTTGGAGTGACTTGCTAACATGACCTATAGCCCCTCCCTTTCAGGTTCCCATGTTGAAGAATTCCCGGAAACTGTGCTTAACCCGCTTGCGATCTATCGTATGGCGCGAACAGCTTTACACGGCAAGGATACACGAGGGTCGACCTCAGATTCCCCCTCAACTACAGATACCGCGTCGCCTGGCATATCACAATCCAGAACAAGTGTTGGACAATCTCATGGAAACTTTAATATCACAACGTTGCAGCCAATTCCTGGACGAGAGCAATTGCACCAACCACACTCGGCCCGGATTGAGGACCGATCTGCCATGATACAGCCCTTCTATTCCGCCCCTGAGGTCCAATCAATAAGTTCCAACAACTTCCCACAATTCGCATCCTTCGGCACTGCCGGCGTGTGGGATCCGGTAGAAATGGCTGTAATGAACATGTTGGACGATGGAACTTCTCCTTGGCCCGCAGAATATCTGACTGGCGGCCAGTCAGGGGTCGATCCATTTCTTTTTCCATTTTAGGCTAGGTATATGACCAACTTGATAAATTCACCACCTTGATCCTTTGGGCGAGCGGCCTAGATTTGGGCGAGTTGCACAAATCCAGCCCCTATGTAAAGGCTAGAGTTAGATTGTGTTCCGTTTCCAATACGGAATGCGATGTCCGTGCCCCCTAGTTCCAGTAATTTCCCAACGCTCAAGTTCTACATACAACAATCGTGTGGTACCATCACACTGAACAGATTGAAAAACTTACGATCATTGGCCAAAAAGGTGTGCTCCGAGCTCCGGTGGAAAGAAACACGGCATGATGTTGAGTGACTTTTCACCCAACACTCGAGTTATGAGCTTTGAGACAGCACTGACTATAAAAATAGTGGATAAGCACCGAGGTTATCATTTCTGCGACTTTCCTCACTTTGTCATTATTCAATGGCTGCACCAACTCCGAATCCATATGACTTTATTGTTGTGGGTGGTGGAACCGCAGGAAATGTCGTTACAGGCAGATTAGCAGAGAATCCTAGCGTGAAGATACTCGTGATTGAAGCTAGACTTCGCCATAAACCGCAATTGGGGCCAAACCGCAACCGCACTACGGTTTTTGATGGGTTCTGTTGGGGCCCCAAAAAACCCATTTACAACCCATTTTTGCATAAAATCAAGGACTTGGCATACATAATTCTGCTTATTTATCACCATAAATTACTGTTTTTTAACCTTATCAGGTACTCTTCTAACTATCACCTTGAATAGGCTACAAAACATTCGAATTTTATACTACTTTACAGATATTATTTGGCCTTTTTTGCTATTAGTTTTGAGCAAAAATAGTGTGTTGAATTAGGTGTTGTAAATTTTTATATGTTTTGCCATAGAGATATATATTTGATATACTATAAGCTAAGTGATTTTCCTCGAAGTAAAAGCTAGGGTTCTACAGTTTATAATTTCCCTTGTTATTATGCCTTAATTAGTATTATTTCATGGGACTCTCATAGGACTCATGGGACTCCCATATAGTCCCACGCTAGCATAATTTTGCCAAGAATTTCCTCTTTCAGCTGCACAAATCTGCAAAGTAATTAGATAAAATACTCTTATTTATAGGTATATAAGCGTCCCTACCTTCAATATCAACTAGAGAGGCGGGCGGTTGTGATAAATCCGAGAAGAGTTTGTAGGAAATGGTCCTGGCTAAACCCCTGGGGCCTTGAGGACTTTGGCTAAGCAGGAAATAGAGTTAGATATCAAGTATAAGGCAAAGGTAGTAAATAAAGGGAATACAAGCCAAATTTCGTACTAGCTGGTCTATACCTTTCTTCCTTAGAGGGCGCGGCTGGATAAATATAGAACTGTTTAAGTGCGCCCTCATTGGAGTACATCCAGAGCGGCGATGCCCTGGATAAATAATGACATTTTGACAGTGTTTACACATAAAATTGGGCTCACCAGCCCTCTCATGTGCAACCTGATTGAAGGATGGCCAAACGTCGAATATTTTGAGCTCGCTATCCCATTTGATAAACTTACGTAGACGTGACTGGTGACCATAGTCAGTCTTTAACCACCATTGCACAAATTCATCACACGAAGCCTCAATTTCAGTATCCTAGTTATCCTCGTTGTAGAGCGCGTAGACCTGCTGTAAAGGCTTACCAACACGTCGAAGCGATCAGCTGCATAAAGGTTATATGATAGTCTAGAATAGGATATATTGGCGAGATTTATACAGGTCGTAGGTTGGACTTGGTTGTTAGATCGATATCCAACATCCGCAATTTGCGGACTTGGATATGAACCTGATACCCGAGTCGTACGATATGCCGCAGCCTAGATATTCCGTTTGATGACATGTTGAACAGCCAGTATATCGTGAAATCTTGAAACCGGAAAACTCTGTACTTTTTTGATCTGATTCACCTTGAGTCATGTAACTCCACTACTCCACTAGAGCTCTTAAGTCTCGACTCTGGCTCATTATCTCGCTTATGATTCGACATTCATTTTAGTATTCCCAAGGATACATGTTCCCAATTAGGACTACACTCCGATACCAAGCAGGGGTAGAGCGGAGACTAGTCCTCTTTTGATTTGGGGTCGGGTCCTGGAATCCATTTTTCGCGTCTGGAGTTTAGTCTTCTTTTTTTAATCTTTCCTTTATAATTGTATTCATATCCCCTCCTCTAACTAGCCTGGCTATAACATGATACACCTGTATCTGCCATTGGATCGAGGCTCCTAGCTTCTAGACCTTGAGAACGCGAGTTGAGGATGACGACTAACGGAGGCTCCAATGCTGAAAAATATCTTGTATCTCTCTCCGGAGAACTGCATCGTGGCCGCTCATTGATTTATGCGGGCCCAAGTTTCGATATTAGCGAAGCTGGCATAATGAGCGCTAAAATTATCATCTCTCGTAAGAAAGGGGATCAGGTACGGTAAATAGACTTGTTGCTCTTGCGGTTTGGATAATTCTCAAGTCGATTGTAGTAAGGTATCTATCTCTACAAGCAACTAAGTAGTCAAGACTCAATTGAATTTCTATTCTTTCTCATTATATTATGCCTCATGTAATAATCATATGAAAATCAGCCCAATAGGGCAATTGCCGAGGTATGTAAACAATTCATTCGCCAGGTCCATTCTATTCTTCCCAGAGACCCACTTGTCGTGAAAAGATTGGACCAATGCTATATCTCCTGCAAATAATCTCTATATCCGGATATCCGGTGGCCAAGGGAGAAAAATTTCTTTTTTTCATCTTTTTTTTCCAGAACAACTGGAATATAACAAGATAGAGCCAACAAAAGACTTGAACAACCTGCCACACCTTTGAATCAAGGCTAGATCAAGGCTATCCGTCCCCTTGCGCTGGCCCCAATAATTCCACAGCCCACACTTTCACAATGGCTCCACAACCCATTCCATTCCCGGGCTTCACCCCGATATCTGATCGGGTATACCTTCGCGATGGCCACGAGAAGGCCAAGTCAGCCCCAGCTGACGAGCCAACAACGATCGTCATTTCCGGCTGGGGTGACGGCATGCCGAAACACGTTACCAAATATTCCAACGGTTACCATGAACTCTACCCATCCGCGCGGATTATCGTCATCCTATCGCGTACTTTCCAGGCCACCAACCAATCCGAGGAAGCCAGAATCGAGGCCATGATGCCGGTCGTTGACACCGTCTTCCCGGCACCAACTGGAAGCGGCAACGAAAAGGAGCGCCTTCTTGTGCATGCCATGTCAAATACGGGCGCCATTTTCACTGCAGCCACCGTTATCGCGTATCAGCGACGCCATGGCACAGACAAGCCATTCCCACACCAGCTGATTGTGTTCGATTCCACGCCTGGAAGTCTGGACTTCGCGTCTCAGGTTAGCCGGTGGTCGCGTGCCATGGCGGTCGGCACGGCGAATTTCTTCCCTTGGCCTTTTATTATCACCCATGGTCTGTGGTATGCTTTCCTCTGGGCGAACAACCTGTGGGAAGTCCTGTGCGGCTCGGTTTTTTCGGGTGTTTGGGCGGACAGGATCATAAATGATAAGTCCTGTGTCACGACCGATTCTAACAGACTTTACCTTTACTCCAAGGAAGATGAAATTATTGGTTACAAGGATTTGGAGGAGAATGTCGCTCATGCCAAGACATTGGGCTACTTGGCTGATCTTGAGATGTTTGAGGGCTCGTCACATGTGGGCCATATGAGACTTCACCCTGAACAATATTGGAGTAAAATTTCCAGCTCTTGGAAGCAGGCCATGGCGGGGAAATGAGGTGCTGCGGGGACTGAATTAATTGTATTGTGTGTATATGTTACTTTACCTACCGGACAATAGGCGCACCAGAAGTTACTCTTTTGGGAACAAGAGGAACACGTGACCGTGACTCCAATATCTACCCCAGGGGATAGGTCAGTGAGTAGCGAACGAAGGATATATAAGAACACTCATTCATGTACTTAGTTTCTCATACATTGTTACTTCTGTATACCTTTGGAACTTTAGTGACTATTTAGTTGATTATAACTTAAACCACACTTACCTAAATCCGAGATAGCTGATGTTCAGCTCAAAGAGGAAAAGACAGGCCCAGCTTGTACAATTATCCGGTATTTTACGACACAAGACCAAGATATTGGGTGGATGAACTGAGTATTGCGAATATAGTCTAGCGTGTCTTGGCATAAGAGTTCGAGAAGAGTGAACCCAAGCTACACAAAATTGTTGTTGTGTACCGAGCGGGAAGAATGGCGGACCCACATGCGGGTGCTCCCGAATCTCCTCGCACAACCACGCGAGGAACGGCAGTGACCGACGCGTCGGAAAACCTTGATTCGACTACCGCACGGCGGACTAGAAGACAGGCTCGCCTCGGCGATGGCTACTCAGGGAAGGATAATGATAGGTTCTCCTCCGGATCCATAAACCCATCAGCATCAGAATCTTCCTCATCACCAGAATTAACTGCAGGCCGCTTTCCAGCGGCGACTGCTGAGAGTGGCGGTACGTCCAGGGTTGCTTGCGTAATTGATATAGCAGCCGGTGTATTGAGACGGACCTCGACATCCTCCTCCTCATCATCACTGATGGCCTCAAAGATATATGTCTGGACATCAAGTGCTTCTGTCGAAGCTGCTATCTCATAGTCTGAAAGATACTCTTGGAGAATCAGCCGCTGCTCCTCCTTGATATCGAATCTTGTTGTACACATGTACAACATGATATCACGGGCAACGCTTGCAAGGACAGGGAATTTTCTCTGATGATCTTTCCAGAAGATCCGGACCGATCCTTTGATAGTATCTAATCAGGTAAAGGGTTAGTTATATGATCCATAAAATAAGCTTGCTTACTTACCACTCTGGAGATATTTGGTAAGCTCGTTGTACTGCGGAGCAATTGATTGTAGTAAAGAATCGCCGTCAAGGGCCTTCTCAAGCTCTGATTCAGTTATTGATAACTGGCTATCAGGCTGTGTTATATCTGGTAGTGTACGTTGGCTATATCTCTCGAAAAGAGACTAAAGACTCTCGCGGTATTCCTTTCTGTAGTCCCTTCCTATCTATCTCAGGATCTAGGTCCCAATCGCTTGTTGAAAAGAACTCCATCTTGCTCGACGGCACCAGGATCATCCCAATTGCGTAGGGATTACCTTCGATATCATCTGTATCGCTGTAGTATTTCTTCAATTTCTCCTTTGCAGCCTCAAGAGAGGAAAGCATCAGCTGTTTCCAGGGAACTTTCTTTCGACGAAGCTGACGTATTGATCTTTCAAGATGATCAAAAAGCTTGTTGTAAATCCTAAAGATAAGGTAGATACTCGAGTCTTTAGTACGACGAACCAGCGTAGTAAGCGTAAAAAAGGGCTGGAGAATGCAAAGTAGATAGTCAATCTGTCGCCACCCCTCTATACTCAATGCAAAATGGGGTTGGGTATAGTCTTCGCAGTACTTGTCAAATGTATCATGAAGTCTTTTGGCCCGCCGGAGCATCAGGAATGTCGAATTCCATCGTGTACGAACATCCTGGATTGGGAGAAGACTTATCCCAGTGTTGTTAGATTAAAGATTCAGGAGGGCTTCTTTACGTTGAGGGCTTCCGTTAATATAAACCGCAAGACCGCGGACCCATAAGGACGATTAGCGTTATTGAATTATGATTTGTAAATAGAAGCTTTAAGCTTACCTTGTTTAGAGTATCGGCGATCTCATATTTCTGCTGGCGCGTACGAAGTGAACGTACACGATCTTCAGACCATTCTGTCTCAGCGTTGTTGTTCTTTGGTGAGGCCTTGATTTTACCAAGTAAATCAACTAGACTTAATTGAATAACATGTGCAAGGCATGGCACTTGGATAATCGTGGAATATGTCTCAAGCTGTAGCGTCTTAATCGAATCATTTAGAGTGTCTGGGGCCTGAGGTACCACACGCGATCGATGGGTTGGAAGGGCTGGAAGGTCTGGAACTGATCCAAACTGGCTTTCAGATTGTAGTTGACTCTGGCTTTCGCGTTGGGATAATGAATCGTCAGGAATAAGGTATTGCAGCGCGTCTAACTGCACCCCGTCGAAGCTAGATGATGCGTAGATATCGGAGAGCTGAGACATGATAGATTTAGTAACCAAAAGACAGTTCTATAACTGAGGAGGAAGATATTAAGGAACTTACTGATTAGTTTGTACAAAAAGATGCGCGATATTCTTGGGGCATCCGTTTGTCCCTGTTCTATATGCTAGAATTGATCTATCATCTTTTGTATCCATATAGCTAGATCTGATTGGATAGTATAGTGGATAACCTAATAAACGAACCTCAACGAACCTCGACGAACCTCGACGAACCTCAAATAGACCCTCACTTACCCGCAGCGACCCTCATCGACCCTCCAGGGGACCCTCACTACCCGCAGCGACCCTTATAGGGACCCTCAAAGAGACCCTCAAGTTGAGAAAATAGTATTGATCAAAACGGCTAAGTCCAGTAATTGTAACCTTTAAACCAGATTGACGACATACCTAGATCATTTATCTTGAATTCTTAAAGACAGATTGATAGAAGAAGATATCACGATTTAAATGATGTAAAAAAAAGGGGATATAAACTACGTCTTAATAGCTTTCTTAAAAAACAGTAGTTCTACAAGGAAAGATACATATAGGTTACGGTATCTACAATATATATGTCAACAACTTTATATGCGATTTTATCGACAACCGCCATTGACCACCCACCATATCGATATCATCGAATATTACTTATAATCTATAGGTAACTATACCTATGGTTTACTTTTATATGAATATTTCTTTATAATTCATTATATTGATAGATTATTCAGTGAAATATCTGCAATTAACAGAACAGCTGTAAAAAACAGAGATGAATCATCAATTTTATCCAACCGAAAGAGGTAAGGCGTCTAAAATTTATGCAAATGCGGGTTGTTGAGGGTCGCCAAGGGTCCGCATAGTGAACCTCAACGACCCTCAGGGTAGGTTGAGGGTCGGAAGGTTGGAACCTCCCCTCAAGAGGGGAGGTTCGAGGGTCCGGGGTAGGGACCCATGCGGAGGGTCGTAGCCAGGTCTACTTAATTGCTAGACCTCGCCTTTCGCCTAGGCTTTTATAGTAATTACTAGATATCTTATCTACGATAATTAGTAGTACTATAAAATCCTTCTTAGATTCGAACCTCTTTACGAAATATACTCTAGTACAAATCTTTCTATTATCCTTATAGATATTCTTAAGAGGTATAATGTCAAAGATAGAGTTCTTATAATTATAACCGATAATACTTCGACCCCAAATCGAAGTCTGGCAATTTCGTTCCTAGTTCCCACCCAACTAAACCCCCTCCATCCTCACCCCCAGAGCCTGGCGGCAAGGTCATCAGAGGTTCGCCACGAGCCTTGGCTGTTCAAGCAAACAGCCGTACTGGCTCTGATTTTAATTTGCGGAACGAGTCCCCTTGGGACACTTACAAGAAACACTACGAATGTGATCTAGCTGGAACAGTTATTGTATGCGTCCGGGCTTCCGATGGGCGTGCTGCACGGGCGATTCGTCAATTCTCAAGCATGGACTGCGACAAAATCCTTGAAGTTCTCCGTTCGACAAATCATAAGAACGTTGCTTCCGTCTGGGAATGCTTTTGCACCTCTGATTCCCTGTACACTCTATGCGAATTTGACCCGTTGTCACTGGATCATATTGTTGCTTGCAAGGCTTTCCCAGACTAGCAACAGCTGGCTGCTATTATGTCCCAGGTCTGTGCCTTAAACATATTTTCACAGAACGACTGAACCGTTGACAGAGTGCAGTTTCTGGAAGGACTAGCTCATTTGATAACCCAGGGCTTCCGTCATACTTCTTTGGATTGCCCCAGCATTCTCATGAATCTTAGTGGGGAGGTCAAGATCGGTAAGCCGAATGCAAGAACGCCTCTTCGGAAATGTTGCCTGACAGAACGAACAGCGCGGGTTGACTGCTGTATCCCCCGGCAGGCAAACCGAGTCCAAGCGAGCGACCTAGCGCCTGTGTCGAGAATCATGATGGAGTTGATGCAAAATAACGCCAAGAACGACGGGGCAGTCGGTATTGATGATCTTGAACGCTGGTCAGCTTGCCCAGCTACCATAGAATTTCTTTCTGCGATTACCTCAGCCAGCTCCTTTGAAGAACTGAAAAATGTTTGTGAGCCGCCCAGTAATTTTGCTCTTCATATATCGACCCGATTCATCGAAGACGCCAGCGCCCTGATCGCCTTTTTCCAGACTAACAGACTTCACGGCTGCCTCCCTCGCGGAACTGCAACTTTCTGGGCCCTGAACGACCCAGGGCAGAACTCCACTATTGACCAGACAATGACTGACAACCTGGACCTGCTCATCACGTGCCACCTGTATCACGAAAACTACGGATCTGACCACCGGGCGACATACTCCGAATGGAACCTGCAAGCTCGGTCCAAGTCCACCACTAAAGCGAGGAAGGTGTATGACCGCGCAGACTGGACCAAAATCGGCGAACAGGTTACCCAACAAATGAGCCCGTGGAAGGAAATCAGAACTCGACCAGCACTCGACGCAATTGTGGAGAGGCTTATGGAAGTAACAGCTCAGGCCGTCGACCAGTTCGCACCAAACTCACGACCATCATCATATGCTAATCGGTGGTTTACACCAGACCTCAAAGCTCAACAGGTCGAAGTCAACCAGGTTCGCAGAAGATGGCAAGCGAGCTGCGCCGAGCTTGGACGACATCACCCGACCTCTATGGCCGCGTTTCTGGACATGCAACGGAAACGACGAACGTGGACTCGGAAGATTGAGAAAGCGAAATCATCCCATTGGAAACGGTTTCTCGATGAGGCGGGCGAAGGCAAGCTCTGGAAAGCCGCAACTTACATGAAACCTCGAGAAACCTGGGGGTGTGTTCCCGCGCTGCAGGTCGAGGCAGCGCAGCTCACCGACAATGAAGACAAGGCACAAGCGCTTCTGGACTCGTTCTTTCCTGAAATGAACCCGCCCGACCCACGTCCACCAGATGTGACGGAGCTGGAACTCCCGTGGCAGCCGATCACCGAGCCCGAAATTCAACGAGCGCTTAACGCGACCAAAGGAACCACCGCACCCGGAGGAGATAGTCTGCCGATGCTAGTGTGGAAGAAGTTATGGAGTCACTTGAAAAGCATTATCACTAGTATCTTTACCGCCTCCCTGAACCTAAGCCATCACCCAAAGCAATGGCGAAGCGCGAAAATCGTGGTACTACGGAAACCAACAAAGCCAGATTACTCGATCCCTGGAGCTTACCGCCCAATCTCATTGCTGAACACGCTCGGTAAACTTCTGGAGGCAGTGGTGGCCCGACGACTGTCCTTCCTAGCCGAAAAGCACGGGCTACTCCCGAACAGCCAATTTGGCGGACGCCCGGGAAGGACGACCAAGCAGGCCCTGTTGGTCCTCTCCAACGCAATCGACCGTGCATGGTACAAACACAAAGTGGTGACCCTTGTCGCATTTGACCTTAAGGGTGCTTTCAACGGGGTAAACAAGACCAGCTTGAATTCCTGCCTACAGGCACGAAGGATCCCCACGATCGCAAGAAAATGGATCGCAAGCTTCATGAGCGACCGCCACGCGAGCATTGAATTTGACGACTTCCGCACCCCGATGAAACCGCTTGCAAATGCTGGGCTGGCACAAGGATCGCCTCTGTCCCCGATTTTATTCGCATTCTTCAATGCCGACCTAGTCGACCAACCTGTAGATCACCATGGTGGTGCCTCAGCGTTCATTGACGACTACTTTCGCTGGCGAGTGGGCAGCTCGGCTGAGGCCAACCTGGCCAAGATCCAGACAGAGGACATTCCCCGCATTGAGGAATGGGCGCGGCAGACCGGCTCCTGCTTTGCAGCCGAGAAAACCGAGCCTATCCACCTGACCAGGAAGAAAAGAGAACATTTGGAAGGACAAATCGTCGTGAATGGCATAATCGCCCGACCATCAGCCACGGCCAAGCTACTGGGAGTGGTATTTGACCAGGAGCTGCGGTGGAAAGATCACGTACAGCAGGCCATCAAACGAGCAACCAAAACCACCATCGCACTGTGCGGGTTACGACACCTACGCCCGGAACAGATGAGACAACTCTATCAAGCATGTGTCACACCTGTGGTGGACTACGCGTCGATGGTGTGGCATGACCCGCTTCGGGACAAGACGCACTTGCGGCACTTGAATACAGTACAGAGAACACCCCTGATCCGCACCCTATCGGCATTCAGGACGGTTGCGACCGCAACGCTAGAGGTAGAACCCCACGTACTTCCCACCCATCTTCGTCTTCGCCACCGAGCACAGCGCACCATCGCCGGACTACACACACTGCCTCGTGATCACCCGGTTTGGACGGCACTTCTGCGGGCACAGAAACGTAGAAACAATATCGGATCGTATGCGCGCTTCCCGCTGGCAGAAGCCTTGAAGACTATGGACCTCGACAGGCTGAATGAATTGGAAACGAATGACCCCCGACCGCTGCCGCCATGGCGTGCCGATGCCTTTACAAAAGTTGAGATCGAGTCAGACCAGGAAATAGCGAGGGAACGGGCAGAGACCGCGCGGTCCACGTCTGATGCGATTGTGTACTCGGACGCCTCGGGTCTTAAAGACCATCTAGGCGTGGCCGTGGTCGCACTAGACGCAAGTTTGGAGGTAGTGGGATCTGAACAAATTCAAGTAGGGCCAATGGACCGCTGGTCGGTTCACGTAGCGGAGCTTATAGGCATCTTTTACGCCATCAGTATGGTGTTCAGATTGGCTCACCAGCGCTCAAGCGGCGCGTACGGACGTCCAACGACGGCGACAATTCTATGTGATAGCAAGTCGGCCTTGCAGTCAATCCAGAACGCAAGAAACAAATCAGGGCAACGGATCGTCCACGTGATTCTCTTAGCAGCCGCCGAAGTCCAAGCAGAGAACATCGCGCTTCGTCTCCAATGGATCCCAGGACATTGTGATGACCCTAGGAACGATGCGGCAGACCGACTAGCCCGGGAAGCTGCGCGCCCAGGCAAGACCCACCCGTTCCGTCCGCTGCTCACAAGAGAGAACGCGTATATCCGCGGAAATATCCGAGCGCAGTGGGAGCAAGAGTGGAAATCTAGCACCAAAGGCGGTCACTTACGGAAGATCGACAACACCTTACCGGCGACATATACTCGAAAGCTGTACGGAAGCTTGTCTAGGGACCGGGCGTACCTACTGACACAGTTACGCACGGGCCACAATTGGCTGTCTACCTACCGCAAAAACATTGGCTACTCCGACGACAATCAGTACGTCTGCGGTGCGCAAGAAACCGTCACGCATATGCTGGTGGACTGTCTAAGACTGGTGAAATTGCGGAGGAATCTCAGAAAAGAAGTGGGGGACGCGTTCAATAGCGTGTGGAGTCTGCTGGGAGGCTCCAACGAAGGTGAGAAAGGTAAACCAGACATCGTCTCGCGAGCCAAAACGGTGAATGCCGTGTTGGACTTCGCTGAGGCGTCACAACGGTTTCGCAGTCGCGCGCCACGAGGGCAGCCTAACAATGGGAGCGGCAATTAGGCCACGAGAGGCCTTGACGAGGCTCTAAGTTCGTTTTCAGGAAGTGGATCACTCTACATGTACATACTCGGATATATATAGTTGTTGTAACCTGCATATCGCTTTCATTTGCGAGGGGTCAGGGTAAATGAAATCCATCCATCCATCCATCCATCCTGTAATATGTCTATCACTGGCGGACAGTTAGTCGCCTATGACGTTGGCGCAGGTTTGGCCGAAGTTTCCCATGGCTGGCGATATATGGTTGGCCTGGGAGCTGTACCAGCCCTCGTTTTGGCAGTTTGCCTCCACTTCTGCCCCGAGTCGGCGCGCCAGTTGATGTATCACGGCAGGTCCGAGGAGGCAGCACGCGTGGTGGCGAAGATCTTTCCGAAGATCTTTCCGAATGGAACAGAGCTGCAGGTTCAGCAGAAGATTCAACATATGGCACTCATGAAGTTTGATAGATTTCAAAAAGTGACTGGAGAGCCTTGGAAATCCTCATAGCTACAAGTCTGATGTTGAACAGGAGGCGAACTACCTTGTTGCAAGTGGCAAAACCGTATCAATTGTCTGAGCCAATAAGAGCTCATCTGGGGCAATAGCGCTCACATCCCCCAGTTTCCTACAATATTTTGCACAAAAAGCTGCGGATTAAGTGAAGATACATGCATGGAAGAGTCGATGTAAGATAGAGGGATCGCACCCCGCATAGCAGAATTCTGTGAACTTTCAGTCCGTGGCCACATCGACAGTTGAAATCGGGTTTCTCCAACACTTTCCACGTGGTTACTCTGCAATATGATATCATGTATCTGACCACGGGTTCTGGGTAGATTCCCCAGCATCGATTCAACCCGTGGAAGGAAAAACGGGTACTCTTCCACGACCTCATTATTTTCTATGTTGAGCTTGCTGAGGCGGATTTCTATCCAGTCCATGCGCTCAAAAAGGAAGAATGCCGACACGTAGAGGAACATATCATCGGCGCAGGTGTCAGGGGACAGAGGATCCGGTCCGGTCCAGCTGAAGGAGCACTTGCTTTCATAGCTAGGATAGAACAGGCATTCGATGAAGGGAGGCCTCTTGGCCCCGTATCTTGCATGTTTTGGCATGCTATTAGGTTTGACTGAACGGAGACTGTGGTGGTTGGCTGCGAGACAAGGTGGTGGGGTCGGCATATTGGGGAATTCTCTCCAGATTGAATCAAGGTCCAGATCCAAATCGTAGTCTATAGAGGTTGTCAGTGCCGGCACTAATTATCGAAGCTCACCCAACTTACCCATTCGATCAAGGTGTCCCATTATTTGGGCGCCGCACGTGCCAAACTGACGACAAAGCTGGTTTGTGAGAAAAATGCGAATTGGAGAGTGAAGAAAGCATTGGTGATTTATAAATCTTATATATTTACCAGAATGCCTGGCAGGCACTTCGTCGATATTCTGGGTGGCAGCAAGGTCGTTCGTTCACATGCACAAGACAAGAGCGGAGAAAGCAAAAAAGAAGTTAGGAAAATGATAGTTAATATATTCGGCAAAAGACATAGCGTGTGCATGACCGGTTTCTAGATACATGCAGCCATGATCGATTTGTGATCTTCGTTCAAAGTGTAACTACCCATTCATTGACCGTGTACCTGGGATGTGCCCCACCCAAGACCCACTCCGTTCAACCATCCCTTCCTATCCGTTCATTGTCTGCCCATCCCGTTCAACGTAAACCTCCAAGTTCGGTTGTCTTATACATTGAACGCCATTAAGGTCCAAAAAAGACGGGCAGTTCTGATTCGGTTCCAACAAACTCACTGAAGCTCACTTATCTGGTGAAACCGTCTATCACTATTTTGCAATGTTGCGAGAACTCCCTGGCGTACCGAAACAAAGGCCTGACGACGATCCCACAATAGCAGTTCCTGGTTATTACAGCATTGATGGAGCTTTTCGTTTTCTTTCACCAGCCATTCGTTGGAGTTCTGCAGGAAGCGGCGCTCCTCTTCCAAGCGTATTTTGCCGGCAGACTTGATCATGTAGCACTCCCACAGACACAAATAGAGGTCCAGGAGGTCGACAGCAGAGGACGCCAAAGAGGGCTTTTCTTGCAGAATTTCGGCCAAGTCACGGGTCAGCGAACATGCATTATCGATCGAATTTGTCTGTGTTATGGTCAGAGTCGGTCAAACAGGGACTCGGTGAGGTCTAACCTTTGCCTCCCTGGGTGGTGTTCGTTTTGAGAAACGAGTCGCTTGTGTGGAGCTTTCTGGTGTCCCAGCTGGCTTCTCATCAAGATCTGATGACTCTCGCTTTCTTTTGCTGGCTCGTCCCGAATGGGAGTAGGAAGCAGGAGCGTCCATTGGGTTGGTTCGAGAGACGTGCGGGCTCTCTTGTGTTTCAATGGCAGGGCAGAGATAGGCTTAATACTCAAGAAAGTAGGTTCTTATATACCAGACGCCATGCTACGGTAGACTAGCTCTTGTATAGACTGGTGGTCGCAGAAAAATTCTCTTCAGCTATCGGAGGTATCATGATGAAACGGCCCGCATCGAAACGTTCTCATCATAAGTAGACTCAACTAAATGATGACTTCAAAAACGAGAAGATGTCTGCGTTATCGGTTACACCTAATCGTGCTGCTCTCTGAGGGCCGGCATGAAATCGCGTGGCGCCCGGGAACTCGCTGGACCGGCTCAAACCCACGGGCTCAAAGACAAGGCTACAAAGAAATACGAGCAGGAAAAAAAGGAGGTGCGAGCTTCCGTAATTGCACAATTTATCAACGAAAAATCATCTATCTGTTGAAAATGCTTAGAAAATGGCTTTGTACGGCTTTGAATTTATGCGTGGCTTGATACCCCCCGTAGGCAACACTAGATAGCAACAGAGCTGCGCAGATATGATTCCTTGGCACGAAAGTGAATTTGACTGATCTATCTAACGGAATCTGGTACTTGTGACGTCGCGTCGCGAGCCAATCCGCTGCAAAAAATAGAGCAAAGACAAGATTAAAGACAAACAGCCGAGGAAACAGATCTACAGCTCGTACGGTGACTCCATCAACCCGCCCCCTGGGCACGCGGACAGAAACCGGGCTCCGTTCACTGAAACACCATCCCAAATAGAAAGATCAGTCAATCCCGCCGGACGAAATGGCAATCGCATCGTATCGTCGCATGTATCACCGGCGACCCTCTTGCTGCCATATTCCCATGCAGGATAGGCGCGACGCAACAAAAACTGCTGCTCACTGTATCGATCACCGTGCGAGAAGTCGCCGAACGCGAGGACCTGCAGAGCCGGCAGTCCGCGGGGGCCGAATGCCCATTCGGCAAATGACACAAAATCCTCGGCCTCCGCAATAGCCACCGAAGACTCGAGCACTGCTTCTTGCAGATCTATATACTCGAGTGGCGACCTATCAAAGTACGCGTTGAGAATGCGACCATAGTCACTTTTGTCATTGGAGGAAATCCCGGCATCCGGGTTCACGGGACACCAGTGCAAACGAGAGCCCCGGCGATACCATCTGCGCTTCTCATGCAGGAAGGTGATAATCTCTCGTTGGATGTCTCAATGTATTCGCTCGGGACCGCTAAACCGCAAGTGTAAAAGCCGAATCTGAGAATGCTTCGCCGTTGGACGTAGGCACCGCCGCTGTTATGATTAGCATGCACATGTGGGCTGGGCTGCTGAAGACTTACTGCTGCAGATGGACTTGCACATAGGGCCAGAGCAGTCACCTGACCCAGATCCACAATGGTAGACAAATCTGCAATCCACACGGGCGATACGTCCCTGTCGTCCTCGAACAAGCCATCCTCATCGACCGGAGCGAGTTGGCGCTCATGGTAGACAAGGCTTTTCAACGTCGTGCGGTGGTGTCGAATGGCATCCTCGATGCGGGACTTTGACGCTGGAAAATTAGACAACCTCATGTTCAGATGCTGTAGCCCGCGGAATGAACGTAGGAACCGCACGATTGCAGGAAAACTCCGTCCTTCGCCCGGTTCGTGCAGCAGGAAATCAGAAGAAATTTCAAAATGCTCCAGTTGCAGCGGCTTTTGTGACTGAGAAAGCAAACGCAAGAGAAGCAGCTGATTCGGGCAGTCCCGCAGTGTAAGCGCTCGCAGGACGCAAAACATCGAGCTGCCGTCTACTGAGAGATCTGGTGGAAGTGTCACCTTGGACAGTAACAGGGTGGACAAGGCCGGAACAGCTGCCGGCTTCTCGACTACTGCATCGTCGGCCCTGAGATCTCGCTGCTGCAGCCCAAGGCTCTCCCAGCACAAAGCACGGGCGGAAGCGGACGGAACAAAGCCGATGGATAGGTGGTCGAGTTGGCTCCAATTGTGACGGATGCACTGTCGCAGCAGATCGGCCTCGGTCGGATGTTGGATTCCTTCCCACTCAAAGGCCGTTAGACACGAAAGTTCGGACAGCCCTTCCAGGTGGTGCCACTCATGAGGGCAAGTGCCGTCGGTGACGAGTGAGAGATGGGTGAGGCGACGTTGATACCTGCTGAGATAGCCGCCCTGATCGAAAACCCCCATTGGGACACATGTCCCCAGACGCCATCTATTGCGGTCAGTCACAAATTTGGGAATGAACACCTGTCCATACGTACTCGAAAGTGCTCAGGCTATTCGGCTTCAAGTGGGTGAAGATCAGCTGCAATTGATCCTTCACGTCGTCCAAAGATTGCTCATGTGCCGTCGCCTCGTCCGAGGCTCCCAGAGCATTTGGGGACACCGGCAGTCCCGCCGTGCGAAATATGTTGTAGTATGCACATCGGTTGAACCGGACGAGGTGAAATGGAGCCAGGATCTGCAGGTGTCTCGCGTGTTGCAGATAATCCGCGGCATGAGGCTGACCGAGGTGGAGAAAGAAGGAGCCAACATCTAGCACGTTCAGCGCCCACTCACTGGCTGCGCGGAATGCAATGGTACGGTAGATCTGAGGAATCAGGATAGAATACAATCTACACGAAGCTCGGCTGAGGGCGCGCAGGCTGGCCGGTGGCAGCTGGCGGGCGGTCAGATCTGATCAAACAAATCAAACACGACAGGCTAGGACTTACCCAATCCGCGATCAGCATCAGGATCTCACACGGCAATTTCTCCAGCATCGTACTGGGGGAGCAGACATATGCTCACTGCATCAATCCTTCCAGGGCAATCTGCGATTTAAGAAGCAGGCGTGGTGGGTTTGTAGGCTTGGAGCACCTACCCCTGGTCAAACCAAGCCCAGACACTTAGACAAAGAAAGCATTTTGACAGAGTTGGCGCAAGACATGTCGAACTCCCCGCCGGTAGACACTTTAGCTCAGGATCATTCGAAATTTTGCTCGGTGAACGCTCTTGGTTACGATGCCCTATTATTGTGAGCCACCACAAGATATTTCGTTTCCGCAGGACAGAAGAATGATCGTTCAACCGGGTGACTGTTGTTGACTTGAACGGCCAAACAACCAGGGTCGACCTCCAGGTGTTGTGGGGCACTGGGTAGCGTAAGGCCCGGCGTGCGGCTGAAACGGTCGCGCTTGATGAGACATTTTTTCAACATTGCAACACAAATTGTCTTTAGCCATACTTTCACCAGAATGGCAATTTTTCGCTAATTTGCTCAATGAGTACAGCTCCTTGCAACCTGGCTTGAGGCGCTGGGAATAAAATCTGCCAGGCGGTCAGTCAGCGGGCTCTGGCAAAAACAACCAGTCGTTGTCACGCAAGGTGCATTTGTTCAAAATAGATAAGAGCAATACAAGCGGCTAAATTTCCAGTACGACACATGGCACACAAAACAAATGTCATATTGGTCTACCCACCTGGAATAGGTTGTGCTTGGTACCGTTGTGGGGAAAATATGTATATACTGTTGTTGGGCTATTAAAAAGTGAACATCAACACCACCCTTTGGCCGATTCATCCCGGCTTCAAGGACGCCTTTCGCTCTCATTTTGCCGACACATGACCTATGGACTCTAAGCTGTGGATCCAAGCACCGTGTGCAGAATAGCCCTGGAATAAGTGACAGCGCTGTATGCCAGGACGACGTGCATGACGTAGAGACTGGGCCGCCAGCCAGTCACCGCACCAGTCCTCTCCAACGGCCGAAGCAGGTAAAATGCGGCGCCAAGGGAGTTTTACATGGCGACTCGGCCATAGTGTATCGCCAGCGACGGAGAAGTTTGGGGCGTCCCGGTCAGGGAGTGAATGATTGGTATCAGGGACAGCAAGCCCAATGAAACGCAAATGTACGGGAACCTGTACCGGGCTTCATGGCTGGAATCCCAGATCAAAAAGTCCACCATAGTCCCGACCGCCAGGATGGTAAAAGCACAAAGGTATCCCAGCTGGAGAGAAGACTGGGTGCGAAACAGCAAAACCGCCGAGGGGATGGTGGCTGTCCAGATCATAACTAGAGCGCCTGCGAACTCCAGCTTCTGCAACTCGGCAGCATCATTGCCCTGGAAAGCATGTAGAACACGATAGACGAGACTCAACAGGCACCAGATTATAAAGCCCGCGCAGAAGACGAGGACGGACATCGCAACTAAGATCTCTGTCGGAGATGAGGGGAAGTGGAAGATTAAAAAATGGATCATAAAGAGGTAGAAGTAAGAGATCCCAAACACATTGAGGATGGAGAGGACTGCACAGTCACGCATGGACTGAACGTCAGGGCCGGCCATTGCACTTGTGTTGATTGATTGAACAGTTTCATGTCTTTTCATGGATATAGCGGGAATATTTAACTACGAATTAGGAATGGACATGGTAAGCGGCTGGTCTGAGTGACTGTAGTGCGTGAATCGAACTACGACGTGATGTTGAGGGAGTATGTATCATTGTTGATAGCGATAGGTGGTTTCGAGAGGGTGGTTTCGAGAGGGATTAAATTGAGGTGATAAACCATTTTCTAATGCAGAATTTGGAGCAAGTATTCATTAGCGCTACGGAATATGATTGGCCTCGAAAAGAGTATCCCTCAAGAATATTAGAGATATCTGTCTGACAATCCGGTTAGATGAGCTGGTGAAGGACCACATTTTCGTAATCTGGAGCTGGCGTCCTTTACCTGGCGGTTGGTTCTAGCTGCTGCTGGTGTATTCACCTTCGGTAATTCAAGACCGTCAATCGCTCATCATCAGGGAAATTACGTAGAGTGATAATACAATAGACTATTACCTATTCATTTTGTTCAAGGGGCTATTCAAAGCCGCCGGCATTTGCCGGGCTCATTATCAAGGCGGCCGAGCATCCAAGCTAAGTAGTAACCAAATGCTTTCGCCTAGCCATCGATTCGCGAACGCACGCATTCAAGTGTCCACCCAAAATTTGAAATTCATCATTCCTGGATCCCCGAGAACAGTAATTCTCGACCCGCAGTAGTCGAGAACCGACTGCCCACGACCTGCATATCCGGCTATGCACTATTAGCTGGTAAAGCCTGGGGGATAAATTCATCACGGCCGTGAAAGTTGTATGTACAAAGGCTTAACTATTTTATTGAATTACAAGCATCAGCTGATCATAATTGGCCTAGCCTTCCTGGAAAACAGCTAGCCGACCATCCAGGTGCTTGATCATCTTCTCCATATCGCGAAATGAAGCTGCGGCCGCGGTATCCCGAACCGTCTTTCCCATTTCGGCGAGATCTGCCCTTCGTCGCTTGGTCTCTTCCCCCGAAGCGTCTGAAAATTTGAAAGAATTTCTCACGTCTCCAAGGCCTCTTCGAGCTCCTGTTGCAGATCGCGAGGATTGCCTTCTGCGGGATCATTTGCTCGTCAACTAACACCTGTGAATATTGATTCATCGTGCCCATTTGATGTCGTAGACTGATCAATTGATCCAAATGCGAGATTTTCATTGGCATTAACGTGCATCTCTAACAGCTGCATGACATTCTCCATATCGATGGTTCTTGAAAAACTGTGCCGGCAGGCTTTCTATAATGTATCTGATGCTCCGAGTAAACATCAACTCATCTAAGAAGCTCGATCGGTTCGACAACACTCCACTTCGTCAAATAATTTGGACAAGGTGCATGACCCAAGAACTCAAAAAAGAGCGCACATCATCAAAATCCCCGAAAGGTGCTTCTGCAAACTTGACAGGCGCGAAATCCACAATCCGGACATTCATGGATATAGAACGGCATCCACTCCCCACAGCGGTTACACTCCCCTCCTTCCCGGGTCCTGATGAACCGACCAGGATGGCTACAACGAGGTAGTTCGTCTAGAGTTTGGGCATTTCGGCCACCCAGGAGCCTGTTCTCATCCCATTGATCACATCCACAAGCCTTCCATTCCTTGGCGCACGCATAGCAGTATTGATGTCCGCAGCGGTATCTAACAAAGTCTTGATCAGGCACTTGCTTCAAAGATAGGTATTCAAAAATGGCAGGAGGGTGAGATGGGTGCTGGTACTTACTTGATATGGTTACAGCCACTTCGAAGCTCGACCATATGGCTGCAGTTGGGGCAGCGTTGCCATCCGTTGTCACGCGCCAGAATCAGAAGATCCTCATCCGGTTGCGGGCAGGTTCCTGCATATGCTTTCGTTTTGCATATGGTGCATGTCTGTTGGTTACATTTTCTGCATGTCACGTTCTGAGTGCGGTTTTGTGTTGGAGGAATGTAGCTGGAACAACCTGGGTCGGAACAATAAGTCCGTGAGTTGTCACTATGCTAAATCTTCTTCTCCTCAAATCTGGTCCATAGTTCATTGCTGACTAGCGCCCGTGCCTCGTCCATCGGTAGTTTTGCGTAGCAGCAGACTGGAGGAAACAGAGTCTCACTCCGCAGAGAATTCTCGAGAAGGTGTTCCAGGCAATGGCGACAATAACGATGCAAACAGCTGCCGGTGAGTAGCTGGGCATCAGGAAAACTTTCTGAGCATGATTCACACTCATGGCGGATTTGTGGTACCTGTGGCACTGCTGGGTCGACGCGAGCTCGCTTGTTTGACTGGTCACCTGTGTTGACAATCTCTCGTTCGAGGCATTTCTCATCATTTGCTCAATTACCTTTTGCCCTGAAACACAATGGTTCTCAACCACCATTGATTCAATAGCGCAGAGTTTCACCTTTCCAAGTCATGCCCCCATGTCGGGATTTGCCGTAAGACAATACAGCCTTGGAGCCTCCCATTAATACCTGCACATCTATACACTGAAGACGAGCGGCATCCGGGATGGTATCACCCCGCTTCAACCCATGTGACTCGACTTGAATCACCTTCTTGAGTGCCACAATTGCAGAAGAGACCCATGGGCTAGAAGCTTTGCAAGAATTCAACAGGGAAAGGATTTCATCCCTAAGTGACCAATCTCGACACTTCATTCCACACCACAAAAGAGCGACTGCAACATAGTCGTGGACCAGAGACAGAGACTCTGGCTCCTTACTCAAATCAAAGCGTAGAAGATTCTTGCAGAGCAGAACGACTCGCTGGAAAGTCTCCAGATACTCATCAAACAGACTCTCCGTTGGCTGCGGGCTGACACCGACAGATACTTTGAGATAGATGAGCAAAGTATATGGCTCAGCCAAATCATAGACATATTGATCGATTGGCGAATATTCTCCGCTAGCTATGTGGGTTTTCACCGTAACCCGCCAAAATCGCATCCTGATCAAGATTGTGCGCCCTCCACGGAGCAAAGGCGCACCAGCAGATACTATCTTGAACCCTCCTCTCAGAAGCCTTTCCATCAGCTGTCGTCCAAGAATCATCATGTGGGTGCGATAGTTGGTCAGCTTCTCCGCCTCGGTAAGATGAAACTTGACTTTAGTTTCGTCGGATTCGAGATAATGATGAGGCTCCTCGTTGGTGAAATCCGGTGGGTTAACACAGATTTCCCAAGCACGTTCCATTTGAGACAATGCGAATTTCAGCGCTTCCCAATTGGAACCCCTTCCGCAGTCGACGGCTTCCCATTCCCTAAACAGCTGTTTGCCAGACAACATATGGCGGCGAGCACCATGCAGATCTTCTTGGAAAATCGCCTGGACCGTCAAGAGAATGCAGGTGACAAGGACCGTCTCAGTATGTAACTGACACGCTGCATGGCGGATGAGATCTTCTCGGAGACAAATAATCGACTTGTGGATATGTTTCAGAGCCAATGGACTCTCCCGATGCTCGACATTTTCCACTTCCACTTTTTCAATTTCGACGTGCCTCGCACTCAACGATATCGCAGCATGTCGGACAGCTGCCTGTCCCTGGCACATCTGAAAAACCAACCTGCACCAAAACGCATCCTCAAAGTACCCGGAAATCGAAACCGCAGTGTGTTTGTGGAAGTAATCTAAGTGCCAGCGGTCACTCCATGACAGTCCGTTGGGGCTGGGGTCCACAAATCGAAGAATCTTGACAGGGGGGTTGTCCGGGCTAGAGTGATGCCGACTCGAGGCGGGACTGTCCGATTGCCGCGGCTGACGCCAAGCCCTGGTTCGCTTGTCGGGGACCTGCGCATATCCATCGCACGTTCGCCCTGTTCTGATGCAGTTCTGACAGGCCGGTTGGGCCTCGTCGCACTTCTTACGGCGCGTTCTGTTGACGGTCAGTCAAACTCGGTCAGATACCCCCTTTTAAGGGTGCATACTTGCATGTGATACAGCCCGTTCGCACATTCGAATGCTTTGACCTTGTCTTTCTTTCCTTGGGCCCAGGAATATACATCGTAAAAGCCTTTTGGGGGGGGGGTTCTCCCTGAGTCGTGAAGGAGACGATGTTACAGGCCCGTGCGTATAAACCGGCCCCACTCTTGGCGGGGCCGATCTCCCTCTGCCACGTGGTCTACAACGTACACAAGTACGGCATCGTTAGTCGGGGAATGTGGACTTTGCTTTTAGGATGTACAATATAGCCTTGTGGAGAGAGGGATTCTCAGACATTTGTGCTCTCTCTCAGCCCTGCCATCCATGTAGAGGTGCCCATTGATCTCCATGGATCGACCAGGTTCTCCAGGTCCACAGGCGGGAGATTGATAATTGCAAGTGGAGCAGGACCATTCATCGTGAAGATTACAGTTACAATGATTTCATGTAAGTACTGCAAATGAAGAATTCCAGGTACATACGTTGCATATACGCTTCAAGTACTGGTTAAATCTCCTCGTATCTCCACAGCAAATTCAAACTATTCCCGGGATCCAAATGTAAGCACAACTTGAACCATGGAATTACCAAAACGATAGATCTGACACCATCTGAGACAACCCATGGTTGGAACCATGATTGGGAGTTCCTGGCAAATTACATACATACGGCCACCGCGCACAATCTCCTTCTCGTAAGCCTCTCTGTCGACTCAAGCTTGGATTCCGATGGGGTCGTTGAGTTGATCGACTATGGGTTCGGGCAGCCATATCTGTCACATTTTTCCCTCTCTATATGTGAGGCCATTGGGTTGGGAATACGACCCGGACACTTCGGGGTGCCAATATCCTTGCAAGGTACGAAGTTCATGTCTTCTTTCACCCTGCAGCCGCATGGATAGGAAGTGTGAGTGATTGGCCGATGAATTTCCGCTTGAATAACCCACCTTGGCGATTCAAATAGTGAGTTTAGGGGCTCCTGCAAGATAGGTACCGCTACGTAGTCTTTTTTCTATGCCGGGTGGGGCTTTCCTATCTAAGCTACCGCCGCTTTTATCAGGGCGCTCAGAGTCAGGCTCACTGAGTAAATCTTAGTCCAGGCTTAAGCTCAGTGAGCAGCTTAATATACCACGTGAACGGTCAGCGTTGTGCCTAATAGGATTCCCAGAACCTAGCACGTATATGACGATGTATATGTTTGTGTTCTCTCCCGAGCCCGTGATCAGAGAGCGTTTATAATAAGAAATAGGGCAAATCTCCATATGTTCACACTTCTTCGGATGCCTCAGAGGACCCCTTGGCATTCTCGTCAGGGCCGCAAGCGGCGAGTATGGCATAGCGGTCCGGTTCCAGCAGCTAGTTGTCTCGCATAGATACATCGCAGTTCGCAGAACGAGTGCTCCTCTGGACGTAGCTATCGTTGGGATCTGATGGATGCGTTGAGGCCGCCGAGGACTATTTTTCTAATGTCAGTAATGTTTTTCGAAGGTTACAGCGATAGCAAAATCTATAGAGATTTCTTGTACGCGTGGTGGAGTTGTAAGTGTCTAATCAGGAATTGCCCGTTAGCCTCACAAACACTTCAAATTGGGCTATCTTATATTAAGAGTACATCCAAGTCCAAACGACGCATCTCTTCTTTCCAGTCCACAGCTATCAACCCGGGACTCACATCGTTCTCACGTGCATACTTGTCCCGCTGTCGCCATACCGTCTCCACCAAGGTTTTTATCTTGAATCGATTGCCTATTCCTTGTTTCATAGCAAAGTCCAGCCATTCTGCGGCCATGGCTAGATCCATCACCGTGTAGGCCTCCACAGCTGCTATGAAGACCGGCCACACCGAAACCGTGCCTCCATCTATTTTAATATATTCCATTGCGGCCTCCAACACTGCTGACACATGACGAGCCAACGCCACTGGCCGTGCATTGAAAACCGTTCGGTGCAAGTATATGAAACTTGCAGCCTTGAACATTCGCAAATGCAGCCAAGACAGGTGCTTGATCTTGCAAAAGGACTGTTCACTAACTGAGTCCTCAACAGGGAGATAATCCCTGCATACTGTATCTTCTTTGTTCAGTGGGTCTTGTACTGCTTGGATCAAGGAAATAACTTGATTGTTGAAATCATCAACAACACCTCGAGCCAGCCTTTCCCCAAGAAGCTGGATCTCGAGGATGTTATTGATGATAGACCGCGTGTTGCCAGCAGTGAATCCAAACATACCATGTGCAGCAACTGACTCGAAAATTTCCCGGTGATCAAAACCACCGAGGTTCGACGTGCCCGGAACAGTGGCTGTTCTTCCGATTATGTTTGTATGTAAGAAGCTCTGCGTGATCACCCAGGCGTCATGTGATTGGTTCCACGGCTGCTCTTGTATATGTTGTCGACAGAAATAGGAGAGTGCTTTAAAGTGGACTCGCCAGGAACTGCTTTTGCCCGCATATACAGCCTTGACAAAATACATTAGTAATTAAATTCGGTAATCATGGAATCGACGCGCAAGGTTCCTCACCTCTGCCATGACCAATGTCATCAAGGAGGCAACACGGCTTTCGTAGTCGCACTCGGGAGACACGAAGCTTTTCCGTAAGTCCTCTAATGCTCGTCCATAGTATCGTAACCCCTGTGATCGCATATTATTCGCGTCGTTGGTGAGGTTGCTCAGATTGAAAGCCGCTTTGGCCAGCTGCGCGTTGTAGAGTGCAGATGTGCTTAGTGTTCTTCCTTGGAGAGCGATAGCGGGATAAGTGGACTTCCATGGGTTGCGAAGGTCCTCAACTGCGATCATTAGACGCGAAACGTGTGTAACATAATGGTTGAAGAGCAATGTCTCCTGCGGTCCCCCTGACTCTTTGTATATGGGGGAGAGCGACGAAGGTAAAGTCTGATATGGTGGCCTTGGTCTCTGGTCTGCATCCAGTATGAAGAAGTCAAAAGATCTGGAGACTTCTGAGGTCGAAGTGGACACTATGTCCCGCTTGTCCTTCGCCCTTGTATGAAGTGAAAATACAGCGAACGGACTATCCACCGACTGGGAATTTTCCCAGTCGTGAATATCGCATTCCGCGATCAGTTGATCCACTTCATTAGATTCAAAGATTGGCCAGCCACTCCAGGTCAGCCCACAGTGGAGGGCGCGTCGTTTTGAGTGATCATATGCACCGGTTTCCACGTTAACCCACGCCAATTTACTCTGATAGCCCTCGCAATTGATGCCTTGCTTTGAACAACGAGAGCACTGTGGCAAGTGGCCATCGCACCGAATTCTACGCTGCCGGCAGGTCCAGCATGCGGTAAAAGTACGACGACTGTGTTTTGCTGACATCTACGGCATAGCCTGCAACATGAGTTGCTTTCTGTCGTGATATTGCTCTAAAGAAAGGTGAAAAATGCTAAGTGCAGCCGATCGGGGTTGACCTCGCGAGTCATCAAGAATTTTTTCCTGCAGATCACGTTACTCACAATCAGCTGTTTCAGGTAGACCTCGCCAATACCCGCCCACCGCCCAAACCCGCCCGCGAAAACCCAACCCACGGGTTGGGTTGGGTCTTAGTCAGCAGACCCGTGGGCGGGTTGTCATATGGGCAACCCAACCCAAGACCCAAATGGGTACCCGTTATAACCCAAAAAAGCAAAAAAAGTTGACTTGTCAGTTTACATTAAGTTATGCAGTAATTTTCGATTATATAATTGTATCGCTTTTGTTTGAGATCATGGTATACGGCTAGGAGTATTCGGAACAACTATTATGGACAAAGAAAAGTACTATTGGCTTATGATAAAGACTAGTATACCTCGTAACCACGTAATCGAATCGAGGGCATTATTACCCTACTAGAAGATCTCTTCTGGCTTCTATCACCCAGCTGCGTGATTGGGGTGGAAGTAAATCTGCATCATCCTCAACTACCTCCTTCTCCCACTATTCTAGAAACTCTCTACCTAGATTCGGCTCGTACAAAATCCATTTCGTTCTGTGTTGAGGTCCAAACATGTCTTAGCGTCGCCGGAGGTCTTCAAGTGAATATATCGTAGCTCTTGCGGGGTCCACTGAAAGGCTGCAGGCCGTCTTAGCATACCTGTAGGTAGACTTGCAAAGTTCAAAGGCACCGAAGAGGGCCCATCAGATTTGGGAATCAAATATTTCATTGTGAAGGCTTAAATGTGGATTTTGTAGGAATCGCGTCGGGCGTTTAGATCTATCTATTTCTAAGTCGCGTAAACCCGCGGGTACCCAAACCCAACCCAACACAACCCAACCCAAAACGAATGCGAGTTTGGGAGGACGCTGAGAAGATCGCAAATCGCCGATTTAATTGCTCAAATTTGAGGTGATTGGCTTGAGACAGCGCAATAAGCTCAAAATTCATTGAATCCTTATAGTTTCATCGCGGTGGCCATAGAACCCTGGTAGTGTAGAGAGAGCGTAATGAACAAAATAACTAGACGTTGCAGATATATATTTTCGAATCGGCAGCGGACATTACCTTAGAGTAACACACACCTAAAGGCGTGACAAAGGTAAAATACCAAAATTACAACAGGTGACTAATCAATTTTATCCACGATTTATGTCCATTTTTGGGTATTTTGGGCAACCCGCGGGTACCCGCCAAGAACCCATGGGCGGGTTTATGAAGGCCAAAACCCACGGTGGCTACCCGTGGGCGGGTAAAGAAAGTCAAAACCCAACCCCAACCCGCGTTTGGCGAGGTCTAGTTTCAGGTAGATTTTCTTTTGGAAGTGATGAATCTTAAACCTGGCTGATTATAATCTAGAAATATTCAGCACCCTCTGCCTGATGATCCCCTATTTATTCTGCACTTTCTATAGTATATAAAAATGGCACTCTTAAGTACTCAATTGGCTATGCCCCTACTAGTCCGTACTGTAACGACCGCGTTCCGACATACATTACCGCGGCAACTATATTTACTGCTTACTGCATTATTGATTGCTACAAGAACCATTCAGATTTCGGCGAGAACCTCATGGGGACCGCATCTCCCCGCGGTTCAGGTTCCGATCTCTAAGGTTGGAACCTACACGGGTGAAGCTGAGGTTCCTTAAACACAACAGAAACTCGTATAGGTTCTCGCTGCGTTTCTATGTTTTTCTCGTATCGCTGGTATCTACTTCCTAAAGCGCGAATAAAGGATGATTTCAGTTTATCCAAAAAAGCTCATTAATATACTCCGTACACGAAGCCTAATTAAGGGCATAGCCATCAAGTAATCTTGAACCCTTCCGAACCCCTCCAGAAGCCCGAAGCTGCGTATTAGGTAGATGATGAGTATTTCCATCATCATTTTCATACTCTTCCTTAATGCTTTCTTCTCTTCCTTCAACATCGGATTGGATTTCACCTTCAGGGCAGGTAGTACCCCCACGTCGTCTCCCAAGAACGGTTCTCGAAGAGGTCCTCGGAGCTGCAAGCACCTCACCTGGCAGCGCGGGACCTTCTTCGGTATCACTGATTGTCTCAAAGGAACTTACCTGTACCTTATTTGCTTTTTTTCCTTAACTCTAGTTCCTGGAGGGAGAGATACTCTTGTAGTATCAGTTGGATATCGAATCTTGATAAGCACATGAATACCATGACATGATACCTCGAATCGTCCTCGCCTTTTAAGGAGCCTCGCCGATAATGACAATTATCACGGGCAGAATTCAAAAGACGCTCTACGCCTGCTCCTGTCGCTGGAATTGACGTGGTTTCCCGGGCAAGGTTTGCGAGGGCTGGAAACTTATACTGGTTCTCTCTCCAGAAAATACGAGGGGATGTTCGTACGATTTCCACCAGTATACAAGCATTATGTCAACAAGATCCCTCACAACTCGTGGTAGCTCTTCTAGCAATCCTGAGAAAGGTAATTGATTGCCTCTTGATCTGATTGCAGATTTTGAATTTCCCATATCAACCGAATACTTCTTCGGGGGTTCCAGAGCGAAGCCTTGCCACCATGGTCGTCTGCGCCAAATTGCTTCCAATTCAGTCATGAATCGGCAACATCACCAACTCTGTGATCGGCGGTCTAAACAAGAGCGGCGCAGACTTCAGAAACCTCAAGGCGTGGACAGAGGTACTGCAGGACTTCTTCCACAGCGGCAAATCAGAGTTTGCGACTGCAACATCCGTCCGGTTCTCTCCAGATGGTTTCAAGCGCTTCTACGATAACTGGGAGAGCTATGCGGGCAAGCTACTCATGCGCTCGCAGCAGATCTCCAATTTGCCAGAGATCATCCGTTGTTTGGGGTGCACTAGCATGAATACCCCAATCGCGGTCAGGGGCTATATACCGACCAGCGCCTTCTGACGCTCTTCGCCAGAAAGTAATCGGGTTGAAATTTTTTTTATTGGAGCAGCGACTGGGTAAAGATCGGGGGAAATGATCTATAAGCCAAGCTATCAATTACTGATTCAATTGAAGTCGTTGGGTTTGAACGTTGGAGCTGGGAACTCTGCATGTCGGAGATTGAGGGGCGGATAACGGTGGGTCCGTTCTTGGCCAGATACAGCAGCTGGTGGGCCTGATTGGCCATTGTGGGGTTCGTCCTGGCTTTCCCTCGTCCTGGCCTGCCCTCGTCCTGGCTTGCCCTCGTCCTGGCCTGCCCTCGTCCTGGCTTGCCCTCGTCCTGGCTTGCCCTCGTCCTGGCTTGCCCTCGTCCTGGCTTGCCCTCGTCCTGGCTTTCCATCTTCCCCACCATTACTTATTTTTGCTCAAGATCAAACCAAGGAACCGTAAATAGTAAATACCGCTGTTCTTAGCCACGGGTGCGGATGCGGATGCGTATGCGAAAAATCGCTTGAAAGAAAGTAGTCGATAAAACCTCACCTTTCGACTACTTGTATTTTTTGCTTCTCTCGATAAAATTATATTACTGAGGGCACTTTGCGGACCATCTTTTTATTGATCATTTCAACCTCCCGAAATCATGGATGAGCTGGCTTTTAGAACGAGGCTGAACTCGCTGATTGAGCAATACACCGCCGCAAATCCTAAGTCGAAAGCCGCTTTCAATAAAGCACAGCAATTTTTGCCTGCTGGAAGCACTCGCTCTGTGCTTTATTCCGCTCCCTTCCCGCTTGTTATCGAGTCTGCCGAAGGCTGTACAGTGACATCTTTGGATGGGCAAAAATACATTGATTTCGTCTCGGATTTCTCAGCTGGCCTCTATGGACACTCGCACCCGGTGATCCACAAAGCAGTCCATGATGCGCTAGCGAAAGGATTCAATTTAGGAGGAATCATTACGCAAGAGGCCCAGCTGGGCCAGATTCTCTGCGATCGATTTCCCAGCATTGAGCGAGTCCGGTTCTGCAACTCGGGCACCGAAGCCAATATGTATGCATTGGCTACAGCTCTGGAGTTCACAAAGCGCAAGAAGGTAAGTTGTATAAACTGGATCTGTCAGATCCCACCTTTCTTGTGATTTTCCACTTTAGCGTTTCCCTGTGATATAGCAATTTGGCGACTTCCAAGGGTATCTCTAATATCTGGTGTGGAATAGGTTCTGGTTTTCAAAGAAGGTTACCATGGTGGCACGCTCAGCTTTTCCGCTGCCGGCAATACTAGTCCTCTAAACCTTCCCCATGAATACGTGTTCGGCACATATAACGATATCGAAGCCACACGACCATTGATCGACAAGACCATTGGCGCCATCTTGATAGAGCCAATGCAAGCAGTGGGCGGCATGAAGCCATCTTCAAAAGAGTTTCTCCAATCTCTGCGCGATGCGGCGGATGAATATGGTGTTGTCCTTATTTTCGATGAGGTGGTTACATCACGCTTTCACTTCCACGGTTTGCAGGGAGCTTGGCAAGTCACCCCGGATCTGACAACGCTCGGAAAATACCTCGGTGGTGGCTTTTCTTTCGGTGCGTTCGGAGGACGTGCTCAAATCATGAGTCTCTTTGACCCCACCGTCACGGATACCCAGACTCTCAGCCATTCAGGTACATTTAACAATAACGTCTTCTCCATGACCGCTGCTGTGGCAGCCTCTCAGCTTGTTACGGAAAAGTCGCTCAGTCGGATCAATGGATTGGGAGACCGTCTGCGCCAGCAAGCCAACGAAATTGCGCACATAGCAGGCCACAAAAGCATCGAGTTTACAGGATATGGTAGTGCAGTTGGTGTGCATTTCCATGGTCCTTCCGGCGTGGATATCCGCGATGCATTCTACTTTCACCTTATCCAAGAGGGGATCTTCATAGGCCGGCGTGGCTTTGTTTCTCTGAACCTTCAACACACTGATGCAGAGGTTGACAGAGTTTTGAAAGCTATTCAGAAGTTTGCGAAAGATTACAGCCAGATCTAGATGAGGGAACCATGATGCCGTGATATATAACGATCTTCCATAATCTCCCTCGGAATCTCAAATGCACGCCTTGTGAAGCAGCTGATTGACTATCATGTTCGTCTTCAACCTTGGGATTTTCTTTTTTCAAAAAAACTGGGTTGCAACGGCTCGATTTGTTACATGTGTTAATCCTAGCCCCTTTGTAACAAAATTACGCATGACACGTGCATTTAGAACTAGAGACTTGGAAATCTCGGTCCAGCTTCACCTCAGCCCCTCATTCTTCTCCTACCTTTTCCCCCTGAAGAACTCTGGCATTCAGTTCCCAAGGTCTGCGCTCCCTAAAGATGGTCTATCCAATATAAACACGCGTATTGTGCAGCTGCCAATGAATTCGGGTTGGGCTTTTTGGCTTTATTAATCGGAAAATTAGGAAACTTGATGCCAAAGACATCGCGTCGAAGTGTTTTACTCATGGCTTGTAGAGTCGGGAATTCGAGAAAACTGTTTAATGCCCAGCTTTTTTGCCCGAAGGAAAGATCTAAATCCGTGCCTCCCTCAATCCATCACTCCTCTCCTTCATCACTCCTCTCCTTCATCACTCCTCTCCTTCACTCACATGCCTCGTTCATCTTCATTTTTACGTTCGACAAAAGAAATTTACGCAAACGATCGGTATTTTCTGATCTCATAGATCATCTGTCTAAGGGGGTCACTTTTAGCTCATCAAATCTGTCTAGCATGCCACGTCATTATAGCCATTTATCACTCGAATCACATCATTGAACAGCCTATTTTCTCTCTAGTTTTCGATGGTGTCGCATCGCTATGCCATATCTTTTGGCAAGTGATGTGCTCGATCGTCCTTTCTTTAATCTGATACGCATATTACCTTTTGTTCGATTCGATAATCGCTAATAAAAAATCATTCTTTCGCCAGAATCGGATTCCATTCTTCATTAGGGATGATTCTCGGGGTTTAAAAAGCATTTTATCTGGTTAAGGGACCTAATGAGTTGATCACTTCGAGCTTGGAGGTTTGACAGTTAACATAAAACGCAGATATTTCCATCGCTATCTCTATAGCACTTGTTAACTCTTGTAGCCTATTGCTAAGGATTCGTGATTCTATGTCCCTAAAGATGCTAAACACATCCCAATCCAACTCGTGTAGAGAGCTTTTAATGGAGTGGCTTGCCTACTTTTTGGTGTGTCCGGGTATCTTGCACAGACAACTTTGTTGCTCCAAATGGCCATCCGAAGATTATGCCCAGGTGCTAGACTTTAAGACTGAGCTTGCAAGCACCTGACGGGTCAAATGCCGATGTAAACCTCCTTTATGCTTTGCTGAGGGAAGATAGTCGATGACAATCTCGTCGAAAGCCTCGCCTGTACGCTCAGCTGCTTTATGTTTTCCAACGGGGCAAAGATGCTGCACTGTGCTGCTTGTGGATGTGCAGTGGGAGTATTGATATTTGTGGGCTCAGCCATTGTAGGTGAAAAATCTGAAGTAGGATCAGTTGACGTGTCTTAAAACACGAAAATCCGATTGAGGAATCATTATCATACCAAGGTGTAGTTAACAAAATTAGATAGACGGATGATTACTAGAGAGTGATGAAATTGATTATTTATAGACGGAGGAGACTCAACTGTCTTTAACCATGCGACTAGAATCAATCAAACCCGCATTGGACTGTTCTAATTTTGCACTAGACTCAAGTGAATGATGTATTACTGAGGGCAAAGCTGTTTGAACTGCCGGTTACACCTGATCGTGCTCATCTAACTGAGGGCGTGCAAGAAACCGCGGGCGCGCGCAGGCACCGGTAAAGAAACATTTCGCAGGACCCGCTCAATTGTATGGATTAGAGACAAACCCGTGAAGAATGTATAAGTAAATGGGAAAAAAGACTTCGTGGCTGCGAAATAACCAATCAAAAATCATCTCTGTCGGATTTGCTTGGAAAATTGTCTAGATGCACCGAATATGTTTATGCGTGGTTTGGCGCTTACGGCTGGTTACACAATCACGCTCCGACTTCAAAGATATGACTTCTAGGTACTGTATCAAGGCCAGTAAGAGATAATAATGATATTTGGCTGAGCTATTTACCCAAGTTCGGTACTTGAAATATTTGCGGCACGAGGCAGTCTGCCGCGAAGAACAGCGAAAAGACCCAAGAACGGACAAACAGGCCTACGGCTCATACGGTGACTCCATCAATCCGCCTCCTGGACATGCGGACAGAAACCGAGCTCCGTCCACCGAAACACCATCCCAAATCGAAGGATCAGCCATATCTGCCGGACGGAAAGGTAGCCGCGTCGTATCGTCGCACGTGAGGCCGGCGAGTCCCTTGCCGTCACTATCCCATACAGGATAGGCGCGACGCATCAAAAACTGCTGCCCCCTGTACCGATCACCGTGGGAGAAGTCGCCGAACGCAAGGACCTGTAGAGCCGGCAGTCCACCGGGGCCAAATGCCCATTCGGCAAATGACACAAAATCCTCGGCCTCTGCTATTGCTGCGGACGACTCGAGCACTGCCTCCTGAAAATCCATACACTCGAGGGGCGACCTATCGTAGTACGCGTTGAGAATACGATCGTAGTCATTATTATTACTAGAGATATCCTCGTCCACAAGACCCCTGCGTGAACGAGGGTCCTGTGAATACGGTTTGCGTGTCTCGTGGAGGAAGGTGATAATCTCTCGTTGGACATCTCGATGGATTCGCTCGGGTCCGCTAAACCGCAAATGTAAAAGCCGAAGCTGTGAATGCTTTGCCGTGGGTCGAAGGCACCGCCGCTGTCTTGATTAGCATGCACACGTTCGCTAGGCTGACAAAGACTTACAGCGGCAGATGGTCTTACACACAGTGCCAAAGCAGTCACCTGGCCCAGGTCCACAATGGTTGACAAATTTGCAATCCACACGGGCGACACATCCCGATCGTCCTCAAACAAGCCATCCTCGCCGATGGGGGCGAGTTGGCGCTTATGGTAGACAAGGCTTTTAAACGTGGTTTGGTGGTGTTTTATGGCGTCCTGGATGCGGGACTCCGACGTCGGAAAATTGGACAACCGCAGATGTAGATGCTGCAGCCCACGAAACGAACGTAGGAACCGTATAACCGAAGAGAGGCTACGCCCGTCGCCCGGTTCGTGCAGTAGGAGATCTAAAGAAGTTTTAAAATGCTCTAGTTGTAGTGGCTTTTGTGACCGCGACAGCAACTGTAAGAGACGTAGCTGATTCGGGTAGTCCCGGAGGGTAAGCGCTCGTAGGGAGCAAAATATCGAACTGTTCTCTGATGAGAGATTTGGGGGAAGGGTCACCCTTAATAGTGCTAGGGAGGATAAGGTAGGAACAGCTGTCGGCTTCTCGACTCCTATACCCCCGACCCCGAGCTCCGGCCCTTACAGTCTAAGACTCTCCTAGCATAGAGCACGGGCGGAAGCGGAATAAACAAAGCCGATGGATAGGTGATCGAGGTGGCTCTAATTGTGACGGATGCACTATCGTAGTAAATCAACCTCGGTCTGATGCTGGATTCCTTCCCACTCGAAGGCCGTCAGACTCGATAGTTCGGACAGCCCTTCTAGACGGTGCTATGTCTGAGGACAGGTACCATCGGTGATGAGTGAGAGACGGGCGAGGCGCTGTTGATATCGGCTGAGATAGCCTCCCTGATCGAGAACTCCCATCGGGACATATGTCCCAAGCCGCCATCTATTACTGGTCAGTCACAGATCCGGAGAATGGGCACCAGCGCATACGGACTCGAAAGTGCTCAGGCTATTCGGCTTTAAGTGGGTGAATATCAACTGCAATTGATCCTTCACGTCGTCCAAAAACTGCTGATGTGCCGTCGCCTCGTCCGAAGCTCCTAATATGGTCGGAGACTCCGGCAACCCCGCCGCGCGAAAGATGTTGTAATATGCACATCGATTAAACCGGACGAGGTGAAATGGAGCCTGGATTTGCAGGTTCCTCACGTGCTGAAGATAGCCCACGGACCGGGATTGCCCGAGGTGGAGAAAGAAGGAGTCGACATCCAGAACGTTCAGCGCCCACTCACTTGCTGCGTGGAATGTAATGGTACGGTAGATGTGAGGAACCAAAACTGAATATACTCTCGACGAGACTCGGCTGAGAGCGCGCAGGTGGGCGGGTGGCAGCTGGCAGGCGGTCAGAGGACGTGAATCAAACAAACCAAACACGCCAGGACTTACCCAGTCCGCGATCAGCATCAGAATCTCACACGGTAACGTCTCCAGCATTGTACTAGGAGAGGTGACATCTGTTCACTGCATCAATGCATTCTGGACAATGAGCGACTTAAGAGGCAGGGGTTTGCCGAGACTTAGAGCGCCTGTTCAAATTAACCCTAGGCATCTAAACAAAGAAAATATATTTAGTTGGTATCCGCGGAAGACATGTCGCATATCGCGCTGGAAGACAAGCTAGCCCATCCGGTCCCTAATAACCAGGCTCAGTTCAGTACCTTATTCGGTAACCGTTCTTGACCACAAGGAATAATTTGTTGTAGGCCGCATCTCGTGATATGTCTCGTTTCTAGCTTGGTAGGCTGTTCGGCATGAGCAGGATCAAGACGCAATGACCACAAAGTAGCCATGGTGTCCTCACTGGTATTGTAGTGTGTGGAATAAGACGATAAGTTGGAGACAACCGTTGTCAAATTCAAAATTATAAAAACGTTCAACCAAACAACCTTTGGCCTGAACAAGCCAAACAAACAGAGCCCCACGGTTCATGTGGGGCAACAGGTAAGCGTGCATGCATAGCCAAGGTCGCGGTTGAAATGGTTATGTACAGTTGTTAAGGAGCGCTGTCTAACTGTAAAACATAAACGATATTTCACTTCCACTTAAGCGAATGGCAAAATCCTACAAAATGGGCTGCAGTAGTATGGGCCCGCGAGACCTGGGGTCCGAGACGTTCAGCCTGGAAGATCTTCGGACATTAGGCCGTTTGCTTTTAGGGGGGAAAAAGGCAGACGGCCCTCGCGTTTGATTTCTTCCGTAGAAAACAATACAGGTACTGTATGTCAGTCTCGAAGGCGCACTAAGATTGCACAATATTTTAACGGGGACTAAGGGCGCCCGGTGGTAGACTATCTATCCTTGGCGAAGGCGGTCGGTTGGCTTGGCAAAAACAGCTCACGTCTCTTCGCGCAAGATGCATTCATTATTGCCAAATAAGAGCGAGCGATAAGAAGACTCCCGCCAGAGTGCTAGTAACCACCCCCTGCATTACGAAACTTGACAAATAAAGGGTTAATCTACTGATCTGGGATATTCTGTATTCTATGTCATGGTTGTGTTAAATATATATACACTAACTGGCCCATACGAAGTAAGCACCAACTATCCTCCTTTCATAAACGAGCAGGCATTTCATTCCAGCCTCCAAGTATGCGAGTATCATCCTGCTTCGAAGTTTGTCCCATCTCCCCAAGATATGAATAGAGCCTACGCTGCATATTCAAGCACCGTATGCAGGATAACCCTCGAATAAGTGACAGCGCTGTAGGCCAGGACCAAGTGCATCACATAGAGACTGGGCCGCCAACCATTCGCCATGTCCATCCTCTCCAACGGCCGAAGCAGATAAAAGACAGCTCCAAGAGAATTCCAGATGGCGACTCGGCCGAAGTGTACAGTATACAGTGTACAGTGTGTGTGTGTGTGTGTGTGTGTGTGTGTGTGTGTGTGTGATATCATTTACCCTGACTTAGAGCCTCGTCAAGGCTTCCCGTGGCATAATTGCCGTTCCCATTGTTAGGCTGCCCTCGTGGCGCGCGCCCGCAAAACCTTTGTGACGCCTCAGCAAAGTCCAGCACGGCCTTGACCGTCCTGGCTTGCGAGATGGTGTCTGGTTTACCTCTCTCACCTTCTTTTGAGCCCCCCAGCAGACTCGACATGCTATTGAATGCGTCTCCAACTTCTCTCCGCAACTCCCTTCGAAGTTCCCTCAAGTTCGGGCAGTCCACCAACACATGGGTTACTGTTTCTTGCGCGCCGCATATGCACTGGTCATCGTCACTGTAGCCAACCTTTTGGCGGTAGCTAGACGGCCAGTTGTGGCCCGAGCGCAGCTGCATCAAGAGGTATGCGCGGTTCCTCGGTAGGTTTCCGTACAGCCTCCTCGTGCGGCTGGCTGGTAGTGTGTTATCGACCTTTCGTAAGTGACCACCCTTTGTGGATGATTTCCATTCTTGCTCCCACTGAGCGTAGATTTTCCGACGAATGAGCGTCCTCTCTCTGGTGAGGAGCGGGCGGAAGGGATGGGTTTTCCCGGACTGGCGGCGTTCTTGGCCAATCCATCTGCAGCATCGTTGCCAGGATTATCGTAATGCCCTGGCATCCACTGAAGGCGCAGTGCGATTCCCGCTGTTCGAACCTCGGTGGCAGCCTGGAGGATCGCGTGAACGATTCGCTGTCCTGATTTGTTTCTCGCGCTCTGAACCGCCTGCAGGGCTGACCGGTTATCGCACAGAATCGTCGCTGACTGTTGTCCGTCTATTAATATTAAGCGCTGGTGGGCGATCTTGAACACTATGCTGATCGCGTAGAAGATGCCGATGAGCTCCGCTATGTGGACCGACCAGCGGTCCGTCGGTCCCACCTGGATCTGCTGGGCTTCGATGATCTCCAGGTTGCCGTCGAGAGTGGGCACGGAGCCGTTATTAGACCGTTACGAGCAGGGAGAAATTTCATGAAAGCATTTATAACTTCACTATAACACTAAAAAGGAATTGTTAATTACATATTCCCCTTGGTGCGGGGATTTCATTCCTTCCAATAACCCTCCCTGAAGTTAAGAGAATCGCGTTAAGTGGGGCATCACCCACCCTTAAAGCGTGGTCCCACATCATTTTTGCTTTCAAGAAAACAAAATTTCGGGTTATGTTAGTCAAAACTGTCCGGAAATTTAACGCACTGAATTCCTTTACAAAATGTATGTAATTTTCTCCGCACTAAAACTAGACTATATACTAAATTTATCAAACAGAAATGATACTAAACTCAAAAACAAATGGGCAGCACAGACTCGGCATAACCGTTCAATTGAGGAATGCTGAGAAATAGGGCATAGGCACTTTTTTGATGTCACCCAGCATCGTTCAGCGCCTCGACAGGCAACAAATGAATCATTTTTGAAACCTGATCTTATTGCGGTATGGTGATATATTACGTACAAGTTGACGGTCTAGTCCACTCCACATGACCTGGCTTCCTTGTTGCCACTGATCATCGTGGAATTGGTGGCAGATCTGGCTCATATAGTAAGGAATTTGCGAAATTCTTTAATAGAGGCATGCATATGTCGAATAATCAAGCTACCACGTGTCATTCAGGAAAATGGTCGCATCACTGGGGCTACTCGTTGATGGAGTCACCGTACGAGTTGTAGGTCTGCACGTGTCTTTCTTGATTCTTCCTTGAAGATCGCGGCGGACTACGCGGCGCAACGCGTCCTATGATGGATTTGGTCAAAGAAGGCGGTTGCTTTTGGTCATGATCTGCCGTACTTGTAATGCTACCTAGAAAATATAAACTTGCAGCTCTGGATCTCAGTTTGCAGTATCCCACTGTAGGTATATGAACTGTCGTGCTTAACTAGGTATCAATGAAAGCAAGTCCAACAGAAACTGTGCTCATCATTAATTAGCAGCCCCGACCAAGATATTCGTAGCTTACTTAGCTGTAAAACAAGCTCGAGTCATGTATTTCTAAGCAGTCTGATCCCTTTGAGGACAAGTACACGATCACAAATCTCATTCACGTAGAAACTTCGACCGGCGAAGATTGGTGAAATGTTTCTCCTCGCCGTAGCAGGCCTCCTACCCCCACCTAGCCCATGGTGAGTTCAGTCGCGCCTCTTGCCAGGGTACCCACCAATCTTCTTCTTAGAGACCACAAAGCGTCATGCAGCATAATCCCACTGACCCACTGACTGCAACCTACCGAGATAATGTGTTTTATATAATACACGCATTTGTGATAGAATCGGGGATTTACCTTGTACAGCCAACGGGTGTGTGGCTTGTTCTTTTTGGCGCTTAACGCGGCCATCATGTGTTGACTTAACCACTATAAAGATGGGATTCCACATTCCATTCTTCCACATTCCAGGGCTCTTGCTACGAGCTTATCACTTTTCTGTTGGATGGGCATTTTCGAATTAGATACCCAATCAAAATTAAACTAGATAGAACACTGTGTTGAGCTCAGCTATAGACATAGCTTCCCGTAAAATCGCATGCACTCAAGGCAAATCAAAAGACAAAGGCTGTTCAGAGAAAAGAGGGCCCAAATCTGCTACCATATCATCCAGAGAAGGGTCGTTCCACGTCAGTGAGTTCGACTTTAAAGGATTGATGAATACCTCCGGGTTCTCAGGGTGATCATTTTGATGTTTGGAAGATTCTGGTGCGTCGTGTCGTTCCTTCCACACTTCCGTTCCCGTATCTTAAAGCAGAGTCATTAAATGTTCTTGTTGTAAACCGAGAAGACTTCTTCATACCAGTGTGCATATTTGAGCTTTGCTCAATTGAATCGCAGACTTCGTGAAACTGCCTTGCTACCTGGGCTCGCGACTTCGCAACAAATTCAACTGCTGTTGCTCCGTGGGAACCGAGAACACAGTTCCTTTCTTCAGTCGCTCTGTCGCTACCCCAATCAAGACGTCCAGTCAATGCCTGGCCTATGGCATTGGAAGCACTGAACCAATTGTCCTCAGTGCGGCCCACCTTTGCCGCATGATCTTCATCCCCTATTCTTTCAGCATCGTGAAATTGCGGTTCTGGCTGCTGCCAGGCCTCAGCTGAACTATTCACATTGTACCTTGTACTGAGCCTTTTGGGGACTGTAGAGAATCTGGTGTCAGGTCCAATTTGTGACAGTTTGAGGAAGTTTGAGGAGGAAAATGTCGTTGGCCAACGGAGAATTTGCGGAAGACAGATAACCAAATCACCTGGCTGTACCGCAATATCCCGAGCTTCCCCAAATATTTTATATGCACTTCCATACTTCAACTCCAGCGAGCTCTGGAGCCATGAGTTTATTTGGCGATGAAACCCTGGGACCAGTCGGATCTTTTGTGCAGTCTCACAGGTCGGAAATATGACAGTACTCTGTACATCGCTTGTACCTTCTCCTTGGACCAGTGACCTAATATAGTCAATTGGGACACCGAACCCAACATCTTCATTTTGAAACACTGTGCTTTGTTGATGCTGGCCTGGGGAATGAATGAAGTTCAAATTTTGGTCCGCTCTGCATGCGACCAGAACAGCATAATAAGCTGGGTCCTGTTGAACTATCTGAGATATCATGCTGTGGAATATATTTTGACTGAGATTAGAATTTTCCTTGGTACCGCTTCTGTCAAGATATTTGCGGGCCCGTTTGAACACGCCAAGCTCTTCCATGTAGGAAAAGAAGCCAGGCATGTGGAGATATCCGTCCCTTTGCCAACGCCACCACGCATCAGCAGACCCCGTATAACGACATAGGAGCTCCGTATTCGAACAAAGGTTGGGAGTCGAGATAAAGGGATGATCGCCTAGTATTAACGGTACGTAAGCAGATGTTCAACATTGATGACCTCATGTATCAGTCGTAGAGGGAAAGTTTCCGCACTTATGGAGGTGTAGCATTCACGCGAGCAGAAAGTCTCCAAGTTCTGAATCACAGCAGCTCTAGCACGATCACGCGAGTCTGCTCCGGGAATGAACCGTGCAAGGCGCGTCAAATGCTTTGAACAAAAGCTACCCCACGACATTTTGTATGCCCAGTTCACCAATGCTGCCAGAAGCCATTTGTCGAATTCCACCTCAGGAGTGGAGATTAATGCGATGAGTGGCAAGCATATAGGGGTACATCCGCAGCGCTGCCACTTATTCCGGTCTGTGTTGGTTTGTGGCCGCTGTGGAGACGAGATGTCCAACGACAACACCCCTGGAGAGTGTGTGTTTGGGCGGAAAAATACTTCTGATTGGATGTTGGAAGATGAAGATCCAATCTCAGGGCTATTATGGGTGCCTGTGCTTTGAGCTGAACTTGAGGGGATTCGGGATTTTCTTGCTTGAAATACCGTTAGCTTTCTTGGGAATTCTGAGTACATCATGACTTACATCCTCGTATTGCCAATCGTACCTGGGGTATCTCTAAAGTCTCTAATACGCGTTGAACATCACTTGCCATCAGTTGATTCTTCTTGCGTCCACGTTCTGGTCTGTTTTTCATGCTTTCTTCCAGAAGCAAGAGTGAGTCGAAATGATTCCGGTGCTTGCTCAAACGGGCTACCAATGAAAGCAAATGTTTGCTCCAACTTAACGGACGAGTAAATTTTGGAAGGGCCTCATCGAATGGAACTTGCCAGTGCCGAAATATCGTCCGGGTGCTTGATCGTTTCGCTAGCTCCGATTTTTTATGTCGCTGTAAAATCGGTCGGACAGTTTTCGCATATCCGATGGCCCTCTGGTAGTCGCTAAGGCTCTCGTATCTTATAGACCAAAGATCATTCTGGCATATCCATTGCCAAGCGGCGCTGATAGATGAAGCAACACGCTCGTTGATCTCGGAGGCTCTTGTCAGAAAGTCGGTCAACACATCCAATTGTTCATGCTCAGGTTTCCCATGTAACAGAGTTGCGATAGATATCTCGGAGGAGTACACTAGATCACTCGAGAAATTTCGTGCCCCGGGATCCATGTTGAAATATTGGATTTCTCTATCTTCAAAGGATACGACCTGTTGTGATTTGGACTTTTCCGTTGGCTACTTCCCTCATACGTATGGACAATTTGTCTTTGAATAACCCCAGACTATAACTTGATTTGGTGTATTGATTCTCTGGATCAGTAGAATCGGGCTAGCCGCAGGACACTTCGAGTTGCCACACACCTCTAGAGTGGTGATCGCCATTTACAGAAAATTGCCATTGGTCTCTATTAATATATCAAGGACTAAGATATTGCACCAATCACGAAGATGATAAGTTACGCTAATTGAAAACTGGAAATGAGGTTTGACAATATACCCATATTTACCTAGGACACTTCACCAAGACTTTATACCCCACAAGAAGCACATTCTGATTATTTTTAAGGCTAGAATGTCATAGTTAATCATACTATACTATATAAAGACGTTGTTCAAACTTAAACGAGCAATTTACACCGAGATATCATGGAATAGCTACCTATCAGCTAGCATTCCCGATACGGGAGACCCATAACAATGCGCATAGTCGCCTCTTCAGTGAAGAGATCAACACTGTGAGGACCAAGCTCGAGTGGCCTACTACACCACACCTACCCCGGCATGATGACTGTATTTATTCTCAGATAATGGGCTCAGGCGGAAAGGTGAGGGACGTGGATATTTACTAGGCCTCTTGTGCTTATTCTCGATGCAATTTGTTATAGATGCTGCCACCCCCACTGACATCTATCATATTCTTGATGACCAGCTCACGCTTCTCTTGGTCATAATGAAGCACGTATGGTTGATGATACGTTAAATGCGTGGAAATACCGAGGTACTAAGAAGAAAATGTGTCTTGGCCGCTTTAAGCGGTGCTTTCCGTTGCTTTCCTTTGCTTGGCAAATTCTACGGTGCTAAAAAGAAACAGAAATAATACACCACGTACTAAATCGATGTACCAATCAGATGCATGGGCACCTTGAAGAATTGCCTAAAATGTGGCTTGGGTTGCATCATACCGCATGATACCCCGACTGGTTCTTGTATCGTTTACGAAGCTCCCATCGTCAGCATCAAATATCAATATATCTTAAGCACAGTTTCATAAAAATACTCTGGATTTCTCCACTTTCAAAATCACCTTACGAAATAAATTTAGCACATGGATCGACATAGACATGAGCCTTTAGAACGTGACTCTGTGTATTTATTATTGCTTCTGGTATTGGAAAAGATATCAATGGGTCCATTTAGCCTCCTGTGTTATATATCAGTCATATCACAACCGGATGCAGTCACGGATTTCTGCAATGAGTGACGCAATAGCTATCAACCGATCTACCACTAGACCCAGAAAAATGAAGTCACTCCTAATGTCAAAGGTAACACAATTGGATCTGGTTTGACCCTATCCTGATTATGTATATTTCCTTAAACAACAGTGCACTGCGGGCCTGCATGGAACCGATGTATGAAGAGGCACGGACCCAAGTTCGTGACGGTTTATACACTGCCCTTCGTTGGTGGCATTTACTGTCTTCACTGCTTGTTGTGTATGTTGCACATATGCACAGGATGATGTCCTCCCAGTGGTTCTGCTAATTGTAGATCATGTTCTTGCTCATTGACCATGCATGGTCATGGTTTCTCTTTTCTCTGGATGCTGGAATGGAACCCTAGGTGATAAGCACCAGCACCGCACGTGGCTTAATGACAAGTGTGTTGGTTGGCTCTTGGTGGCCCATCAGTAAGTTGCGGCTGCAGGGGCCGTAACACCAAGGTCTGTCTTGGACGGGCATTGTCACAGTAAAATAAGGAAAGAGAGAAAAAAAAAAACAGGAGATGACACAGGGAAGCAAAGCGAAAAGAGATATCAGGTTTCATGCTACACGATATGCATGTTGGTATACCCGTATGTCATTTTCACATGCAGAGGTGAGCCAGTAACATAACCCATAATTAAGTAAGTTATATATCTTCTACTATAAATCTTTGATATCATAAACGGGAAATAGTTGATATAACATATTCTATAATTCATTACTGTTAGCCAATAAATCCCTTTATTCAAGGGGTATTTGTCTGGACCACCTGCAATAAGAGCCTGATAGTACTTAATATGAAGCAGGAAGCGTAATCAGGGTTCTGCTTGCGCCATCATGCAATCCCTGCGCCGAGCCACTACGATGGCATGTGAACAGACCGAATGCCTTGGCTTCGGTTAACTACATGCATACTGTTAGTAAGTGCACCGTGTATCCAGAGAGGGGCTGACCTTCGCATGGAAAGTCAGCGATTAGTCTTCATATCATTATCGTACTACCTTCATAGCCTCTATTTCTCGAATCCCACCTGCAATACTGAGACCCACTAGGTAGCGGTCTCACAGTATTATTATAGTAGATCATAAAACGGGCATAACTAAGCAATGGCTGTGAAACATCGATTTTAAATTATCAGGTGGGAAGCAGCAATTATAGACAGAGACTTGAGGTTAGAAACCACCCATCTTTCTAGCTTATATGAGTTTGCTTCATTCTCTAAAAAAAATTACCCGCGCATTATACAGAGTAAGTCAACATAGTATGAGGGTGGAGGAGGGCTTGTATTGGAGCCTGGAAAAAATGGCATGAAATAGGCTTGGCACAGGGCCTCTCTAACAGGGTAAAATAAATTCTGGCAGTACTTGGGGGTCGCCGAGAATTTAGGAATGCGCGTGATTTGTAACTAGTGGAGACTAACTAATGTCTGACTAATGATATTCAATCAACACCCTACTTCATTCATTGAGTTTAAAAAAACAAAAAAACAAGGAGATTGCTAATCTGACACCCCCCAGCGTTTTCTGACCCCCTTTGCCTATTCTAACCCCCTCCTGCCTGATCATTTAGTACCGCCTTCTTAATTGGGTGCGACCAGTAATTCTGCCATATATTCTGCCACCACCATAATAGAGGAGTAGGAGGATATAATAGGGATACGATAGAGGAGGGCGCCTTACCGATAAGTGAATATAGTCGTTCTTACTAGTATTACTACCGACCTATATATAGACGCGAGTGTTAGGGAAGAAACGTAAGAATCGGGATATTGTTAGATTTGAATACCATCAGATTACTTAAGAATGAATACTTGATCAAACGCTTCTCTTTCACCCATTTTATAATCAAACTTAAAGCTAATCAAGTAGTAGAAATATAGGCTGGGTCTAGATTGGGTCTCGATTTTACTGGGTCGTGCGGAAGACTAGTACTGGCCTGTAAATTAGTATTCTATCTTTACAAGGACTCGGGCTATAGATCTGCTACCAATCAAGAAATACAACGAGCAAGGCGCTCATAACCTAAGAGCAGAGAGTTTACAGTAAATGATACGTCTGGTAAAGCTCTTACATTGTGTGTGGAGGGCGGAAGACAAACTATCTACCAGAGAGGACTTGACATGGTGGCCCACCATATCTTTGCTCCCACTGGGAGCAAACAGATATATCACGTGATCTCTGACAGCAAGCTTAGAAGCCGGCAACGGACTTAGCACTATCAGCTGGACCGTGCAAGCCGGCACCAATGTTCTGTGTGCACTCGATTCGCCAGTTGTTCGGGGTGAATTTATCAACAATGGCCTTGAAGGCGTCCAACGTGCAGAATGTCTCGTCGCCAGGCAGGTGGTTCTCGGGCTTGGAGGCGCAGCCGGGGATAGTAACGGGTCGGTCATTATAGCGTATACGGACATAGTGCTTCTGAAGAGACTCGCGAGTACCACTAGGTAAAGATGAGAGAGGTTTTCGCGCCGTCTCGGATAAAGTGGGCTGGCTCAGTGCAGACACACCAAACAACTTGGAGAGGACACTAGACGTCTTGGCTCCAATAGAGGGATTGGAGAACTTCTCGAGCAAGATAACAGCGGTAGAGGCGGTGCGAGGAGTTTGTGAGAAGAGTTCAACTACAACAGAGGAAGTGAAAGGAGGCCAGGACTCGTCTTGGAACCCGCCAACGCTAGCCAACATCGCTGCAAGCGTGGTGTCGTGGCAGCCGCTCATTGCAAACTTGATCAACTTCCCGGTCTCTAGATCGTCAGAACTAGATGAAGCGCTTTCGCTACGCCAGCCACTTCCCACGGCAATGCTAACCATGCGGTCAACCACATCGCCCATAAGAGCTCCAATTCCTAGCTTGCGGTACTCGCTACTCTCGCCATAACCGGCAAACCACTCTTCGACTACGATCCGATCGACAACTGCACGTCCCTTCTTATCATAGAATTCGGATGGGAGCTTCGTACTAGGTCCATGGGCATCGGTAGCATTGATAGTATCCATGATTCCAGAAAGTCGAGGGTGGGAATCAACAGCAACCTTAGGTGATTCCTCCGGCATATGCTTTGACCAAAGACTGTTCAGGTAAGTCATTTGCTCAGAGTCATTCCCTACAGTCCATAACATTAGTAATAATTCCACAAATCCTCACAGGAAAACTCATACATCGTGTAGCGGAACGATCGGCAAAAAGCCGAGCCAGCTGTGCGAACCGCTTACAACCCCCCTTACTAGGGAACAATGTCTCCTCACTAAAGTGACGGCCCACAATCACCGGCGGTGAGAAATCGAGCGTTCGCGCACTAGCCGGGTACATACCCAAGAACGCTTCCTGGAGGGACTCCAGAGCGCGGGGGATTGGCGTCGCGCGAAGGTACATATCCTCAGCATTGGACTTGATCTCGGGCATGAAACCAAGCTGATCGACATAAAGATGGCGCAATCGTTGTCCAAGCGCATACGTCGTCTCACGGCCCTTATTTGTAAGCTCACCGTGCATGCTCAGTACGAGTTAGCCTTTCCCCGGATTTAACCGTCCAATGTCAGCTCCACGGGTGTCTTACCACATCCCTTCAGCTTCTGAGCCCGGTCCTCTGGCAATAGTTGCCTTGTCATTATTGCCGAAAGTCTCCATCTTCCGTAGCCATTGAAATCCGTTCCGTACCGATAGATCCTTACTGCTCGAGGCTATCTGCACCATGCGTTTTGCGACGCCGCAATACGGCCAGTCTTTGAGGTATCAGTATTGTATCCGCCGATATCGATCTTGGGGAATTGCCATACATGGTGTCAGGCCTGCCTTTGGGAAATGTTAGCGGAGAGCTTCGGAGATCGTAGTTAGGGGCCGGAATCAATAGCAACCTACATTTGTGAATCTTGAAGACACGGGGGTGCGTTCGCCTGGGTTCAATTAGAAATGCTCTGCGGGCCCTATAATTTTAATGGGATATATTTATCACCATGGCGAAGGAACTGTGGTGGTTAGCTCGAGCTCAAGTACCTGGAAAGTCAACTGGAAGTTCACGCACCACTTGCACCAGCTGAAGCTTCAGCTCCTTTGGGTACAAGCGAGCAAGCTCATCCTGGGTGTAGGGCTCATGGGGAATCAGAGAGGTCATAATGAAAACCTATGAAAAAAACAAACGTGAGAAGAAATATTCAATATTGAGTCAGAGGGACTAGATGCCGCGTGGGTTGGAGAGGTGCCAATCAGTTGGGGTACAGTTGATTCTCAATTAATTGATGACAGTCTCTTGATCATTTTAAATGAATTGGTCCAGGACACATAAAAGGCCTGCCTAATTGTAAGTTCAACAAAGGTTATTGAAAAAACATGGAGGTGATACTGTAGCAATTAAATTTCAAGTGTGTTAGGCTGAATGAACGTCCTACATCCATCCATACTGTAAAATATGGCAGCTTGCGTGGGTTGATAGGTGGAAAAAGCAGCCTGATCTTGAAAATTATCACTGTGGCAAAACCTTTCGCATGGCAGGTGTGACAAATTTTGAACAGAGTTTAGGGGTACTGGGGTCTAAACCTCGTCATAATGCCTTTCTGGATACCCTACGGCTATTCGTGAACCCCCTGTCATATCATAAACTAAGACAAGTTATTGACTGAGTGCATTGCCAATTGCATGTGGCATTGTATGAAAATATCATGAATCAAGAAAATTCCCAAACGTCATGTGAAAATGAGCTGGAATTATACCAAGTGTGACAAATTACGGCGCATATTCCGGCTTCAAAGAAAGATTTGCTTTTGAGGAATGGACCAAATGTAGGCGCACCTTCTGTATAAAGCCCATTCTGGAAGTCTTGTGACATACTACTCACCTAGTCTTCCCGATCATACCCTTATCCATAAAACCGACCAATTAACCACACAAAACTGCAACTTCACAAGCTAAAACTCCTGCACGCGACCCCAAAAAGACTGTATACAGCGTAAGTACCGCCTATTAAGTACCTTTAGTCATTCATCCTGGCTTGGTAAAGTATGCACCAGTCCCAAATTAGAAATTACTAGACATGATGCTTGTCTATCATTAACCCCGTAATGACCACCACCCCAGTGAGAATCCCTGGAGGCTGCGACTTGACCACCGCTGATTACAGTGTTGGTCGGCTCCAATTTATCCGGGGCAACGTGGATCCGCTCGTTTTCAATTCTTAAATGTCTCTTGGTTCGGGCTGCGATCGTCGCTCCACGGTTTTCCGGTGCGTCGATCCTTTTCTCTCTCTGCGCGTTCCTGGTAAGGGGCTCGGGAACCCCCGTGAGTGGGTCCGTCATTCCGCTTGGCACACAATCACAATGGATCCATTACTATCAATTGAAATCCCAACAGGTCCCAATGTATATCAATATATTCGGACTATTGGTAAACTAACCTATGTTATGATCGAAGCATTAGTGAAGTAAAGTCCGAATGTGGCTTCGTGTGGTTTCGGGTACGGGCAAGGAACAAAACATTTATGCATCTAATATCGGTGATCACAACACCAGAGTTGTAGATTGATGTAAATGACATATAAAAAGCAAAGAAAGTTGATCACATCCGACTAATCAGCTGCTAGCTTCAATTTACCGCTCCATGTATAGGCACTTCCTTGGTGAAAAATGAGACCTAAAGTGTTCTAGAATTGTAGCGGGGCTAGAACCTCTTTCAGTTGATCTTGATGGTCACCTTTCCGAAATGCTTTTGAGCCCACTATATAGCACAAAAATTAGTCATGACGATGGATATTTCGAATCAGTTAGTAATTCACTTACCATGTACGCATAAGCTTCCCGAGTCTGTTCGAGACTAAACACCTTTTGATCCATAATGGGATGAATATTGTTCGCCTCAATAGCACGAACCATATCCCGCATCAAGGCCTTGCTACCGACATACACACCCCGGATAGTACATATATTGCTCAAAGAGTCAAGAATGCTCGGCAGGCCCTTAGGGTCGACACCACCAAGAAAGCCAATCACATTAATGATACCCTCATACTTGATACACTTGAAGCTCTGGGCGAGGGTCCCGGCTCCACCAACTTCGATAACATAGTCGACTCCGGCTTGGTCGGGCGTTAATGTACGAGCAGTCTCACCCCAGTTGGGGTCATCTCTGTAGTTGATTATGTGGTCAGCGCCAAGCTTTCTGAGCTTCTCGACCTTCTGTGCCGAAGAAGTTGTTGCAATAACGGTTGCACCAGCACCTTTGGCAAACTGTTTGGAGTCGGTTAGCTAACAGTATGGGAGATTTCGTGTGTATTGTAATATTCTGGACAGACCTGTAGAGCGAACATGCTGACACCGCCTGTTCCTTGGACCAACACGACCTGACCGGGCCGGAGAGGTCTTAACCCATATAGAGCATTCCAACTTGTGAGGGCCGCGCAAGTAAGAGTACTGTTTTCAAGAGGACTGAGATTTTTCGCGGACTTGACAAGTCCTGTTTCATTGAACACGCCATACTCGCGGAGAGTGCCGTCAATGACACCGCCCAAGCCGGTTTGTGACGCCCGAGCATCAATAGGTCCATACTGATGACCCTGATTGAAAAGTGTCACGACCTTGTCGCCCTCTCTAAATTCGGTAACCTTCGAACCGACTTCGGCAACCTCACCGGCACCGTCGGATCCGACCACCACGGGGAATTTGAGAGGAAATGGATATGCTCCCTATTCAGAGATACAAATGTTAGTCTACCAAGTATGTGGCAAAAGTGAGAGATGATAAGTGAAAGCCGTGCTTCACTACCCATACCTTAGGAATGATTAGGTCACGATAATTGAGCGATGCAGCTTCCATTTTCACCAACACCTCGTTTTCACCGACTTTTGGGATCGACGCGTCCTTAAATGTGAGTCCATCGAAGCCATTGTCCTTGTTTTCTGCAACCCATTGCTTCATGGTCACGGGAGCCGTTGTGAAGTTTGTGTTTGAGTTGTCTGTGATGTGGCAATAGTTCAGTGAATGTTTGACCAGTTAGGTGACGGTCTGATATCATAGAGCGAGCTCACAGTGTATGAGCTAGTATACGACTAGGGCAAGTGAGATCAAGTGAAGACAATTGAAGATGAATAGAAAGTTTGGAAATGTGCGATCGAAGGCAGGTTGAAATACCCTCGAGTCTATGCGTCTAATACGCCGGTACTCGGTGGTTACAACACCAGAGTTACAGGTTAACGCATAATGACATACACCAAGCAAACGAAGTTGGTCTCCTGTGATTAATCAGCTGCTAGCGATAAATTACTGTCCCACCCTCCGACAGTCTATAGTTGACCGTTTTGGGCTTTGCTTACTAGCTGAATGGATCAATGGATGGATTCATTTACCCTGACTCGCTTTCCGTGAGATCCCAGATCACGTGGCATCTATAGGCAGAAGGGAGATAACTTTCTGCGACTTTAAATAGCCGGATGTTTGACGGTTTGAACAATATTAATCATACTTGTACCTCGATCCAAGGTTTCAACTCTTTTAGCGATATGCAGGCTACCACTATGACGTATAGAGGATTGTCTCCACGATATTGGTCCAAAATACCTGCGGTGAAATTTGTGGAGGCCTATCTTGTTCCACCTTAGCCTGCGATGAGGCTGGAGTGTTTGATTACCACAGGTGATACAGTCTCCCCACGGAGACGATGTAGTGGGGTTTGGAGTTGCCGGCACTGGAATTCGAATAACAGGATCGGCAGAACGATGTGCATTGCAGCAGCTATGTAACAGTTCAAATACGGGAAGGAGAATAAGGAAGAAAATCGCGGGAGGGCTCAGCAGTCTCATGTGATAGCTTAGGTTCTACGGAACACCTGCCATACGTGACAGTTTTTTTTTTTTTTTTTTCTTGCATATCTCAATTTGCATAAAATGACTACTGCTTCTTATTATCCTGGAGGGATAAGATATTCAACAAAAAATCATCCTCTGGGGCTACCTCAAAGTCGAATCGAATGGATTCGTCTTGGAATGGGTAGATGCTCGTGCTCGTGATCCTATTTGCATAATGAAATCCTCAGCGCCCATAAAGACATTTTATAGATTTTTGGGATTGCAGAGCCAACCAAGGTCTGTTTCCCACATACCTGTGGTGTTCCTCGCTGTTCCGATACTTTTCCAGCTCTGTTTTATTCTCATGGAAGCTGACGAGAGCAATCTCGAAGCCCTTACTTCTCTCCATTGGCACTGTGATAGAGGCACCAACCACCAGGCTGCGTCCCTTGATACTGTTCATTTCTTTCATTTTCTGGATTTCTCGGATAACGTTGTCTTTGTGCTCCTGGGCCACCTCGGGGCGGAACTTGATAAGAACTATGTTCGAGGTATCAGTATCTAGGCTTGAAAAAAAAATCTTAGAGCCCCCAAAAGCAAAACGATATTCAAACGAACCAATATGAGCGACAGTCATTTGGACAGGTCTTTGGTGGGAATCAAGGTCAGGTTATGGTATGGTACAGGATTTTTTTGTCTAGACAGTCTTAAATATTACCAAGAGTGGCGAGAGGTGTTAGAACCTGATAAGACCATGCTGGGCCGAAACTTATATGTTCGATGGTCTGGAGAGCAACAGCAATGATTGGTCCAACATATGGTCCTTGTGAATGGGCTCATCGCCGGATTTTTATTCGTGTTTCTCCACTCACACCAAAGCACTTTCAATCCTACTGTCCCTAGAGAACACTACAGTACTACATACTTCTTCAAATCTTCATAGAATCTATATGGTGACCCTGCCATTTCTATTCTATGAATGAACATGTAAAAACTTAAAATACATTGCCTTCTATACGGATTTTTCAGTGTCCAAGCCTCCTCGGTCGGGCGCTCTATCTAGAGAGGTGCCTTCCTTCTATTGAGATTATGCATTTGCACGCCATAGCAGGGGAATGATATGCACGCCCAAGTAGGACAAAATGCCCCGTATTGAGTGCATTTATAAGCATGCTGACTTCAATCAGAATGTGGTGTGACCCGGGGATTCCATATTCGTAGTCAGAAACCACTCGCAGATGATATCATAAAGCCAGCGCATACTTGAAACATCATGAAATGTGGCCCTCTTCTCCACAATGGCTCCAGCAGGAAATGTCTGATGCACCTCCAAGTCCACTGCGTTCACGGAGCACGTGCAGTGACGCTCCGAATCCAAGTACGTCTCCCTCACTGGCCAACCTAGGAAGACGACAGACTGTCATCACGATAGCTCTAATACTACCATGGAATTATCCTATCACAGCCGAAACTTTCGAGGTTTTCGGTTGCTATATCCGTGGGCCATCACCGCCTTACTACCTCTCGATGGTCGGACATGGATATGTCCGATATGTTCCGGAGATTAGCCTTCAAATTTGACGATAATTGATTGCAGACGTGTCATTTTACGTACTGTTCTTGTTCAAACACGTTTCTTCGCCATGATCCAACATCTTATCGATGTGGCAATTATAAACAAGAATCGTTGTAGCATGCCTACCTTATTATTTGTAGCAAAGCAACAATATGAGAACTAGAAATCAATCATGCTGAACGAGCTCATTAATGTGAAAGATGGCGCAATTTTTCATGCGATTCTAGCAACTGACGGAGTATAATACGTCTGTAAGTATCAAGCTCTGTATTTCGCAGAGTTGAATCAAAGTACCCATGTTCATGGAACTAATAGGTTAAAATTGTTGGTAGGTGTGACCCGAGTGGTCCTGGCAGCACCTTAAAGCGGTAATATATATTTACCCTGAACCCCCTATCGTATGATAGGATGCCTATCGTAATGCTGGCTAGATGATTTGACAATATCAATAGGCCGGGTCTCAGGGAACACCTTTCTCTGACAGTATCTCGAATATTCACTGATGAGTTTCAATTATCTTGTTTCAGTTTTACGATTGGGAAAGGATCAATGTGTGTCTGATGTCTAAGCGATCGATGAAATCACGAGGCTGCATTCAGTATCAAGCCTATCTAACGAGTCCCATTGGGACACTTGAAACTGAACCATGCGGAAAGACCTCTGCGCGATATTTCACGAAATATGCAACGATTTTGCTCTTGCAATATTACATTGATGTGGAATGAATAACATTCCAAATGTAAAGTAAATTATGACCGTACTTGAACTTTCTTCAGATCTCATTATCAATTCATAGAAATGAGTTCAAAATGTTTCACCTTCCACTTATACTCAGTGTGGCCATTTAGCAACGGTTAACATATAGCGGCGACGACAGCGAGGTAACCAAAGAATAGGATGCTAATAGCTCGCTCTGGGCTACTACGAGAACAATTGATTACAATAATAGGTTAGATAGGGGTAGAGGCCAACTACCAGACTATGAAACAAAGTGGAGAGGTTTTAGAAGAACCATAGGCCACTTGCCCCAGCAATGCGAATCGTTAAAAAATAGCTACCGAGACTTCTACGCCTATATATCCCCTTCTACGAATCGATAATGTATATCCTAGAAACTATATTGGATTCGGTCTCCATAGAACAAAATTCAATACCACTGGTTACCAGGGCTAACCTGTAAGCTCAACCTCAATAATTCCAAAACATTCTGCCGCGTGTCTCCAGTACTTGATCACCCGCAGCCCATTAGCTGCCAGCAATTTCTCCCATTGCTGATTTGTTCTTTCCAAGCCTGAGCAAAAGACCATCACAGCAAGATCCGTTGTGCAAGGTAAAGAGCTAGCATCCCGATCAGGGAGAACATATTCCTCTATGAGAATTTTCGAGAATCCAAGTTTCATAGCAGGCTTAAGGTTTGTAAATATCGTGGTTGCCTTTTCATCAGACCAATCATGCAACACGTTCTTGAGGTAGTATGCCCTGGCACCTATGACCCTATGTAAGTATCACGAAGATATTCTAAGCAATTTGAATTCCACCTACCTCGAACCGGCTGAGTCTCATTGAAAAAGTCAAAGACCTGAGTGTCGATATTTGCTGCGGCAAGTTCCTGTGCACCGGTAACTTCATTTATGACCGCCGCGAGGTCTTCTAGGATTAACTTGCCGTGAGCATCTGGGAATCTTCGTCTAAACCCGAGAAGGTCATGACCACGGCCACCACCTATGTCCACAATAAGGGGTGTTTCGGAAGTTAGATCTGGGTGGTCCAGGATCCTCTCGTGAACGGGAAACCAATCACACCAGTGGGGACGGTCTGCTCGCTGTCCTTCCATGAAGTCATTGAAGCGAGTCAGAGCATCAGGATTCTGGCACAACCAACTAAACCCGTCTAGCCTTCCCAGATTATTTGCGTACTGCAGCGGGGCAGCCAGGGGATCATCAGGGTTCCGGTATTCTGTGGCCCCCAGAAATTCCGGTGTCTTTTGGAAGGAGGGCAAGAATTCGCAGAACCTAATTGACGGGATCAGTTTAGGTTTGTGAGGATTTTTGTAGAGGTTCCAAGGACCTACATTGACTCTATCACCCCTATTGAGGGTCGCTTCGTCAACTCTCTAGATAATTGGGTTTGCAAGTACTCGTTGGGGACGGGTTCGTCCACGATGGCATTTGCGACTAAAACACGTAGAATACGCCCTAGCAGCAAATTATATCAGTCTTCGGCTAACTTGCCTATCTATTCAAAATAACGGACCAACCAAAAGAGGGTCTGCGGGCTTTGCCGCTGCCAGCTTAGCCAAGGGCACTGGCAATGCTGTTTGTGCCAACATTGGAAATACCTTCATGTCAAGCGCTATCTTCACAGCCATAAGAATTGCTGGCTTTATTCGTTTATTGCTGTTAAAAATCATTGACAACATTGTTTGAATGGGGTGGTTCTTGTCTTACGGTGAAGGCAAGCTTCAGAATAGCATCTCGAGGCCTTTCCAAAGCGCGCGATAGCTGCAGTGCCCGTTCCTGGGCTTGAACGCGACTGGCTTCAGCCCCTGTAGACACGAATTCATTGATTGAGGCATGTGTAAGCTCGGATAGACCTTGAATCTGCTTAATATGCATTTCAAAACTTCATGTAAAAAAAGGTGCGAAAGGGATTGGGATAAGGATGTGGGAAGTAGTTAGTATATATGATACGGGTAATATTTATATCACCGTCGAACCGGCTCTTTGATAGCATAGTGCCGTCTGCGCTGTCCAATAATTCCCCCTCATTGTCGCCTGGGCATCGAAAACAGGATTTGTCTATGGTCTCCTTGTCGGCCTGTCATGCTTTGATATCATGGTGGTCACGAACATTGCGCCATCTAGCTGGTCTCCAATGAAACAATTCCCGCATAACCTCCGTTGCACACAAATGTCGTCATGGCGGCCTAGAGGAATTATTTCTGCCGATCGGTACTATCGGACTATCAAGCTTGAACCTTCCTATAGTCTCACTCAAGAATTGGGATCCGTTGATTTTGAATATTTGCCCCGCCTTTGAGCTCAAGCTATGGACATATATCCGAGGCTCTGCCAAGATAGTTGTCCACTACAAGTCCAACATGTACTCAGATATATTCTCTCCGCGAGACATGCAAAGTCAAGCCTGTTGGCATACAACACTTGTCATCGTCGATCTGTCCCTTGATATCCTCTATCTGAGAGCCTCGCTTAACTCCGACCCAAAAGACAGGATAAGCTGCGAACTATACTTAACATTTGCTATTTATTGCGCTGTACGAGTAAAAATTCCTCACTCGCCCACTTAACCAGTAAATCTCTAACTACTGAATTGAAGGGTATGGATTATTTCACCAGGGCCGTTGTCTACCGATTGGAAATGGTGCACATCAATGGACTCATAGCTATCTATAACATCCTGAATTATACTAGCGTAATCGAAAGTATAGACAAACATCACTTACCTCCTGGCTTAGTTTCCATCTCGAATGAGAATCTCTTGCATGGAGAGCTTGTCAGCTATTCGCAGATACGACGCAGTGACCCCATAGTGTACACTTTCGAATCGGCTTCTTAAACCTTCAGTCGTCATGCCTACATGATTCAACCGGATTTTTTCTGTCATGGGTGTTATTCGATTTGAGAGGTGCGTGTAGTGAAACTGGGAAAAAGCAGAGAAAAAACAACAACAAGGCCCTAACTTCGGCTTAGTGCTTTTGACCACATCATATTTCCCATACCTGAACAGATCTTTTATTCCCCGCGGATATGCTCTAGACTCTGTTTCCATGGCTGCATAGACCGGTAATATAAAATATCAACTAGGCTTTTATCTCCTTGATGAAATTAAGACCCAACAACTGGATATTGAAAGCAAAGTATAAGGGCATAACATGGAGATCGATGATCAAGTCGCTATGACCCTAGTATAATGCAGTGTGGTCAGCTTTTGTGGTGTGTATCTACCACGCTAGATTGTCTTGCAGCTGTTCCATGGAAAGGCTGCCCCATTGACAGTCTATTTCTATTCACATTCCAGCTTCATGACTCCACACCACCATCAATTCCTCCATTTACGATTGCCTTGTTCCGAATAGAGAATGCTACAGATCCTGCGGTGGTGGTATCTCAATCCAGGTAGTGTCGGAATCCGGATTGTGTCACACTTTTGGAAAGAGGAGTTACCCTGGCTTTCAGAAGCTTCATATCAGGGTTTTTTATCCATGATGTCGTGCCTGGCATCATTGTCTATATAATACACGCAAGCCTATACTCATTGACGCCCACTGTCGTGCGTGCAACAGTAAAGCCTTTTACATCCCATAATATCATCTTCTCAATGCTTTCTATCGTCTATCCGAAGTGTTCCAAAGAGTATTTCAGCGCCATTAGCGACCTTCTCCGGAGATATGGAGTTGGAAATGTTGTTGAATGTGACTCTCTGTCTGTTCCAAGCATACCAACTGGATATGAAGAGGTGATTTTGGTGAACAGTGCTCATCAATTCTCAAACTCAGCCATCCGGCGGGTGACATTTCGAACTGCACGTTTGCCAAAGGCATTCGTCGTCTGGGATAGCCCACTTCAGCAACAAGTCTTCATTATAAGGGTTCCTCTTGCTACTTTCGCAGAACAACAGAGTATCCACCAACAAATTTCACCTACGATCAATGCACTGGTGCAACAGAAAACCTTGGTCTCCTTTACCATGCATGAGTTTTGCTCTAACAGTGCAACTTCCGTCGGTGGATCTTTCTCTGATTCAGGGGTGCACCAATACTTTGCCAAAGTTGCGAAGGGCCGTGGTGCCCAAAAGCTGTTGGACGAAATCCAGATGTATCAATCCCTACCGGCCGATCTGAAAGACTATTACCCCCAGCTTCTTTTTCAATCGGAGCAGATGGAAACAGTTAGCATGGGAACGCATTTCCAAGACTTTCCCAATATGCGGGACCTTTTTCTGAACGGAGATCTTTCCGCGGCCGAGGTCGCTCAAATTCTGTCGGAAGTTCTGGATTATGAGTACAACAGAGCATTCCTCGAGCATAAACAGCCTACGCCACCAAATTATCTTCGCGACTATCATTTCCATCGGGTCTGGCGTCGCCTGATGATGTCCGTTGAGATTGATCCTATTTTCAGCCAGCTTCTCTCTGCCCATTCGTTGGAGATCAACGGCCAGAGGATGGCGAATATCCCAGCAATGCTACGATCGATCGAAGATAGTGATGAGGCGTTGCAGCGTCTAGATCCAGGAGGCGTTTCGCCCTTCATTCATGCCGATTTGCATCTAGGGAATATTATATGCGACGTCAAAACGAACCGGTTCTGGCTTGTGGACCCGCGCGGTTATCCCGTTTGCGATATCTATTATGATTTGGGAAAGCTCACCCAGAGCACCTATAGCTGCTATGATCTCTTGCATGAAGGTCGCCATGAAGTGAGATATGAAGTGAACGGCGATGTAGCTACTATCAACTACCATTTCCTCACACCTATCCTGCAAGAGCAATACGCAGACCTGGACGAGCGCTTGAAGCCAATTATAAACCAGCTGCTCGATGCCAACATCGAGGGCCCCGATGTGGACTTACGCATTCGATTCAATGAAGCTATGCATTACTGTTCACTTATGCCATTCCATATCCATCCAGAAGCTCAGCCATCCCTTGCCGTTCCAATTTTTGCAAGGGGTGCAAAACTTCTAGCGGACGTGGTTGGCCTTCTTGGCATCAGCATGGATGAATGCGCGGGCAGGCAAGCCGGCGGAATGGAGCGCTTGGCTGAGATGGGTCATGCGAGATGGTGCTTCGACAGTTAAATTTTGTCAAAGGATGGATGGAGCGGTAGTTCATCGCTGGTAGCTGATGTGTTGCACAGGATATCAGGTTTCTTTGCTTTTCGTATGTCATTTTGCGTCAATTTGTAACTGTGGTGCTCTAATCACCGAGTATGGACGTGTTAGACGCATATATCGAGGGTATTTCAACCTGCCCTCGATCGCACACTTTGTCAGTATAACAGTAGCTAGACTGAGGCCACCATTGACGCCTCAGGAACCTTTGCACTTAGTATTTTCCTTCATAACTTAGAATTTCCTTCATACTTGTAGGAATCAGAGGCTTCATCATCACTACCCCCACACTTCCGTATGGAGCATCCGGAGTATTGATGGAGTTATCATGATGACAAGATACAGGGGAGGTTTATATGAAGAGGAGGACCCTCCTGGCATACTTCTCTTCAGCAAGTATTAGTTTCTGTCTAACAGAATACAATACGTATATCCTACACCATAGCTGACTTGTCTGGTCAACAGGTACTGGCCTGAAAATCAGTATTCTTTTTTTACAGCTACGTGCGGAGCCATTCAAGGCCTAGGTGGAACGCATTAATGCCTATCGTAAGCAGTTTCAGAGCGTTTACAGCCAGCTACACAGGCTAGGCGAGCGTGTGGAATATGTAATTATTGGAGCATAGAAGAGAAATATATCCAGATAGATGATGAATAAAGTTGAATTCCATGGGTTGGTTTAGGTGGGCGGCTTGCTTGTGAAATACGTTAACGGGGGACCACTGGTTCCGAAAATTTTTCTAATCGACATTTCAACTTGAATTTGCTTCCTTATCGTCTGAGCTGCGTAGAGCTCTCTTTCCACTTCCAGCGTGGATGGTTGACTTCGGTCTGCTGTATCTTGAGGTCTGGGGTGAACCAGCGTTTGGAGAATGGTACTGGTCGCATATTGGGAGTGTGTTTATCCACTACTGTGTCATTCGCCTTATGAACCTCTCGACTGTCTCATCTGAAGCCGGTGTCATTCTCACCTCCTTCTATGGACCTACCGGTCATCGCTAGGCCTTCTAGTGGTCGAATTAAGGTTTTTCAACGCGTTGGTCATTGTTGTTCCTGGTGTGGTTGTTCGGGGGCCCCCATCCCTTCCGTTCGGCACACAACAATTTCTCTGGTACATGATGCTTTGACTCAACGTCATCTCTATACAATACTTCCCGTTATTATAGTAGTTTACATGTCGTCTGTGGCTGGACCATACAATGAGACCGTGTAGATCCTGTTCTCTAATATTCTTGCTTCTACAGAAAGTCTACTGCACAAGGCAAGCCGTAGCAGACCTGTATCTGAACAGTCTGGCAATCGGCCTTCTTCCCTTCTCAAGATCCCTTTCTCATAGGCGTGGAAACTGGCACCACCCTTCATTAGCATGAGACGCCAATTTAGTTTCTTATCTAGGGAAATATCTGGGCACTTGATATCTTAGCGCATTCCGTTACTTTTTTATGCAGGCCAAATAAATGTTCCTGCCGTTGCAGGTGCTGCTGTTGGTTCAGATTTGTGACGCAAGGATTATATAGCTGATGTTCTCACGGTCCGAAAGCATTGACCCACACAGGAGCAGAATCGCTTGAAAATGCCAAAGCACAAATTTCGGTCGCATGGTATTCGAGTTTTTGACTCAAACTTTCGACGTCCCTTATGCGTTGTAACGCTTTTAAGGGTTTCGTTGCTGGCTGAGATAACCAAAGAATGCCCATGGTGGTATGGTAGTAATGGAGAGTAGATACTTTTCACATTAGAAGGGAAAGGCGAACGGTTCATGTGAAGGGTTTTACCATGCCAGCTTCGCATTGTCCGTATAGAGAGGAATCTCCTCTGGATCGATAGCCCTGGGGTTTCTATCACGTCAAACGATGAAGGAAGAGAATATTTCCAGTTGTCGAGGTCAGCTTTCATGGCTTCCCACTCCAGGAGGTCTAAAGCCGGTGAATCAATGCATAAAGACCGGTTGATGATTCTCGCCAGAAGAAAGGTAATGTAGTTAGCGAATCCCGCGTCGTCGGTTGGTTCTAGAGGAGCGTTTTGAATCAAAGAGTGATCATGAGACTGCGGTGCTCAATTACGGCTACTGTGATATCCTCGCGCAGGTACTTCCAGTAGCCAGCACTGTGGAGATCTGCTGTGAGATGAAGTTCCCAGCTAGCCAAAATAGAAAAACATCCTTGCAGATGACTTTGGGAGCTGGCATTTTCTAGCACCACATGAGAGCCATCCCCCGGTTAGCTTCAGGTTCACTTGACGAAAAATGATTTTGATGGATGCGATTTGAATCCACCTACGCGTTATGATCTCATAAGAACGGAGCAGGCAAATAGCGGCCAGGGTCTCTCCAATAGGGAACTGATCCGAATCTTCAGTTAGAGATATCAGTGTTAGAGATATCAGTATCCGAACACTACCATAGTGATAAAACTCCGAAATCTCCAGATAAGCATGGTCTCCGAGAGTGCGGTGGTGGTTCGCAGCAGCGAAAGCGAGAGTAGCACTAAGTAATAGCGGATTACATCGCGCTCGAATGGGAACGATGTCCTCAAAATTCCGCTTGCTGTCGTTCAGATCATACCAGGGAGCTAGGTTTTTTATATAGTGGCGAAACAGTTTGGCGACCTGTAGATCTCGTAAAGCATACTCAGGTTCTTGAATCGAAGGGTATCCGCTTTTGTGGTAAACAGCTGAGCTCAAAGGATTTTCTTTATGCGCAGGACTTGATGGTGAAGCGGTTGTGCTGATTTCATGGATCCAGCGACAGTCGCGCGAACTTTGTTCGCAAGGTGAACAGTTGGGTCTTCGTCCATCACCTTTGTGTTCAGTGGATCAGCCGTCTGTGAATAATGATATCATATTATGAAACATGCAATACCGATATTTAATTCGCCGTGATCTGCATATTTGGCTGCAGGACGCTATATTAGCAGAGGCTTCAGACTCGATTGCCACGGCATCGACAAGCGAATAAACACATAGTGACCCTGCCACCTTGGAAGGCCATTTACCAGCCTGTTGTCACTTTAATAAGGGGGCAACATGAACCGGTGGAGATGCCAGCTTAGGACTGACGATTGCGTTGAGGCGGTCGCGGCATTCGTGCGTTTCGCGACTACAGAGCCTTATAAGTGATTGCTCAAATTAATAAAGCTGCGGGGAAACTGAAATGCCAGATCAAAGGCAGAAATTCGATTCGTGAGCCCTCACATTCTAGACATTCGCTTGCCTTGGATAAACTCACTTGATGGCTGCTCCACACAAACCTCTCCCTATTCGCGCAGTCTGCCGTGGTCAACCGCTTCGAGGTTATGACTTCACCGCCTTCTACCAGATCACTATGCCGCGAAAACAAGGGAAAAACGATACCCGAACCCTGGTAATTCATTCATTTGAGCATGTTCATTGGTTGCTCGGCTAAAAGAATATAGATCCGAAAGGCGAAAGGCGAAAGGCGAAAGGCGAAAGGCGAGAAAATCGTTTCGCGAATAGCAAGATGAAGGACGGAAGACATCCCTTTTTAAAGTTCCACTTAAATGAAGTATTAGCCAATGGAGAGTATTATGACTTGGCCAAAAATATGTACACATCAAGGGCGCGAACAATGTGAAAAAGGAGTGATGCAGATTACTTCCACTAACCAATTCGTAATTGCAATAGTGCATGCACTTCGTTATTCCTTATTGGAGCCAAAAGCAAAAGAATTTTTCCTTTTTTCATTTCAATTTTTTTTAATATAAAAACTGCGTGCTTCTTCTCCATCTTCAAGGATGACCCCGAGCTAATTAATTACATCCACCAAGCATTCATGTGTCTTACTGTGTGACCTGTTTGAATTTTGACAAAATTATGAGTCAAATCCTTTTCGAATTCTCGGCATTTTTAGGCCGCCACTGTCAAACACGGTCCTTGTCAACCCAGCTAGGCAAACTCACAAGCTATCCAACCTCAATCCGCCCAACAAACACCGAGATCCAACATGCGCGACTTTCCCCCAGAATCTAGAGGTCGCGATTCGGAGCCTTCATCAGGATGGTCTTGTCGTTGTTGAGAACGTCATAAATCATGATAGCCTCGACCGGCTCAACGCAAAAATGATCGAAGATGCATACGCTCTTCGGTCCAAAGGGGTTGATATTCCATTCAACTACAACGCTGGAAATATCCAGCAAGATGCTCCTCCGGTGAAAAAGTATTTTGATACTAGCATCTTTTTGAGTATGTCCAATAGAAATTCAAAGACCCAGCCCTATATACAATGTCTAACTATCACAAAGACCCATTTGCAACCCAGATTACCTCATCGGCATTGGGACCCCGTCCGAAATGGACATTTTGTTCCGGAAATACTGCTATGCCACCCACAGCAGAGTACCCTCCCATGTCCCAGCCTGTTCATTCAGATGCAGACTTTGCGCATCCGTCTCACCCATTTGCATACGTGATCAACGTGCCTCTTATCACAATGACTCCTGAGAACGGCTCCACTGAAGTGTGGCTGGGAACACACGCCGACAGTGGACTTCACGTTCAAGAAGGACTGCACGGTGAGCGTTCAAGCGGTCGAATCAAGCCAGACGAACTTGAGAAACGCCGTGCGGACAGACCTCCCTGCCAGCCTGTTGTGCCAAAGGGCTCTCTGATCATCAGAGACCTGCGGCTTTGGCATGCTGGAGTCGGTAACCAGACTGAAACCCCGCGAGTGATGCTGGCAATGAGTAAGTAATTTTTGCTTATATGTTTTGAGTAAACAAAACTTACATAGACAGTTCATTTGGCATCTTGGTATCGAAACCCCATGACGCTAGAGTTCGCAGATGACTTGAAGCCTGTCATTGAAAGTCAGAGTGATGTCGAAATTCCAGTGGACTGGGTGACTAACTCTGAAGCCCTTTCACGTTATTTGAACCGCGGCTTTGGTAATGCCTATGATTTTGACCAGCAGCCCTGAGCTAAGAGATTCTTGCTATTGGCACTGCTGCTGAGGATTTCAGGCGATTACATCGTGTACACTACCTGCGTTTCGGTTTTACATGACTCATTTTCCCTCCGTTGGAATGACCAGAAGGAATAGTTGAAGATAAATGATAATAACATAACACCTTGCCAGATTCCATGGGCAGAGGTCTTTGTAATGTTTGCCTTGCCACGAACTCACAGGACATCTTCTACACCGGTGCCCTCTTGTTAAGTAAGGTACGAAACTAAATGGTTAGGCTCAAAGATGTCTAGCTCTTGGATGTGGCGAGAAGAAAGAGCGAAAGAGGGTCAATCGTGCAGAAGCCGAACTTGTTACTGTACTCCTACCCGAAGCGCGGACATCTGGCTTGCCGCACATGTCTTGGGTACGGGATTGACGGGACAGGTAGGTGTCTATGAGTGCAATACAGTGGTAGTAGTAGTATATTTCATTTACCCCCACCTCTCACAAAGCGATATACAGGCTAGAGTAACTATATATATCCATGTATGTACATGTATGATGTCCCAGTTCCTGAAAACGAACTTCGAGCCTCGTCAAGGCCTATCGTGGACTAGTTGCCGCATATATTATTAGGCTGCCCTCATGGCGCGATTTTCAAATCGTGATAACGCCTTAGTGAAGTCTAGGGCGGCCTTGACCGTGCTAGCCCGCGAGACGGTGTCTGGTTCACCTCTCTCACCTTCTGCTGGGCCTCCTGGCAGACTCGATATGCTGCTAAACGCGTCCCCAGTTTCACTACTCAGCTTCCGTCGAAGTTCCCTTAGGTTTGGGCAGTTTACTAGCACTAGTGTGAGTTTTTCTTGCTCCACTAATCATTGTCGCAGAAGCCGAAGGTCTTGGCGTAGGTGGGTAACCATCATGGTCCGTGAGATGGTCAGCCAGGTGTTGCTGGAATGTCCAAATCTACGAGACTTGCGGACAGAATTAAGAAGAAATGTCGGGGACGCGAGGAACAGCGTGTCGAGTCTGCTGGGAGGCTCAAACGAAGGTGAGAGAGGTGAGCCAGGCACCGTCTCAAGGGCGAAGACGGTTCAGGCCGTATTGGACTTCGTCGAGGCGTCACAGCGGTTTCGCAGTCGTGCGCCACAAGGGCAGCCTAACAACGGGAGCGGCAATGGGCCAGGGTAGGCCGTGGCGAGGCTCTAAGTTCCTGTCAGAAACTGGATCATTCTACATGTACATTATCCATAATTTATAGTTGTTGTATCCTGCATATCGTTCGCGAGGGGACAAGGTAAATCAATTCTACTACTACTACATGATTAGAAATCATATACCGGGGTACGCGATTCGGCTCGGTCTCGACCGAGTGGCACGCGTTAAGTCCGTCACTGTTGACCTTCCCTGATGGGTTCAGCATTGATCGTTCTTTCTGTTGTCGCAAAGGCCGCGGTTCCCTTAATATCTAAGCTGGCTGTATTTACTCGTCGTCAGCCAAGGAAATCCTATCAGTTTCTGACGGCGAGTGAATCCTATCACTTTGGCATGCATAGCGGTTCTCTGTGAAAATGTGAAAACGTGCTATGAGGCTTGGATCAACAGTGTATACTACTAGTCTAATCTTCTTCGCTATTTCTGTCCTAGCTGATACATACGCATGATTGGGGTTGAAGAAGAGCGAGAATGTTTGCTACTATCACAGGCGGGAGGTACAATGTAGTCCTCGGGTTCTCTCCACCGTTCCAAACTTGGGCCGGTTAACCGTCTATGGTCCAAAAGAGCTCAAACGGACCGTTCAAGTTCCGTAAGATGTGAGTCTATTGGAAGTCCAAGGAAACTGTAGTTGAAGACTGACCATTGACATAGAGATTTATATACAAAGCACAACTCCGTTGCTCGAATAAGCTTCCTACTGCTTCTGTCAAATCCATCTCCTCGTTACTCCGATCAAGACACAACTTAGTGTCAGTCTTTATTCTGATAGAATGGATTCCTCGGTAGGCTTACTAATACCACTTTCAAGCTCCATCTAACTCCAAGATAGGAATATCTTCGACTCCTCGCGAGGCTCGACAGTCGGGCAGTCCGGGCAGAACGAGCCCAGTCCAAACTTGAACAAGAACTGAGCGCCTCCAGGGCTGCCGAGAAGCAAGCCACAGAGGAGCTGGGCCATGTGTCCAGATTAGCGGATATCTTCTTTGAGCTCAGTCAAATTCTGGGGGGCGTGGTAGATCGTTGGCTGAAGGAGCGCGGAACCAAAGAACCCGGCCAAGAGCCGGAGTCAACAAAGGTAATGCTTGATGTGTTGTTAAAACAGTTGGAAGCACAGAAGTTAGCCAATAGCGGTGAAAATCCTGGTGATGACTCGGAAAGTGGTGGCACAAAGGCTGCGGCATAGTGCAGCTAAATCATCGCTAGACGATAGCTTACCGTGCATCGTCCCTTGTTCATGTACATTAGTTTGTTTGCGAAATGACTGGGATTGTTTACGGCTTGTTTGAGTGCAGAGATGTCGTTATATTCTTTTTTATCTACTTTGCTATGGCTGTTGAAACGGATCCGTTTCTAAATCTGCCCATATGTGTGCCGTCGTATTCTTAGTTCAGTTTACAATACCTCTTTCCTTGACGCCACGGTTACATTCCAATTTGTTCTGATTATGGAAACTAACAGATTTTCCGTCGTGCTCAGAAGCTGACGCGTGAGCTTCAACATGTTCTGGAAGACGATCCTTCCAAGTATACCATCACCGATTCGCTACCCCAAACTCAATCTGCTGCCAGACTGGAAGCTGCATTCGAATGGGACCGCATTCGATGATCGGCAGCTCCATCGCCAGAGTTGATTTCTAAGGAATTCCAGAAGCAGAAGATGCAACCAGACAGCTCTGAGCTCGGTATGCAAGTCCAATATGAATATATCTGTCACATCAATACTGAACCATATAGCAGAGGGCTATTAATGAGAAGGTGAAGGGGCTGCTCCTCAATAAGCCAGAACACATGCCCGGTTGTTGGTGGGATGCTAGAACCGGGGAGAGAAAAAAAGGCAAAATAGGGGCAGCAGAGTGGAGAGTGTCATGGTTTGTTTTCGTTCAAGGCTGGCGACCCTGCTGGGAAATAATAAGACATTGTCAGGCCGATCTGTTATTGTGAAAATTTATGTCAGAGACCAGGATAACTGCTGCAGCAGGGACCCCCTGACCGTTCGGGGGTCGGACTTGACCAGGTTGCCCGCAACAGCATGGATGTCGAGTCAAAGCCTGCGAACGGACTCACATCGAGCAGGGTCTCCTGTTTGTCCAGCGGTTGAGTCTTAATTCTGTGACCCAACATGCAGCAAAAGTTACATCAACCACGGTTCATTGTTCGTCCAGCGATCGAGCCCAACCCCTGGTTGAACATGTAGCAGCAGGAATTTCAACTCGAACGGTTTGAAAAACGTGACCGGGGGATAGTGGGGTTCAGTGGGGTTTACCAGGTACCATTCTGCCTTTCAGCCAATCCCGGTTGTCAACGCCCAATACTGCAGGCAGGGCCCATTGGTTCGTACGCAAGAAACATCGCTGACAGCTTAGACCGAGAATCTGGTCGCTCCAAGGTTACTGGTCCAAATTTCCGTCCGTGCGCCCCGTTCCCAGCCGGATCTGGTCCCATGGACGGCGCCGACGGATGGCTTCGCCCTCTTCGTACCTGCCTTGGCTATCAAGGACTGAGCCAAGGTTGCTGGCGCTAGTGAGCGTGTCTGGGCGTTCCAGCCCTAGCACTTTTTTTCGGTCTTGTAACGCCCGCCGGTGCATGGCTTCGGCCTCTTCGTACTTGCCCTGGTGGGAAAGGACTAAACCAAGGTTGTTGACGCTGGTGAGCGTGTCTGTGTGTTCGTGCCCTAGCACATTCTCCCGAGAAACAAGGACCATCTGATACATAGTCTCCGCTTCGCGGTATCGTCCGTCGTAGTAAAGACAGTCCCCACACTTCTGCGCAAGATTGAATTCTTCATTGCTACACTTCTTCTCATCCCCGCCCAAAGCATATTGTGCATGGGCTATGTATGGCCGCCAGTACACACGATTTGTTTGGCTGGTGTTTGACAGTAGTATAATTGCCCCATGCCTGCTCCGGGGCATGTAATCAATCAGACACTTGGTCCCAGCCTCAGATGTGAGTGGGGATGTCCACAGCTCTAAGTCATCGGCGTTATCCAATACCAGCAGCTACGGGCCAATAGTCTCATCACTGAGATATGTTTGGACAATTTCCAGGATGTCAACACCTATTTCGTCACAGCCGTTGAGACCAAGGTTTTGAGACACCTTGCGATACAAAACAAAAGTAACAATGTATGATTGAAGACGAAGAACTAAACTAATTACATGAGGGAGTGTCCTTATATATCCTTCGTAGCTACTCCTGAATATACTCCTGGGGTCGATGCGGGAGCCAGGCTTAGTCAGGCGTATCCTGCGATCAACCCTTTCCTATGAAATACCGGGATCATGCTTAGCCAAGCATGTCCTGCGACTGCCCTGCGACTAGTCTCATCCTAGGATAAGTCTTGTCCTGTGATATGCCTTGGTCACGTGTCTTGTCGGTTGGTTGGAGAGAAAATCAGAACCTTGGGTATTTATAGTCCACTCACCACTCTTGTCAAGTAAATCACCTCCTCCGTATTGGTGAGAGAAGAAATGATTAAGGAAGCCGTGTATCTCACTGGATGTCCTTAGTTGTGCGTCGAGTGTGTTCCCATTCATAGGTATGAATGGGCGTCTCCCACAAAATGCGGGGCTGGCCACAGATCACCTCAACCTTCGGGAAGACATAGTAATTATCCATCTCTTTCTTCAAGGGAAGTGGCGTTTCCTGTCGGCCGCCCTCGACAAGAAGTCTCCGAAGGTCTTCCATCGAGGTTAAGTGAGGCGCTTCAAAGGCGTGGACATAAAATATTATAATGAAGAGAAGAATTTGAATTTGTTCACTGGCGCAAGCATTGTACTGATTGCATAGATATTTCCTCGAATATCATCAGCTTGAGAGTAATACTCATCAAGCTTAGTCCGACCAGCTTCAAGTGCTTCTAACATCTGTTTCTTCCATGGGACGCGCTTTCGGCGTAGCTGTGCCTGTGATCGCTCAAGATGATCAAACAGTTTGTTATAGATCTTGAACAAATTGTGGGCAGTGACATCTCGAGTCTTTGATAGCTGTGTTGTGTAATCAAAGAAAGGCTCGGTGATATAAAGAAGATAGTCGATCTGACGCCACTCTTGCTCGCTAAGTAGCATCTCCTCACAATCATACTCTGTACAGAATAAAGAGAAGATAACACGTAATCGAGCGAGTGGATGCAGAAGCAATGCTTGATGAAGAACATGCCGCTCCAACGGGCTTCACTCGACATCAGTCCGATGCGAATGTTTATACCTGGGGTCGTATGGGGGAGCACAACATTGTGATTGCCTCTTTGGCTGCCGGGGACTATGGAACTACCTCCGCTGCGACCACAGCTTCAAACTTGCTGAGTGCTCTCCAGGTCGCCTCGTCGAATGGCCATCACAAGATTGTCAAACTGCTCTTGGATTATGGAGCCGACATTGACGCGGATGGCGGCCAATACGGCAGTGCTCTCCAGGTTGTCTCATCGAATGGGTATCAAGAGATTGTCAAACTGCTCTTGGACAAGGGTGCGGACGTGAACACGCATAGCGACAGATATGGTAATGCTCTTCAGGCTGCCTCGTCGAATGGTCATCAAGATATCGTTGAACTGCTCTTGGACAAGGGCGCGGATGTGAACGCGCAGGGCGGCAGATACGGCAATGCTCTCTATGCCGCATTGTTGAATGGCCATCAAGAGATCGTCAAACTGCTCTTGGACAAGGATACGGATGTGAACCTGCAGGGGAGCAGATATGGTAATGCTCTCCATGCTGTGTCGTTTGATGGCCATCAAGAAATCGTCAAACTACTCTTGGACAAGGGCGCGGATGTGAACGCGCAGGGCGGCAGATACGGTAACGCTCTTCATGCTGCGTCGTCGAATGGCTATCAACATATCGTTAGACTGCTCTTGGGCTATCAACATATCGTTAGACTGCTCTTGGACAAGAACGTTTATTATTACTTTACTGAAGGGAGAAATTTCAGCAAGCATACCCTTCTTACAACAAGATTGGGAAGAGGATATCCTACAATTTCTTACTCTCAACCGGCTACCATTCCATCTGATCGAGCATCCATCATTCAAACGCATCATCCATAAAGCTCGTTCCGCCCCAGCCCCTCTAGTGATCCCGTCTGGGTCACCATTGATTGGTGATGGGTAGGTCCGTAACAGAACACCCGCTTTGTCTCTCGGCTTGTACCCGAGACGGGACTTATCTTAGTGTGGTCTAGCTGTATCCAACAGGAGACTATCAGTGGATGTTAATTTACCGCTTTTTTAAATAGAGACTATACCTGTTTCGGGTACGAGCCAAGAAACAAATTGTGTCCTTTAGGGGTAAAATGTTTTCGAATTCAACTGTAGTTGCACCGGAACAAAGAATAGGACTACGAGATCCACTATTCTACGAACCAAAGGATGGCATGAAATAGGCTTGGCACAGGACCTCTCGAACTGGGTAAAACTTGGGGGTCGCCGAGAATTTAGGAATGCGCGTTTTGTAGTGGAGACTAACTAAGTCTGACCAATGATATTCAACCAACACCCTACTTCTTTCATTGAGTTTAAAAATACAATAAAACAAAATTTTTATTTTTATTTTCAGCCATTCTGTCTGTACTCGCATTTCTGAGACAACCAATTGTTTAATCACCAGCTGCAGGTTTGCTGGCCATTAATTCTCATGCTTTCACAACTACGGGTCTTGTATTACTCTTCGATGACTATTCGTTTATTTATTTAAAATCGTGGAAAGCATCGTTGAAAATGTAAAATAGCCTACTTATAAATAAAAGCTGCGTTTTATTCGTTCATCAGTATTGTGACTATACGAGCAATTTACTCGCCACTGTATCTTTGACCAGTTACTTCAATCTGATTAGTGCCAGTCTCTTTTGACCGTAAAGATGCCCTCTTTTATGGAGATTGGGGCCGGATACAATATAACCCCAGAAATATGATGGTCCCACTCGCGAGATGAAGAGCGGGACCTGGTATGGTAGAGTCAAATGGTGTCAAGACGCGGTTCATAGAGGGATGATGCTGATGAACGGGATAATTATTTGGGAATCGACAGATGCGCATTTTCAATGATGCTTTCACCATTTATGGACTGATTAGTTTTTTATCCCTCGTTGACGATGCCTCACATGCTGTGTTCCAATCTTCCGATGGCTTTATATCACATATCTGGCCCACCAATGAATTAAAACTGCATCCAATCGGCACGTAAAATGGATACACTTTAACATCCCCACTCATTATAGATACTATTTTAAACAACCTTCAGGTACATTTGTGTCTAGTAGGTTCCCCATTAGAAAGTCCGCCAAAAGATTTACAAAAGCAAAAGTATGATCTCATACAAGTGGTACACACCAACGATTCTTCCCTCTCTAACATATAACACTTGAACATTGTATGCCTTTTCCATGATCGAGGATCTCGTGGATAACTACCAAAGCTTAGTAGATGTTTTCTCATCATCACAAAAAGGAGTGTATTCTACAAATCGTAATTCATTCACCCGACTTGATCTTTACAGCCTTTTCATCAAAAACTACATTTATTGGATTTATATCCCTATAGAGATCCTCCAATGATCGAAGATCCTCCGATCTGGTGGCGAAATACCGCGTGAGCCGACTGCGTTAACGCATAATCTCAATGATTTGAGATGATCACAGAAAATCAGGTTACCCTTATGCAGTAATCTGCATGGAGAACCAATTAAGGTTAATTGCAACACAAGTGATCTTACCATGCGGGCTATTCCATATCAATACTACAAGATTAAGGGCTGTTTAGACAAAATCTTGTTCAGCGACCTTAGGGCTACACAAAGTGGACGATCATATTCACTTATAGCTATGCCTGCATTAGAAGCGCGGTACAGGGTACCGAAATTCCCTTGAGTGTGTTGCCAATGGGGTTCATCAGCCCAAAATTCGAGGCTTTGAGATCTATTTAAGAACAAGTCTAGCCCATGGAGAGGTGCTCCCACAATCGCTTCAGTGGGCAAATCAGTATACAGAAACAGATGATGTCTTGCTTCCACCACCTCGATCGCTCTATTCATAGTTCTGCCACTCAACTGGGGCGTCCGGATAGTCAAGAAACCCAAGCTTCGAGGCATTCGGCTCCAGTGTTGTCTTCTAATTCCTCTAATCCATTTTGCTCTTCCCATCGTGCCCAGTCGATTAGGCAAGAAAAGCTTTCGAATTCCGCAAACCAGTTCCAGCCCTACAACCTTACCCCGCTAGACCACTTTGCGCCTCCAGGACACTTCAATATGTCTGTCGCATTTAGTTTGGTCGATAAGGATCGTGTGCAGGTCCTTCGGCGAATGGAGGATGCATTTGCTCGTGTGGTCTCCAAGTTCCCCTTCTTAACTGGGATGGTGGTTCCATCTATGGAGCTAGATGATAGAAGCAACGCACTTCAGTTGCGGCCAGCTACTACTGCCGAGCTTGAAGAATGCCCTTTGCTAGTCACTCAAGATCATACAGAGTCCACTACTCTTACTGTGAACGGGAAATTCAACACTTCCTTGATGCCATTCCCAATTGTCTCCCCAGTACCTATACCTTCTCCTGTTTTAAGGTTGAAGGCTAATGTGATAGGAGACAAGTTGCACCTGGTTTTATGCTTTGATCACCGTGTATTGGATGGGTCAGGAGTTTTTTTATTACTCTCTACCTTGAGCGCGTTCTGTCGTGATCTAAATGCTCCTGGTCCATTCACAACGCCAGATGCACAAGAAGAAACAAGGAACTATATTGAGGAAATTGGATCTACAGCCACACCGCAGGATTTTCAGTGGACAACATTTCCTTCCCAAACAAATGAAGATGGAGCATCTATAGATGTTGGTCAAATGCCTATCAGTTCTCCTCATATACTCGATGGCCGAAAAATAAACTTATTGCACAACGCCTGCAATTCGGCTTTACAGTCTCTTTCTAAGGAATACACGATGGGTCTTTCCGAGATATCCCTTTCACCGAATCTGGTCGTCACCGCGCTAGTGAGTATATGCAGTAGTCGAGCCCGCTCGAAGGCTTTCCCCGATAAGCCGGAACTCTCATCCGCTATGTTTATGGTGGAAAATGTCCGAAAGGCACTCAATTTACGCCGGGGATATATGGGTAATACCATCGTGGGAAACCAAAGCGCTTCTGATAGTTCTGCACAGCCTCCGCCCGAGATCTTACAGCATATCCATATGCCAAAGCCTCTTAGTCCTATAGAGCCAGAGGATATCTGGCGGATCTGTAAGGTGGCCCAGACTCTTCAGGAAGCATCCGGACGCCTTGATAAGCAGCGTTCAGGGGGAATGATCGCAACAATGTTCCGAAAACGTGATTGGGCTTCGTTCCGACCCGGGTGGGGAGTGAATTTCCTTATATCTGATATCAAGTCAGGAAAGCCTTATAGGAACTTTGGGCCACTTGGAGACCTTCAATTGTTCGATGTGCCTTTCGACGCATCTCCTGGCTTTTGTTGGATTATGCCTAACCTGCCATCGGATTCTCTATCGCCGGTTTCATGCTGGAGATTGCGATGGAATTTGGAACGGGCGGCGATGGAGTATCTATCCAGCGATCCCCTCTTCCAGTGGGCTTCAACTCCTAGTAAAAACACCAGAGACGTCGAAGTTTGAGCTAAATGATTAGCTAGTCTTCGTTGGCTACATCGATTAGTTAGATTCTGACGAACCCCAATCATAATAGGATATAGGGCTAGTTTTCGGTTTTTCGGTTTTTCAATTTTCGATGAACGTATACTCTCCTTGAGATGACCATGTAAAGTACTTTATGTTCATATCATTAGGATATATATGTTTTGTAGCCTTTGTGACTTCTGTACAAAATCTACCTACCAAACTCGTCTATACGTCTGCCTGCTTTTCGTGTGACTATAAAAGGAGAATCAGGTCAGAGATTATGGCGAGTTGTTCCATGTTTCAGCCCAAGGGAGCTGAAAACGCATGATCCTGATGCTATGTCTTTTGTAACTCGCGAAGTTCTTACATGTCTCAATCTGGGCTCTAATTTTGTAGCAGCTATCATCAAAAGGTATAGTAAATAGCTGCCCTTCCAGAAAACCATTTCTGGATAGTTGACTAGCATATACTATAAGACTATGCGCATATTGAATAGTTGGTTGACTAGCCATCGCCTTTTGCTCCCACTTAGGCGAGGCAGGAAAGGTGGAGCCAAGCAGCCAGCGTGTGGCTAAGCACCAGAAATCAGCCCCGCCCATCACCAAACACGACACGGGCATCTTCGCTTTCAGATTCGGAATTAACCAAGTAGTCACTCTAATGGAAATTAAGGGGACTTGATAAACTGCAGCAGTGGCCGGGAAACGTTAGGCTATAAGAATTTGAAATCTAGTGCACCCCTTTCCCTAAAATCCAATAACGAGGTCAGTTGTCCATTTCAAGGTTTATCGGTCCCCCTTCGCCTTCACTCTCTTCCCGACATCCAACACTTGGCACTTCTCTTAATCGTGCCAAGCGCCCAACACACACACCCTGTGTTGGTGCGCCCCACTAGATGCAAATTACCCACAAGATGCAAAATTTCAAATTATCAACCTATGAAAACTATTTACAGGTAACCCCCAGTAGTATCTATATACCAATTCCCACCACTACTATCTCTTGCTGCCATTGAAGCTTCATGCTCAGCTTCAGCTAAATCCCTAGCTAATTGGGCCTGCGATTGAGCTTCTAAGGCCTTAGCCTGCCTTGTTTGTAGACGAATCAACTTCTTAGCCTCCGCATCCTGCCTTTTTACCATCATCCTATTTGCGCATATAGGTGATAGAGCCGAGCCCCTAGTTCCAAGAAGCGATTTCCCATTTTTTGGCTGATTAGCAGCTGATTTGTGGAATTGAGAGTTCTTTAGACTCTCCTTCACTAGATCAAGCTGTTGGGATAAAAAAGTATTTGCTTGCATACTTCGTTGAATATGCCTTTTGAAATCCTGAGATAGGTTCTCTAGCTTCCCAACGTCATCAAGAAGCTTAGAATTAAGCTTATTAACCCGCTGGATTGTATCTGGCGGGGAGTTGGTGACTGAGCTTGGGATATCCGGAGGGGGTGAAGGTGTGAAAATCCTAAGGGGGGACCCTTCTAATTCAAGGGCCTTTTGACGTAAAGGACTAAGAACAACCTCTGGATCTAGCTGGTAGATACCCCTAGATCTGAAAGAGGATCTGATAGTTCTTTGGGTAAAAGCTTGCTGCCGAACCCCTTCGATAATCCGGAAGAAATCTCGCTTTTTACTAGCACTTCCACCCCACATAACGACCTCGTTATTTGTCGTACGAAAGTAATGCTTTAAGCATTGGAAAGCTTCACCATCGAGCGGTTGACAGATATGTGTTGTATGGGGTAAAAATCATGCTGGGATAATATTTTTCGCGGTACAAAATTGGGTGAATTCGATAGTTGTATGGGATACATGATTATCCATTAAAAGAAGCCGAGGCCTCCCCTTCTGAACCCGAGAAACTGTAGCTTCGTGGAAGGAGAAAAGCCATTGGAGAGCTTTTTCATCGTCCGAATAACCACTAGGTGTAGGCTTAATTCGAAAATCAGGCGTAGTAATATTTTCATACCACTCCGCCATATGTAGACTACCCTTTGGTAGAAACCATGGTAACATAACCCAACCATCAGCAGCAATACATTCAATACCAGTAATCGACTCTGATTGACCTCCGGTAGCGATATCATTTGTCGTACGAGACGTAATAACTTTGCGTGGCTTTCCGCCGATTCGATAGCCGGTTTCATCCCAATTGTAGATCTCGTGAGGTAGGAATTGGTGCTCTTCTGTCACCCGGGATAGGTTATTATACCAAAGGAATAAAGAGCCAAAGTCCTCGCTATCAATCCTTGCTTTTTCCTTAGGTTTTCGGATAAGATATTTGAGCCGAGGGGGTAGCCTTTGTGGAGGAAGCGGTACGCCCAGTTATGACCAACAACTTGGTCCGAACCCGCGTTTTTTAGAAGACGATTGGCGGACTTTTCCACCAGTTCTGGGGTAGGGGAAATGTATGCATTATCTAGGGATTCGACCCAAGTAATCAATACCTTTTCTTGAATTGAATTTAGGGTCTTCGTTGCTTTGGCGCGGTCGGAATTAGACTGACGACCCCGAGTCCGACCGCGTAGCTGATGATACGGAACATCAAATTCCCGCGCCAATTTAGCGATATTAGGCTTAGTCGTTGCGTGGAAGGCTTCAAGTGCTGCCTGGATTCGCTCCTCCGTTTTTTTGATTTGATCTGACATCGTGGTGTAGTATAAAAATGTATGAAATGATGATAAAAAGAGGAAATTTTTGCATCTTGTGGGTAATTTGCATCTCGTGGGGCGCACCAACACAGGGTGTGTGTGTTGGGCGCTTGGCACGATTACTCTTTCCATCAAAAAATATTGCTTGGCCGCTATCATGAATTGATCCTCTATCGATAAGCAGACCGAGCCTTACCGGGAACGACAAAATAATCCCTAATTCCAATTTCTTCCAGGCGTGATGCCAGCAACGTCCCTAGGTTATATTCGCTGGGAGTAAATTTTTTGTCTTTACTCTATTGAACCATTCAGCATGGTCTCGGGACTAGGAATTTGCAGCACAGTTCGTCCCTGCATCTTGCCCTGTTGCATTTTCTCAAAGACTGCGGGCAGTTCTTCAAGGAAGAGTACTTGATACTGAATGCAAAAGCGATCATTCGCATAGATTGCCAGTGCCTCTTCGGTCACAATACAACTGCCAACGTAGGAACCCTTCACTGTTTTTTGCTTTACGACCGTAGAAAACAAGTCGGCCTTGATGATAGCATTCTTATGCAGACCAACAACGACGACGGTACCTTTTGGCCGGATGTACTAGATGCACAATTAGTGTGACGGCAAAACAGTATTTTAGTGTCATGAAGCTTACCTGAATCGCTTGACCAATTGGGCTCTCTACTGATGCGACCACAATAGCAGCATGAGGTCCGCCCCCGGTAAGTTCCTGAACTTCAGGAATCAGACCCTGTTTAGAGGCGATGTAGTCTACGAAGTAGTCAACTCCAATTACCTTCACCAGCATAGCTTTCTTACTGGACCCCTCCGAAATGGCGAGTACACGATATCCAAGTGCTTTGGCATACTGACAAGCGAGTGTACCAAGACCCCCGCCAGCTCCGACAACAGCTGTGATCATTGATTAGACACAGAAATCAATATTTTAGGATATTGGTAGCATTACCAACAATCTGTCCTGGTTGGAGGTTGCTTTCTTTCAATGCTTTGTATACAGTCACTCCAGCACAAAGAATCTGCTTATCATGAATGTCAGCAACACGGGAATTAATTAGGTCACATCAAGTGTTTTCTACCTGACAGGGGCGGCTTCGTCCAAAGAAATCCCGTTCGGTATACGAACAGCATTCGTTGCTTTACAAACGGCATACTGCTGGAATGTGCCATTGACAGTGTAGCCAGAGATTTTGGCACTGGGACAGAGTGGCTGGTCGCCATCGCTGCAGAACTCGCAACTGCCACAAGTGTCATTCATCCACTTTATATCAACCATTTAATATCAGTATCGAGAAAATCTCGTGATTGAAACCCTTCAGAAGAGAGCATTACCTGTACCCCAACTCGATCCCCAATTGAGACTCGACTAACATTATCCCCTCGAGCAACTGCTACCCCGGCTCCTTCATGGCCACCTGCCCGTAGTGAGAATCTTTACCAAGTGTTTCAAATCTAGAATAACTGACTCACCAACCAAATCTTTCTTGCTCTCAAGTGGCCAATCTCCTGTTCTAAGTCAGTCGAAAATCTCCTCGACGCATATCCTTGGGAGTCAAACCTTTCCATACGTGCAAATCGGTATGGCACACTCCTGAATAGTGAATTTGAACCAATATTTCGTCAGAGGAGATTGATGGCACCGGGATTTGAGTGTAAATCAAAGCTTAATAATCAGCACAATTATGGTACAAAAATCAGATTCAGGGTATAGCGCAATATTTACCTGAGGCTGTCTTTTCAAACACCTGTGCCCACTGCATCTTCGGGATCTCGAGCACCCTGTGAGCCCCATTCACTTTCTTTGACTTGATTGTTGTCATCCTCGCGGTTCGAATGAATAGAAGCAACAAGATAACCCAACCAGTAGGATATGAACGATATATAAAGCCTAAAAATACCTCTCTCGAAAGCTAATGGAGAAATCAAGAATGGAGCTATTTTGGAGGTTCTCTGAGAAATTTAAGAGACTGATGCGATGATGAGTCCATTATTCAATGGTATGCTCCTGCAATTTATCGTCTTCTGCGAGATTCAGCTTCGAATGATTGATCATTAGTAGGTTCTGATCAGATCGTCATTTTCCCTGCATTATCCATTGATTTCAAATCATCCACGTCGTGTAACCAAGTGAGTTATGGGCGGCAGCAGTGGTGACAATTAATATGCTCCACTTGGCGCAAGAATATGCATATCCAAGTATAGGAAAGCACTTTCTGATTGTTGGTATTCACACCAGAAACAATATTTTCAATGAGGGATTTTACAACGGGCTCTGTTACTACTCATGCATTCAACCAATGGAATGCAAGGCTGTATGCTCGCATGCTCATCTTTTATTGGTAGCATGAAAGGTGGGAGAAAAAAGTCATGAAAAAGCGGTTATAAATGCAGGCATCCCACTGACTTCATCCTACAAACCAAGGGCTTTGTAAAATAGGCTATCATATGAGGAAATTAGTTTATTGAGCCGTACATGCTTGCAGGGCCGATAGGTCATTTCTACCTCAATGTGTCTCTAGCACTTCTTTCTGTATTTGAAGATGTTTCGGACGGATCTTGGGTTGCTGCACAAGATTGACATAGTGCAGATACGGTCTAGTGGTGAGAAGTCTTTAACTTTTCGGCTTTACCATCAATAAAAGTTCGTCATGTGCATGCATGCTCGACTGTTTGGTTTTATGAGAGAATTCATATATTTTAGATACACCACTGGTTGATCAATCTATATTTCACGTACCGAGGCCGTTAGTGACCCTTCCTCACGTATGCAAGTAAGCAACAGAGGCAGAATGTCTGGGTCTGATTGTGCCGGTTAACTAACTGCCCTTTCAGTTAGTTCAAATATCGCTCGGGACGGGTACTACCCGGCACTACCAGATTGATTTGAACATGCATGACAACAATTTTTGTCACACAAGGTATGTGTCGAAAAATCAAGTTTGGAGTGACACAACACCCCTCATCAATCTGATGTTCTCTGCAGTTTATAGCCGATTCGTTGCCACTTCCAAAGGTATGTTAGGTTTACCAAATATCATGGAAGTTGGAATACCGATAGGCCAAAATGCCGCAATCGAATGTGGTACACAAAAAGTTGATAGTTTCTTGACTTTGAACTGGTTTGAAAGCCCGGTCTCGATCTCCGATCTCAATTGACGCAAGTCTGCAAGAAAACATGTTTGCGATACCATTTTTTGACAGGCAACAATGGTAGATTATTGTAGGATTCGAGATATAAATATGTATATCCATCTGATGCGACTTTTCTTTCGACTAAATTACACCATGTCTATCCTGTTCAGATCACCACCTTTTAGAATTTTGAAGACCTTCCCTGTTGTCAAAGCGATCACCACTCGTTTTGAAACCTTGACAGGCACCACTGGGAAAATACCCGATACCACAAGCCAGAGTAAAAGCTTCTCGGGATCTTCTTCAAAGTTAGTCGAATGGAAAGAAATCAGCAACGGCCAGTATGTCAGGCCATTTGATCCATTTGAGAAGATTTCTCATTCTTTTGTCATGACCCGGCCAGACCGGAGTTCCAGAGCCTTGACATCGTGGCCAGCGTTGACATGGAAACTGTATCTATGGACGCAAATAAATTTCTGGAGACGATGAAAAAAGCATGGATCAGACTACGTTATCTTCATTCTACTCTTGCCACTGAAGTCGGCCAAAACAAATTCCGGTACATGCCTCTCAAAGATCAAGCGGATGTTGATAATTTGCTGGAGAAGACTTTCATCGTGAAAGAGTGAGATTCGGATACTGAACTCGAAGGCTGTCAAGATCTCGCTATCGCACCTTCTGCACAGTCGCCTTTGCTTTACTACTTTCCTGGCAAGCAAAAACTTATTCTCCGCATGAACCATATGCATGGGGATGGACAGCCAGTTGTGCTCCTCTTACAAGACCTCTTTACTGAGATGCAGCGCTTGAACTTGGGCGGAGAGACTGTAAATGAACCTTGGGGTGCGGAAGTACAGAGCTTATGAACCGCCATCATCTCCACCGGATTCTCCAAAGGCAGTGGCTCACCGAGTGCCTACAAGATCTCAGACCAGCTGTGCACCCTCGGCTGTACATCGTCGCTCGCAGTCGCCAGACTCATCAGGCTCCGATTCGAACCAAGCAATTAGGGCTTCAGCCAAGTTACATCCTCCCCATCTGCCCAACGAGCAGGCCGTCAACGGGACGCGGGAAATAATCAAGGCAACCAGGCCCGGTATCACGATGCGCAATTTTGCACCCAACGATGTTTACTCGAATTGTAGTCTGGCGGTGTGTTAGATGACTGCTATCCAAATGTGATGCTCCATCATCGAAGCAAAGACAATCCCCGTTTACTCAACGGGCAACTGGACAAAAACATTGACCGATGCACACCTCTTGGCGGTTACGGGGCATACGCCGTTTAAACTTACTTATGTTGAATATGGCTACACTGTTGTTGGAAAAGGAACCACGTCGGGGCTGTGGAAAGAAGTCTCCCGCGAAGTGCAGGTATACTAAATTCCGCGGAAGGCCCAGTCTGCAAATATAGATAAAAGCCGCAACAAACCTGTATGTGATCTTTGATATATCTTTCGACCTTGCTCTCTATGACACTCATTCTGCAGCGATTCGGCAAGATGTTCAAAGAGCGGCTAGAACGATTCCCCTTATTATTCCGATCTTTTGTGGTGCGCCTTGAAAGCATTTTCCGGTTTTCGAGGCTTCAGAAGCATATGCTAAAAGTCGGGCTATTAATTGTCTTATAGTTGCTTATGGTGGCCGCCCTACTTCATTATTCCCTCCAGTATCATCTCGATCCTCCGACCAAGCTAAGCACTAACAACGAAACGAACCAAGTCCTTCTAACTCAGGCCTAGGCCTCTTTATTTCCAGGAAATATATGGCAGATATATCTCAGCCCGCCGGATATCAGCATAAACAATTTTGAAGTCAACCCTAAGCAACTATTAGATATCGTCTCTTGGCTGGCTTATAACCGCGACTTCGAATACACCTTGGTTGGAGACGAAGGAGCAGAAGCACTTATGCGCCAGCACTTTTAGGAAAATCCAACTTTGTTAAGAATCTTCAAAGAGCTTAAGAACACCGGAATGAAGTCAGACCTACTAAGGTACCTGATTTTATCAGTCAAAGGCGGTGTCTATTCGGATCTCGATACCGTTGACTTGAAGTCCATTGATTTGTGGGTACCTAAAAAATATCAGAAACACGCTCGAGTTGTTCTAGGGATTGAATTCGATCGCCTTGATAGGCCTAACTAGGGCGAGGTTCATCCCGATATACAATTCTGCCAGTGGGCCATTGCTGCAACTCCTAGGCATCCCCTCTTCCGCTACATAATAGATTAGGTTGTGACCACCCTAGAAAACTTCACAACTGCAAGAAAAACAACATTCTCGGACCTCTATATCAGTTCATCGGAAGTCATGAAATTGACTGGACCATCTGCTTAGACAGATGGCGTCTTCCGACAATTGCAGCAGTATGAGCCGGATCTTATGTCGTTGAGCAACTTAAGTGGATTGACGGAACCGAGGCTTATGGGGGATATCTTAATACTGCCAATCGATAGGTTTGGGATAGGCCAGTCACATTCCAACAGTACAAATGACGGATCGATTCCAGAGGAGGCATTCGTACAGCATAAATTTCTAGGATCGTGGAGGCATGACAAGAGGTCAAACTAGACATAAATATAGAAGATAATGGAAATTGCAGATGCTTTCAGAAACATGGAACGGACCAGAGAAATTGAATGGTTCCTCTCTGTTCATGGACAACTTCAGTTTCCACCGCTACTATCAGCAGAAATACGATGAGAGTGTCAGTGGAGGGAGAGCTAGGGGAAAAAATCATTCTCACGGACCTGCCGTCCTGTCAGCCATAGGTGCTTGGTACAAAAATATGAAAGCTACTGACTTGGAAGACCATTTTAAGCCCTCAAAATAGCGAGTGCTTTGGCTAATGTTGGGCCGTTTATTCTCAATTGTTGCTTCCCTAACCATGTATATTAGTGAGGGCAAGGTAAAAAGATGAATAGGATGACACTTAATACGTCGAATTATTTCCTGCTGGTGGAGATTGAAAATGAAGACCAAAAGCCCTGGCCAAAAGCAAGTTTTGACTTATGCATATTTATGGCAGAAAAGAATAAGTGAGTAGCGTAATATTTCGAGCTAATATTTATCTGCCTATACAAACGGCAGGGAGAAATAGCGGGCGTTAATGTCTTAATAGGTAGTCCACGCGTTTTACACATGGGCAGTCCAGGGCGCAAAATAGTCCTAAATCGGCAGTTATTTGCGGACTTACTGAGTCAAAGAGTGCTCTTAGATGCGTTGAACGAATGCTGGAGATGACCAAGGTTGACGTCCCAATAGTCCCTGATTAATCTTGTTGATTGATAAGTGATGCTTTAGTATTCATGTTATTGAGGGGAGTTGATTGTGTGTTATTGTTGCATGTTGTCTAAGATATAAGTAGGCTGGTGAGCAGGTATATATATATACACGTGATCCCAGCCTCATTATCTTAGCAACCGGGATATTTCAATAAATCTTTTAACCACTTTTTAACCACTTTTTAACCACTCTTTATAGCCACTCTTGGGTGTATTAGCTTGGAAATGACTTACTTAGGCTTTATCACATCACACCTCATGTAGAGAGCTCTCTTCTCTATGAGTACTAGGACTGAATTCAAGCGTATCATGGTACTTCCAAGTGTAAAAAGTCAAATGGCATTGGTAGACAGGTCTGGCTAACGTGAATCTTGATTTACTATTATTCTTTTAATTTAGGAATAGTAATTTGAGTTTAATTCCGGTATTTACGTCCAAGGTATATATCACCCATTCGACTTATAAGTGCATATGGGAAAGCTCGAGATACGACCGCTGTGCGCGGATTAAGAGAAACAAGGTAGTAAACAGATTTTGTACATGTCTTAGCTTCCTCGGGTATCGACTTGCGACCACTGAGTACTGATCCCTAGCACCACGGAGAGGTGCTTACACATCGCTAGGGGAAGCACAGAATATAACCTCACGGGGCTCAAGGCAATGAGGGAGCACAGAATATAACCTCACGGGGCTCAGGGCAATGAGGGAGCACAGAAATAACCTCACGGGGCTCAAGGCAATGAGGGAGCACAGAAATAACCTCACGGGGCTCAGGGCAATGAGGGAGCACAGAAATAACCTCACGGGGCTCAGGGCAATGAGGGAGCACAGAATATAACCTCACGGGGCTCAAGGCAATGAGGGAGCACAGAAATAACCTCACGGGGCTCAAGGCAATGAGGGAGCACAGAAATAACCTCACGGGGCTCAGGGCAATGAGGGAGCACAGAAATAACCTCACGGGGCTCAAGGCAATGAGGGAGCACAGAAATAACCTCACGGGGCTCAGGGCAATGAGGGAGCACAGAATATAACCTCACGGGGCTCAAGGCAATGAGGGAGCACAGAAATAACCTCACGGGGCTCAAGGCAATGAGGGAGCACAGAAATAACCTCACGGGGCTCAAGGCAATGAGGGAGCACAGAAATAACCTCACGGGGCTCAGGGCAATGAGGGAGCACAGAATATAACCTCACGGGGCTTAAGGCAATGAGGGAGCACAGAAATAACCTCACGGGGCTCAGGGCAATGAGGGAGCACAGAATATAACCTCACGGGGCTTAGGGCAATGAGGACCGCAATGCTGCGGTAGAATTTCAAGTCAGAAGACGAGAAATAGAGAGCTGAGATGAAATAAATCATCTGAGCGCACGAGGGCAGGAAGCCTACTCCTAGTTTCCGATAGTGGGCGCGTATCGCTCTTTTATATATTCTGCTACGGCACCCGGTATATACTATTAACGCGATGCAACACGAGCCCAGCCTCGCCTGGTGGTTAGTCCCACTTTTTTGATGGGTGGATATCAAGTCTACGAATATCTAATGAACCCTAAGTGAGCCTCTGGTACCCGTTTAATTGAAATCGGGGCATGTGAATTAAACGAGGTTTATGAAACCGGCCGTTCAACTGCCCTTATATCCTGGTATCTTCGAGAATTTAAGATGTTATGGTTAAATAGCCCTCTTTTGCCCCACTCGTCGTGATAAGTTTGTCGAAATCCCTCGCAGCACTTTCGTTACGTGAGTTATAAATCGCCTTCCACTCTAGCTAGACTAGGATAGTTAAGATCACCGCCTCTAGGCATTTACTGTCTTTTTACCTATGGTAAATCCGTTTTTGACATATGATAACCATAGATCACGGCATTTATCGGTCCGCGCTTAGTGCCTACAATAACGTGATCCACCGTAAGCATAAATCATATTTCCGCCCGTTTGACCTTTTCTCCCTCTTCCTCCTCCCTATCCTGAAATCTCGCTCTCAATTTCTTAATATCTTACCAATAGCGTATACACAATGTCTAGGGTCCAGAAGCCAACCAGGTGGCTATCAAACACGATTCTCTAGCATGATGTATCTAGTGGAAGAGCAAACCCCGACAGAAGCGACTTTATCTCGCCTCACGTAAGAGCAGCGCCCACTCTAAGAAACCCCTGATCTGACACCCCGTACCGACAACCAAAAAGGTATTGTTATCTATAGGCCAGGCTAACGGGCGAGATGAATCGTAACTGACTTAAAGTTCCTTGTAGCACAGCAATATTCGCACTCAACCCACCAAGGCCCGGAGTGAGTTTCTACCACACTAATGATTGGCTTTATTTACTAACTTTTTGTTTTATAGCCTTCATAAGCGAGTCAAGTGAGTGCCACAGCCTTCTACTTGATCTAGCAGATTCCCTCTCCAGTACATTGCTAGATTCCGCGCCTGCTTTGCAAGTGGATAAACCAAGATGCTAATCAGAATGAATAGGAAGATCGAACATTTCATTAAGGGGATTACATAAGATGGCTTCGCCGATGAATTGGCGTAGAACACGACATCCTTGAGCGAAATAATAGCACTCAAAGATAGGATCCGGAAATTAGAGGAAACACTAGAGAATATAAAAAATCACCTAGATGAGTTATGCAAGGAAAGGCGAGTTTCCACCATTTAGAGCAATCCTACGCGTAAGAAACGGGCAGTGCCTTAGTGACTGGTCATTGGCCCTTTGACCAAGCTAGAGAAATAAAACAATAGAAAAAGGCGCTGCCCCAAGACTTAGCTTAATGATATGGTTATATCTTTAATCGATACTGTAGTTCTTTGGACATAATGTCATAAGTCAAGATGTTCTCCAGCCTAGAAGCAACCTTTTCACTAGCTAAAACAAAAAAACTCCCCCGTTGCGGTAAAGATCATGGGTAAACAATCAAAGTACATAAATTTACTAAAACAACCCCAACTGTGTTTGATCTTCCCTTCCTAGCGATCATTTAATTCGGGATGGACGGGAGGTACATAGATAGTGGGGGCCCTGTCGACGCGAACCATGGAACTACCGGTGCCCTGTGCGTAGGGGTTCCTGACTCGCGAAAGTAGTATCAATAAATTATTAACGATCAAACCCGTTACCTTATATCCACTCCTAGCGCTACGCCGCAATTGTACATTGTAGAGCAAATGTCTAGACTAGGGCTAAATCCAGAAAAGGGATCACTGCCGGACTCGAAGGTTCATAAGGGGCAGTAATCACTGGGGTTTCGAATGATATAGTTTTAAAAAGTGCGCCATAGATTAGTCCCAATCAAAGCTTAGCCGTGCTGACCTAGCAAGCTGTCGAGGACGGCAATACAATATATATATACACATGGATATGGCGAAAACTGCGATAGGCCAAGTACGAAAACAATCCGGATGTACACCGAAGGGATAAATGTGAACGCTCATTAAATCGCAGCATTTTGTGACACCCTTAAAGCAGCTGTTATATGGCGTATAAATTTCTAGCGGTACGCGATATAGCGCGAGGGGTCGGATTTCAGAGTGTGTGGCATTTGTATCGTATAACCTATCGAATCGTTAGCCCTCCTGACCGTCGCCTAGTGCTGTCTCTCTATCTCACTAGGTAGAATCTGATTAGTACCTTCCAGCGCTCTTGTTATAAAGCGACGTTCCGGAACTGTCCGCTGTTGTATCGCATGGAGTAAATGGCGGGTCTTTGCGCTGGACGCTCTGGGTGTGAAGATAGGAGGAGACGGTAGAAATGATCTCGGGGCTTCTTCGCGTCGGACTCGTGGCTGGCGTTTCCCCGACTGGGAGGCCTTAGATAGTCTCTTCTGTATAGCGCGGTATTCTCGTAATAGATAGTTCCGTTTGCCTCGCAACGACTCGCCTGTTCGCTTTAGTCCGAATTGTCTGAAGTACGCCTTGGATTTTGCTTTCCACGACATCTCTCGATGCTGTAGTAGCCATGGATAGAGGTTCTCCTCTTCCGATAAGGACCAGCCAATTTTGGGCATCTTGGCGAAGACAATCAAACCTCTGAAATAGAATGGCGGTGGAAAGTGAGGGTGTGTAGGGACCGTGTAATAGGAGGTGTTTAAGGAAGTCGGTCGAGTCTGGGGTGGCCACGATTTATCAGTGATGGGAAAGCACCGGCAGCATTTTTTAATTTTGGTCTTCTGTTACAACGGTATCTCTGATCTTGTCCGGCAAGGCCCTAGTCTATTGTTCTCCACCAAAGACATTCGGCTTCGGACCGTTTATAGTGCTCCGGCATAGATATTGAGGGATAAAGATTAGTGCGGAAGTAAGAAGGATCTGCATTTGGTTAGCTAGGGCAATTTCCGTTTAAGCTAATGGGTACACACGGTTAAATAGGCTGTTTATGTTGGGTGAAAAAACCAGCGGTTTTGTGAGGTTGGTGTCTCAGCCTGTTAGTATATCCCACCCGTTGGGAAAACGGTCGATTTCCGAGGGGTATTTGTCACCTTATTTTTAAACGTTGGACCTAGTGAAAATTCGGTTGTAGTCTAGTCATAGGTATAAATCTCTTCTCTAATCTCCGACGCTCCGGCTAGAGTACGGTCTTTCACCCCTGTCCTATGTGTAAACTTGAAGTCGTTCGGGAATAATAAATATTAAGTAATAAATAATAAAAGCGAACTTAAGGGGGCCTAATAAACTTGGGGGAAGTATAGGCCCTACCTAACTAACGGACTTCCTAAGGTCACTATAATTCCCTTTCTACATTCTTTCTATCTCTGTTTTCTTTTTCCTTTTTCCTTCCTTCTCTTGGGGTCCGCTCGAAGGCTTGGAGACCTCTGTTAGTGGCCGTGGATGAATTTACTAATACTGTATATCTCTGAGGGTACTAGGCGGTACTGAGCCAGGTAATCATTGCTAGACTGTTTGGGTACTTGTTTCAATCTGAACCTTTAAAAGGAGCCCATTCCCCTATTGTGTTTATAGGACTAAATCATCATCCCTCGTTCCTTAAACCTCTGCTTGACCTACTTCAAGCAACATAATAATGGGTGTCTAGACGCCTCCGCCTAACGGTAGTTTGTAGAGATACTCAGACCGAATGTCTTAATTGTTTTCATCGGGTTCACCTAAGCCGAGCAATGTTCACGACCTGTCTAGATTAGTTGCTGGCTCCATTAGCGAGGATTGCCATTACCAGCAGACCGACGTTTAATCCGATGACGAAGGCAAGGGAACTTCAATGGATGAATGTAGTGATGAAGAAGATACTCATCGGGCGATAAAACATGAAAGTGCGGCCGAGCATGGACATAGATATGTAAAGCCTCCGAACCCTGGGCACTCTAGAGGCTCGAAATCGACAATCATCGATTGTATAGCAGAGTGAGTGTCCTAAACCGTCCTACGGGACTATCCGTGATTCTGCGTGCTAATAGCTTGTTTCTGTTAGATTGGATGTGCGAATGCAGTGAGTACTTGTGCTTAGAGACGACCCTAGGATTCCCACGCTAATACGCATCAGATCTATTAAAGACTCACTCATGAGCTAGGACCTGTGGAACAAAGTAATGCAGCAAAAAGTGGGATACATTATAGATAGTATTGACACGGCGAGGAAAGAAGTGGCTGCCTTGAAAGAAAAGGTTAGGATGTTATAGAAGGGCGATGGCAAGAATAGTGTAGTTGAGGATCGAAAGGACGTAAGACGGGCCCTATCGTTATTTAGCAATCATGTAGAACGTAACTCGAAGCCTTTGGAAATTACCCTAATAGAGAAAATTACTTAATAGCCCGTTTATCTATTGTCTATCCGTTATTTGTATCTAGTCTTATTTATCGACGACGTGGTATTAGGCAATTCGCGTGAGGATTACGTGCTGCCTTTAGGTAAGTTCCGCGCTAAAACCGCGTCGCTTGTGAGAGCTAAGTTTATTCGCATCGAGACGATAAGTTCTATGGTATATTTGAGAACGGTTGTAGTCCTATTAGAGGACTAATGATCTCGAATCCACTGTAAGACTTTTTATTTTTTTTTTTTTTGACCTTTAAAGATAGGTCTAGACGGCAGGAAAGCTTTAGGATTAGTCCGGGGGAAGCTTAGTCGCTTCCGGTTCGGATCGCGATTACCATTCCCTATATCCCCGATAGGTGTCCCGATCCACGCACGGTAGACTCGCATAATCTTATTATCGACCCTATATTTTCGCGTTTATTATTAAATCACGTACCAGGAGGGAATTGACCCCACTTATCCCGCGTCGCTCTACTAATATTTGCTAATAGCCTTGATAAAACTGATTTGTAGATCCGTAAAGGCCGCCTCGCTTGAACTGCCTATTACGGGATCTAGTATATCGATTGAAAACGAATCATAGGTCACTATTTTTGACGAGTATATCCCGGCTATAAATTTTCCCTGATGTACTGTTGCTAGATTGGCCGAAGATGCCCGCTCTTGTCCGATCTATATCACCTAAATTTGTGACTTTGGCTTCCGTACCCTAGATAGGGATAAAACCGAGCTATGGATAGCCCGAGATCTATCTTTTCTCTAGCTCAAGCCGTATTAGGTCGTGATCTCTAACCTCTTTATTCCGGCTGGCGGAATAAGCTCCCTTCGTAGCTGATTTCGCCACTATTAAGATATCTATATTAAGGGAGAACATACGACTGACTACGTCTACTCTACTCCTAGTCGTAAGAAGTAGTTAATACGGCAATAATCAATATCTCCTACGCGGCTCGTGCCGAGATTTATATATTAGTCCTTGTCTAGGTGGTGGGACTGGATATTGGAATAATTAGCGTAATTAGCTAGTGCAATAATTCGTGGTTCGTAGCTGCTGGTAAGGCCTAAAGGCTAGATAAATAACGTGAGGTCAACGTGATAGCGGTATATCAAGGGTATCGTGACTTATGGACTATGCGCTATGCACGCTATATGAGGAAAGAAAGCTTGCGATCCGTGCCGATATAGGTCGTGCCGCGGCCCGATTCTAATCGGATATTTTAGCGCGCGGCTAAGCGCTAGACTAAATCTGGCTTAAATTACCAGCCACCGTATTACGGAGGAATGCGTGCTATACCATGCGTTAATCCAATTAAATCCCGTAGATATCATTCGTTCCCCTAGTGCCATTGCATCCTTACGTCTATAAATAAGTCACCTATGGGTATCATCTAAGGAAATGTAGGTTATATATAATAATCTCTCGATAATAGGCTATCAGATTATTATTTCTCTATTATAGCGGGGAAAAAACGCATAAAAGAAAAGGACAAGGTCTAAGGAGTGTGGAAGGCAATCAAGGTGTCGCCCGACCGTGGATGCGAGATAAAAATATATATGCGAACGGGATCTGTAAATCACCGCTAGCCCTCTTTAGGAATTACCCCTAGCCACGCCAAGTCTACGCCTAACTATCCACAAAAGGCTAATCGAAGTGATCACCGAGCTCCGCGTACAAGGGCCGTAGAAGGGTCAGAGCCGTAAGAAAATAGAAACTGAATACACACCTATATTGATTTCCCTTTGCCCTAAGGGCATTGCGCCGATGTTAGGGTTTTTCCGGTAGCTATAGTTTATTCGCGCCACTCGACTTCTACGGCATGATCTATCTAACTTTGGATCTTATAACCAGATTCACGATATTCCCTGAGTCCTTTATTTATAAGACAGGCACCTGTGAAGCCGCATATATTATATTGCACACTATCCTAAAGCTACGTATATATCCATTTTATGTTAGCTAGATGAATAAGCCCGTAAGATCACTATGACAGCATGGCTTTCTCTGTGAGGCGACCCATCTCCCTCTCCACACCACGCCTATCTTTAGAAGGGCGATGTGTATTGGTTGGCTTGTTGGTTGGCTTGTTGGTTGGCTTATTGGTTGGCTTAGGCCAGCGTTTGTTGATTGCTCAACGGAAGGGTACTCGGTAGTGAATAACCTAGAAGCGAGTTGGTATCAAGCATTCTAAGGTGCCTATTCTGGGCTTGCCAGTTCCCTTGAAACATATTAGAAGGAGGCAGGGTCGCGGCCAGGCGTTTGTTTTTCTCTGCTTCTACTCTGCTAGAAAGTTTGGTCTGCGCAATCATGAAATCGGCGCTCGTCTGCATCAGCCAAGGCAATAAGTCATCACTCGCCATGCCACTGAACTGCGCGGTCTCTAGTTGCTGTTTCAAATTCTATATTTGCATCTTAAGTGTCTGGACCCTGACTAGAGACTGATCTTTTTCGTTGCCTAGCTGGCGGATCTTCGCTGCGGCTTGGGCGTTGTCGGCCTCTAGTCGCTGGATAGAAAGCGTTGACTCGTCCCGGTCTCTATCAGCGTCTTTAAAAACCTGTAAGCATGGTCGATAAACAATCTTCCAGTGTTTTTGTTTCTGAGTCTTAGCTATCGGCGAGGGAGACTAGATTCCGCATTAGGTCTGAGTATACTTATATTCACGGGACGGTGATGGCAGGACATACCAGCAGTGGCTATAGGTGTGTGCCTTGAGTGCCGGACAGAAGGATAGTATTAGGTCTAGTGATAGTAGTCCGCCGAGCGCGTTTAGGGACAATATTTGACTCGGGAATGCCCTAGCTAGCTCTAGCGGGGGCTTGGGCTGCCGATCTGCGGGAAGGTATGTTGATCGTTAAGCCTCTGAAAGTGGTTACTTAGAGGCTTTCATAAGAAGAAACGGTTTTTTGCTCTAGACTTACCGGTTCGGGGGGGCAACACGAGCTTTTAAATGTCTCCGGTGGTACTAGCTAGGATCTAGACCACGGTGAAATAAGTAGATTCACCACCGATTTATGTAGACCGCAATATTGTGAGGTTGCCACATTAGGGAGAAAATCCGTTTATCGGCCTGACAAGAGACGATAGGCCCGTAATAAACGGTTATCCCTGTAGTATTATGGATATGGTTATATTCCGGTGGCCGGCTATTAACCATTTTGTTCTCCGGTTTTGCTCCCTGCTTTCCGTTTACCATCAATTAACCGTTAGGCTCCTCAACGGTTGTGATGTTCCGTCACTAGTG